CTGAGAAAACACTGGAAAATCAATAAAAATTCGAATTCCGCGCGCTTTTACCGGCAGTTGGCCTAGAAAACTCACACCTGGCCGCTAGGCCACCGGTTCCCACTTTGACTTTTCGACGCCGTTTTTCTCAATGATTCTCCGTTTTTTGTCCGTTTTTCGTCCGGTTCGCCCGTCAGGTTCGGCTGTTTGGTTCAGATTGTTTCTAGAAAGTTTCTTCAATTACTCTTTGACTACGCCTACTCTTTGACTCCACATTCTCTTGACTACAATGCCTCTTCGGTTACATTTATCTCTTTAACTCACTTGCTAGAGTCTCATTTGCTTGAAGTGTTGTCTCGTTTGTTATACAGAATTTTTGCACCTTTGCTGGAATTGTTTGCTCATTTTTTAAAACAATTATGCAGCTGGTACGTAGTCTGAAGGGAAAAAATGCTTGAAGTTTACAAACTTGAAAAAAAAACGGAAACTTTACGATTTTAAACGAATTTTTCGCTTTTTTCATTCTTTTCATAGTCATACCCAGTCAGCAAAACAATAAAAAAAATTCAGTGAAAAACGCTCGATAACGATGAAATATCTCTAAACAACAAAGTCGTCGATCTAAGCCCCGCCCACTTTGCACGCAAAGTATAGTGGACGGTGGAATCCGGGAGATGTCGGTACAACCAGAACACCTTCCTATATAATGGAAATCGTTTGGGGGGTCTTTAGGTAAAAATCACACAATAACTTCTGAGTCGGCTGAGATCCTGCGGATGGTTGGCAGGCAGTGGAGCTCCTAGGTTAGTATGCATACTTCCTAGGGGCTCAGAAGAGATTGTGTGATGGAAACCCCCGAGGTAACCTAGGGTATTATCCCTGGAATTTTCTGAGCTCTGAGCTCTGAACGGCCTGTATTGCAAAAAAAAACTAGATCCGAAGTATAATTTTGGAAAAAGTTTAATTTTCGACAGCTTTTCGTCAGCTTTTCGTTAGCTTTTCGTCCGTTTTTCGTCAGCTTTTCGTCCGTTTTTCGTCAGCTTTTCGTCCGTTTTTTGTTCGTTTTTTGTCCGGTTCGTCATGTTCATGTTCGTCAGGTTCGTCCGTTAGGTTTTTTCGTCAGCTTCGGCCGTCAGGTTTTTAAACTGACGAAAAAAACAGACGAAAATACCTCACGAAAATACCTGATTGACGAACCTGACGGACGAACCTGACGGACGAATCTGACGGTCGAACTTCACGGACGAACCTCACGGACGAACCAAATGGACGAACCTGACGGATGAACCGGACGGACGAACTTTGCGAACGAACCTGACGGACGAAAAACGGACAAAAAACGCACGAAAAGCAGACGAAAATTAAACATTTTCCAAAATTATACTTCGGATCTAGTTTTTTTTGCTCAGAGCTCAGAAAATTCCCAGGGTCGTACCCTAGGTTGATCTCAGGGGTTCCTATCACACGATCTCTTCTGACTCAATAGGGAGTATTCATACTAACCTAGGAGCTCCCCTACCTGCCAACCATCCTCAGGATCTCAGCCGACTCAGAAGAGATTTAACTTCTATTACAGATTTACAGTAAGTTTGTTTTCGGGATGGAGCACAAATGACAGTCAGATAGAGATGTACCAGACATGGCTTAAATTTTAAAGCGATGAGAGAAGTTTTCAAAAATTGAAAAAAAGAAACAAGCTTTTGAAATCGAACGATCCATCTTTGTTTTTTGTTATTACCCTGTTACTGTGTATTTGAAGCAAAGAAATCATATAATTTTTATAGGTGTTCATAAACAAAACCGTAAAATCAGAAAATGCATTGTTAACATAAAAAGGGAAGTATTTGCTGAAGAACCGAAAGTAAAGATTCTTGTTTTTTTTTCAAGAAACTTCTCAAATTTTTCTTTTTTTTACTGCAGGTGGTCACAATAAAGTGTGGGATTTCTGGAAACAAAGTTCAAGTTTGAAAGTTTTCTTCTCTTTGGATCGTCGTAACCAAGTTTGTTCATTGAATCATGACTTTTTTTCAAAGCGAGTTACCGTACTTGCTCTAACAAAAGCCACCTTATACGTTCTCTTTGAGGTCAAGCATCTGGATTCCTGTATAAGATATTAAAAAGTGATCAACAAACAAAATATTTTTTATATCATGATGAACATTTTGTCATTTGACTATTTTTAAACATCTTTTACAGGATATGAGATAAATGTGCTCAAATTTGGCGGTTTGAGACAAACTCTATTAGAGTGTTTTTACAGTATTTGATGTTTTCTGGGATTAAAAAAACCATGATCTGTAAAAAACTTTTTCCGGACTTCCAAATCACTTTGATATCTAATATTTAAAAAAAAAAATGAAATTCTGGAAGTTTCAAGTTCATAAAAATTGCAGTTTTGAGACTGGAAATTGACACCACGTACAAAACAGCTTAAGCATTTTGAATCGGTTTCAAGTGATGAACCAATGAGCAAAGTGACCACCGTAAAACCTCTAATAGAACGACACCCGGATCGTCCACTTTGAGCCTATATATCTCATTTTCTGTAAAAGATATCAAAAAGTGGCTAACTAGTAAAATGTTGCTGATATCCTGATAAACATTTTACTAGTTAACCACTTTTTGATATCTTTCGAAAGAATTGAGATATATAGGCTCAAAGTGGACGATCCGGGTGTCGTTCTATTAGAGGTTTTACGGCATTTCCACTTCTCGCAATTGTAAGTGTGACCACTAACCTACCGTAAACACTAATAGAACGTATTCCCTAACTTTCAACTTTACAGTTAGGCAAATTTAACTTGGTTCCTGTGAGAGATCTCAAAACATGGTAAACTGGTAAAACATTTTTCATATTATGATGAACATTTTGTCAATTGACTACCCCTTAATATTTTAAATAGAAAATGAGATCAAAGATAGGAGGCAAAGGGCGTTCTACTAGTGTTTACGGTAAGCTTACTTCATTAACTTTGTGAGCTAGATTCTATAACTTTAGTCCCGGTTATCCGTAGCTCAGCTGTCAATTAGAGATTATAGAACCGTAACTGATAAGAATCGATTCGAAGGAATCGATGAAAAGTTCAAAAACGCATCACAAATCACTATTCCTAAAAACACAAACTTTTCCGGTTTTCGTCAACCAAAGTAATAAAAATCTAGCATTCCATTTACCTGAAAATAACTCGAAAAACCCTGCTTATTGGTGTCAAATCATGACGAAACAGTCGTTTGGTCAACCTATAAAAACGAGGCCTATGTTGCAGGGCCTTATCAAAAAGGCCCTACTGCCCGCCCATTTCTTATCATTTTTGCTCTTTCCTTCAAAACCCATCACTTGTCTCCCTATTCAACCCCTAAAAACTCAACTACAGAGGAAGGAAAATAAAAAATGTCTCTCGAGCTGCTGAAATGGATTATGCTCGGAGTGATGGCACTGATGACTATTTTTTTTGGCTTGTTGCCAATTAAAGTGAGTTTTGTTAGAGGATTATATAAGGTTTAATGATCAGTTAATTTTCAGTTAATCGACTTTTTGAACAATACTCAATCGTCTATCCATAAGCATTCTTCACTTATTCTTTCTCTATTTTCTTGTTTTGCTGGCGGTGTTTTCCTGTCTGTATGCTTCTTGGACATGCTCCCAGATTCATTGTAAGTTATCGAAACTTATGGGGTCATTCAGCTGAGGCAAAATTCGGGAAAACACCTAACAATAGCGAAAAAATTCGGGAAAACTCAGATAATGAACCAATATGGCTAAAGCTTTGGGGAGAACAGGAGAAAACTATATGGAAAATATTGCCAAAATTTGAGGTCAAAATTATTTTGGATTATCCCCTTTGAACATTTTGTCTGGAATTTCGGATTTTTTCGCTTCACCTGAATAACCCTCGTAATATTATATTTTCATTTGGTCGAAGAATTTAGTCGACCGACCGAGCTTAACGATCGGTCGGCGGCCGCCAATTTTCGAGGGATCAAGATGGAAGCCTTAATTGAAACCATTCCGAAATCATTTTTATATATTTCAGAGAAGCATGGGAAGATGTGAAAACTGACACTGGCTACCAAAGTGACTATCCATTTGTCCAACTAATTGCTCTTTGTGGATTCTTTTTTGTCTATCTAACAGAAGAGTTATCCAGTATAATCTGCAATGTGGGTCATGGTCATTCGCATTCAAATGTCCCAGTTATGGACTCAAATGTCACATTTCCCCGTGCCCGTCTTGCTACAGTAGGAAGTATTTTTAACGTCGAAGGAAATTTGGTGCAACCATGCAAACGATCTCTCCAGGTGAGGATTGAACTCAAACTTTGAACAGCTTGATTTCCATTTTCGTTGAAGTAGTCATTCACTGATAAGTTGTTGATAAGAGAATAGAAATAAGCTGATTTGCAATTTCGAAAGGAAACATGCATTTTCAAAAAAAATTTTTTTAGGACTACGATGAAGACGGAGAAGGACCAGTTCGTCAGTCGATCATCTTCACATCCGCATTTCTTCTTCATGTTTTCTTTGAATGTTTCGCATTTGGAGTTCAAGAAGATACAGTATCCGTCACCTCTCTTTTTCTTGGAATCGCACTTCACAAAGCGATTGTGATGTTTTCTTTGGGAATGAAATTGACCAGAACTCATCCAAGACGTCGTTATATTGTGGTTATTCTGATTCTAGTGCTAGCCGCTTTCAACGTTATTGGAGGATCATGTGGAATTCTGATCGAAAGTTCAAATATGAATCAGACACCGAAAGATATCACAACTGCAGTTCTTATGAGTTTCTCGTTGGGTACTTTCATCTACATCTCTTTCTTTGAGGTAAACTTTGTTATCTTTCACCAGATTCTGAAACACCAAATTTCCAGATGCTGGCTCCAGAACGTGCCAACAACCATTCCAATATTCTCCAATGGATCGCGAGTGTTTGTGGATTTGCACTATTGGCTGTTAACATGATCTGGGCTAACTGAAAATCTATCTTTTATTCGAAAAATCACATTTCTATATCACTTCCATTATTCCATGCATATTACCCATGCTTCTTCAGTACCGGTAGTTTATTATCATTTTTTGAATTAAAAAAAATTTTATTATAAAGCATTTATTTTTAGTATGTCAATGATTTAGTAGTACAATTCAATAACATTGACAATTCCATTTTGAGAACCGGAAATTATGAACCACAGAGAAGAAAAAATGGATAAAATACAAAAAAAACGAAAGCTAACAGAGAAAGTTTTTTACCAGTTATTATCAATGTTCAGGATGTTTGTTTTGGGGGTTTTTGGTATTATGCTATCAATTTGTTTTTAATGAAAAAGAGAGAAAAACGTGCTAACTCAAAACAGTGTCCAATCAAAAACAAGGTACTGTAAACACTCTCATAGAACCCCCTCTCATTTTGAGCCAATTTATCTCGGTTCCTATTAAAGATAATATCTTTTTGATATTATCAAAAAGTGGTCAACTTACAAAATATTTCTTATAATATCAAAAATATTTTTTCACTTGACCGCTTTTTGATTTCTTTTACCGGAACCGATATATATAAACTCAAAGTAGACGGTTTAGGTAGCAAGTGTTCACGGTATCTTAATGCCATCCACCATTTGGATCCAAAGTATAGCTCGGAGATCCCGATCTTTGGCTGCTGATACTCGTCGGCGAGAGTTGATCTCTCGGTGATAAACAGTTAGCAGGTGACACTGGTCTACTCATCAATGCCGGTGGTGACGGTGAAATCGTCAGCGAGTTTCTGTCGACCATCAATCGATACAGAGCACTTAGTGTTCGATTACTAGACTCTACTTTTCGATCGAGACTCGACATCTGGAAAATAATAAGTTTGACGTCCCTGTCAGAAGTGTTTCAGCGCCCAAAAATTGATTCAATGAACTCCATGAAGTCTAAAGTCGCAATCTTTCGAATGCCGCAACATTTGGTCGGGCAGAAAAGGTGTGAAATTCGAATAAAAGCTTATCAATTTTCAATTTCTTATCAAAATTTTTTTTTCGAAATTTCGGCGACATACCTGTAACTCTAGACGCGACAATCTGGAACCAATTGTGACAGGGTGACCCTTTCGAGACCCTTTCCCATCGTATTGACCTGGTTTTCCAAGAGTTTGGTCCAGCCTGAAATTTTAGAAATAGATATAATATTTTTAGACATTTTCTTTTTTTAAAGACCCTATACTGCGGAAATTATTCATTTTTTCATAGGTTCACATACAAATTTTGAAAAAAACTCCAAAAAAAAATCTGTCATTGAGAAAACCGCATCGAAAACGCGAATTGGTATCCGGTGGCTGGCGACCGAGTGTGAGTTTTCTAGTCCGCGGCCAGCGCGCGAGAATTTGGTGTTCAATTTTTTCGGTTTTTTTTAATTTGCAACCGTTTTCTTATAGAATCGTTATTTTTTTTTCAATTTTCAGAAATAGTTTTTGCTGAAATTTTAGAAAAATATTTTTAAAACCCGGAAAACTTCAGATGTGAAATTTTCGTGCGCTGGCCTGGGACTAGAAAGCTCACANTTGGCCNCCAGCCCCCGGATACCACTTTGCTTTTTCGCATTTTAGGATTTTTCTTCATTTTTATGTGAACCTACATACCGTATTTCCTCTAAATGAAGCCCATGGGCTTCTATTTTTCAACCTTCTTTTTAGGAAATTTCCAAAAACTGAAATTGCCAGAAATTTTTTTAATAGAAAAAAAACTGTCTATAATAACCGAATAGACACACTGAATTGTTCAAACTGCACTAACTGAACTGCATGAACGTCTGTTAGAAGATACGCTTCTCTGTTTTTAAGCACGTCGGAGGGTGGGCTTCTATTAGAGGTGGGCTTCAAATAGAGATGGGCTTCTATTAGAGGGAATATGGTAATTTTTTGAACAAAATAAAGCAATAAATAATTTTACACCACCTTTAATTCTAATTTTTGAAATTCATAATTTTCAAAAATCATGCTCACCTCCTTTGCAGTTCCTTTATCCTAACCATCATATTCAGATGTCCTTGTGAATATTGCTCAATAACATCTCTCACATCATACGGTTTTCTTGCCTGTTGAAATCTCCTCCTTGCCACAAAATACTTGACTTTTCTTATTGCTCGAATAGCATTACGATGTGCTTCTGTGAGCTCACAAACATGACTGATATGAGTATCCGGACGCAGTTTCGTTGGCGTATTCGCTTCTTCTGTTTCGTATTCTATCTCTATATCTGTTCCAATTCTATAAACCCGCTTTTCATCATCTGTGTCCGATCCCCTTTCCTGACGAAGAAGTCGTTCCTGATGATGATTGATTCCTCCCATTTCCACATCGGCAGACGGTGAACCTTTCCTTCGGAACGTGTTGACTAGACTTGATCTGAAAATTCAAAAGTTCAGTAGACTATGGGAGCCGGATAACTGACTGTTTTTTAAACAGTTGTCTCTTTCTCGTGACATTATTATCATCCGAAGACTGCTGATGCTTCTTCGAATGCCCATGATGTGTTTCCTTTGTCTCATGAGCCAATGGATCAATATGTGCATTCCAGGTGGCAGATATCCTCTTTTCTGCTGCATGACATCTCCAAAGGCATTGAATTAAAGTTGCTGCGGCAGGAATCTGACGGTTGAAATGCTTCTGTCGCTGTTTTTGTTGTACTTTCAACGCGAATCCAGATCCCAGAATACCAGCTGGCAAGGCGAAGAAACTAATGGCAAAAATTGAGAAGCAGGAAGCCACGATTCGTCCCATCCAAGTTTGAGGTACAACATCTCCGTATCCTATCGTAGTCATTGTGATAACTCCCCACCAGAGAGCATCCGCATAACTTGTGAATGCTTGACGACCATCGATTCCAACATGATCCTTTTCAGCCAAATAGACAAAGTAACTGGAAAAAATGAGTCCGAGGAATCCGATGTAGAGGGTGGTGATCAGTTCTTGACGATGGATGAAGACGACGGATCCAAGAAGTCGCCTAGAAAGTATGGAGTGTTATTCTCTATTCCTTTTTCGAACTACTTTTTAAACTCAAATACGCAGACTGCATGTGCAAAGCTGAATAATCATCTCCCAATCGACCTATCTCTAGACTTCTATTACGTCTCTATATTCTAATTTTAGAATTTCGCAAAACGATTTTCGTTCTCTTTTTTTTGAATTTCACTAACCATGTTCCACCTTGCCGATCTACATGAAGCATCCGAAGAATCTGAAGGAATCGGATTCCTCTTATGGCACTGGTTGCGAACACTTGTCCCTCACTTCCAAAGCAAATAACTGTGAAGCTGGCGAGCACCACACACAGATCTGGAAACTCATTTTCTGATAGATGTATATTTTTTTGAACTAACCAATGAAAGAAATGGGTTTCCTTGCAAATTTGAGTCTTCCCCAGAATCCAATGTATTTGGACCTACATCCAGCTGACCATAGGCGAACAACATACTCAATGGCAAAGAAGATTACTAGGAATATTTCCTAAAAATAGAAGATTGGAATCAAACATAACATCATCTTTTCTGCTGACCCACCAAAATATAAAGAAGCTCGGCTGCAAAATGGCTATGCTCTTCGACAGTTGATAACACTGATAAAATGAGACAAATCAAAACAACTAGGAATACACTGAAGTGATAAAGAAAGCATTTCCATCCTGTCGGCCGCTCCAAACAGTTGTAGATCAATGCTCGATATGTCATCTTTGCTGCCTTCTTTTCTTTTATATTACGGTAACGGGCATTGAACATCTGAAACATGTTTGAATGTTTTAAAATGTTTAAAAATAAGGAATATCATCTGTGGTGCAGATTTCTATATACTAACTCAACGAATTCTTTTTCTTTTGACTCATTTTGAATGGAGGTGGAGGTTGTTCCCCGGCCGAGATAATAGTTGTCTGATTGAGAGAATGTCTAGAGAAGAATATATGGAAAAGAAAAAGAAGAAAACGAATGGAAGATTTGGCTTTAGCTCTTGGTAATCCATGGATGAGCTTCGGTTTTTCCTTTTGATGGAAAACAACAGAGAGGAGATCAAAAAGTTTCAGGATTTTTGTGGATGTTCGTAAAGGTAAGACATGAGCTTAGTGTATTTGAAATTTCTTTTTGATTATGAAACAATCGTGGTAAAAAAGAGTGACAGGAGTTGTTATTCGGTCGGTCTAAAGGAAGCTCACCCTATACGTACACTTTGAGCTCAATTATCTAGGTTCCTGTAAATGATATCAAAATGTTGTCAACTAATAAATTATCAATGGCATTTTGATAAATAATTTACAGATTTTTGTAGACAAACTTTTGATATCTTTCACAAAAAACAAGATAATTGAGATCAAACTGGTCAGTGTGAGGGCTTATTATAAAAATATTTAATTCCTAGAAGTACTGATTTACCAAACAAAAGTAGAGCTTTAACTTTGTAGTGGGTCATTTTTTCTTAAATTCACACAAATCAGGTGAGCAGCTTAAAGCCTAAAAAGTGCCAAAGTTGATGGAATTAACACGAAGTTCAGATTCCAAGCGCCATTACAAGCCACCCAAACTGTAAACTTTGAACTCATATATCTCGGTTTCTATAAAATATATCAAAGAGTTGCCAACTGACAAAATGATTATCATAAAATCAGAAACATTTTATCAGTTGACCGCTTTTTGATATCTTGCACATGAATCGAGACATATGCGCTTAAAGTTTCCGGTTTCGGTCTTCTATTAGAGTGTTTATGGTAGTTAAAGTTCTATTTTTGTTTATTATCTTTTTTTTAGGGACACTTCATCAAGTAATCTGACAATATTGAAATTCAAAACTCGGATTTACACTACAAAGTTTTCTGACTTTGGTTTGTTTTTTTTTCAAAAATGTACTGTTCCAGAAGTTTCTATTTCTAGCTTTTGAATTCTCTGATTTTTCTATCGTCTGATTGTGAATCTCTAGAGCTATTTCAAGACCTAATGAACTCTGAGAAGTCGTACCTCTTCTTAATTGGATGCCTACCTCCTCCAAAGTGTCATAAGTTTTGCGTCTTCTCTGTGGATGTAGAATATCGCGTAGTTCCCATGTACCAATAGTTAAACTACCGCGACGATCCAATGAATTGTACATTTTCATGCACGCAGAAAAAGCAGCAAAAAAATGAGGAGCCGAATAGAAGGAGGCAGAAAGTCGAATAGTAATTATGAATGCATGTGAACCAACAATCGTTATATGAGTTGCTCTTTTTCTGACTTTTTATAAAACACCCCATACAGACCCGCTGGGGTAGGTCATAACAGAGCAAAAGAAACAGACAACAACCGATGAAGAAGAAAAGGTGATAAGAAGTAGATTAAGCCAACCTAGTGATAAGGAAAAAAGCAAGTCCAGAAATAAAGAGTTCATGGTTTTCTGATTTTTGAATTTCAAGTTTTCCGAGAAAGGAAAAAAACTCAAGTCAGAAAGACTTGGTAAGAAAATTTTAATCGAAAAATGAAGATGATGACAAGGAGGAAGAAGCGGGAATACAAATCTCGAACGATTATCTCCTTCCACCTACGTTCTCAAATATTATAATTTTCATGACGGTAACACAAAACGGGGAAGTGCGTAAAATGAAAGAAAATTAGAGATTTTTGTTTTAGGTGACATTTTCGGTTAGGGCAGGTGAACTAGAAGATTGTTTTGGGAAATTTTGGCTTTTTTTTAGTTGGGGAAAGTTCAGAAGAAATTATAATGATTGAGTACTATGTCTAATGGCTCCAAAGTTTTGACATTTCAAATTGCATATCCTGCTTTAAAGTTTTTAGTTCTTTGGTTGCGAAGTTTTATAAAGGATTTTTTAAAACTAGATATAAATTTTATTTCTAATTCATATTTTTCATATTTCAATTTCGTAACCATTCAATTCAAGCTAGAGTGCTCGCCATATATTTCGTATTTTTCGAAAGAGCTCTAAAAGAAGTTCACTCAAACTGTCAACTTCAAATCTATATATATATATATATATCATTTCCTGTAGAAGATACCACAAAGTGGTCAACTAACAAAATATTTATTATAATTTCAAAAATATTTTATCAATTGACAGATTTTTGATATCTCTCAAAGTAATCGAGATAATTGAGCTCAAAGTTGACGGTTTGGGAGGGCTTCTTGGGAGGGCTAAAGGAAATACTGTAGTTTATTTGACTTCTTTGAAAACTAGGAACATTTTTCGGATTGTTTTGAAAGTTTCAAAAAGTATTACAAAGGGATTGAGTCTATGGAGTTGAGAAATCTTTTTTTGAAGTAAAGTCAATGTTTAGAAAGTAAACTTCTAGAGTTTCAGATGTTTTCAGCTTCCAGATGCACCTACCGTACATGCTCTAATATGATATAAATAACCTCAATTATCTCGGTTCCTATGAGAGATATCAAAAAATATGTCAACTGATCAAATGCTTGTCGTATAATTAACATGGAAATGTAATCAACTCAAAATGATCCGTTGACCATTTTTTGATATCTCTTATAGGAACCGAGATAATTGAGCTCAAATTGTATGTACAGGGTGGGCTGTACAGGGTAGAGCATTCACGGTATTAAAAAAGCTATGAATGAGAAAAGAAGGGTTTAAACAGACCAGGCGAAGATTTTTCTTGTTTTCTGCCTTTTGGAAATGTATAGTGCTGATTTAGTCAAATCTCGCTTTTAGAAAATTCTGAACTATTTTCAAACTCAACAATTTTTATCCGTTTCAGAGAGTAATTAACAAATCTAAAGCAACTTGTTAACAATCGAAGTTTCAGCGTCAGAAAAAAAAGAAAACACTAATCAAAATCTTCTTCCGACAGAAAGCTTGTGTTCTGAACATCCCCCAACCGGATATTAATTTTTCCTCTCATTCTTGTTCTCCAATCTGATGAGGTGGCACATCATCTCATTTCCTGTTGCATGAAAATTCACATGGAAATGTAATCAACTCAAAATGATTAGGTTTTTTTTCTCTATATGGAGATTTGTGTCCTTTTTCTATTCTATTATTTATGAAAGTGGTGGAAATTGTCACAGGTGTTTTTGCGATAGCCAAAGTGTATAACTATTTTCAAAGTTTCACTCTTCTTAAAAGAGCTTTTAAAGTTCTAGATGAAGAAGAAAATAATTTTCGAATCAATATCATAAAGTCAATACTAATCAGCAGAGTTTCCTGGAAACTAAAAAGGCCGTTTCCCATAAATTGGGTCCAAAATTCAAACTCACTGCAAAAAGTCCGGGTGCGAAACTCATAATTGATATGGGTATCGGATACGACCAAAAAACCAAAAACTTAGATATCCCGGAGTTTTAAATTGACGTTGTATGGATATGGATAGGCTACGAATTTGAGATTTTTTTTTCCCAAAAGATTAAAATGAATTTTGAAATACATTTTACAATGATTTCAATGATTTGAGTTTTTGAAGAATATCGCTTATACTAAGCCGAAGGTCCTGGAACGAAAACTACCGTAACCCTAAAATATATGAATTTTCCAGAATTTTCACTAGGTTCTCTCTCCGATTTTCCTACTATTCTCCCCAAAGAAGCCAAAAGAGTAAAGTTCGTATTTAAAAAAATAACGGATGAAAAAAGTTTAGGTAACGGTAGTTTTCCTTCCCGGACCTGAGACCACACCCACCGGAATTTTGAAGTTTTAATGTGAGTAGCTGCAAAGAAAGCAGTTTTGCCGGTATCTCATTTTTTGCTAATCTCAAAGAACATTTCAAAATTGAAAATTGAACTTTATGCAATTCCATCTCTTAATTTTCCCAAACCCTGTCATTTACCTCTTGAACGAACATCAACGGACGAAGGGTGCAATCCATTTTGGTTGGAAAAAGAGCAAACAAATGAAATGAATATCAGTCCTCTCTCACTCGTTTTTCAGCATGTATTCCGGAGAGAAAAGAATGTGTGGAAAAAAACGGAATGAAGAGGTTAGAGAGGAGTTTCTGTGTGCCCTCCCTTTCTCTATAAAAATCTCTTCTACTCTGTCTCTTTTCCAGCAGCTTCAGGATCTCGAGACACACCTCGAGAAAGAAAAAAAAAAGAGAAAGAGGTAAGAATTTGATTTCAGGTTTTTTTCAAAAAAAAAAAAAGTGACAAGCCGATGGGAACGATGTGAAAATAAATGGTATTCTAAGAGATCCACTTCAGATTAGTATGATCTTATGGCATAAGAAGTTTGATACTGAATCGAAAGTAAGCCAAGTAGAAAACAATATGAGGAGATAGATTTTACTTTTTACTATAATAATAACGAGTAACTTAAATCAGATCTGTTCTGATATTATGTTTAATTACACTCCACTCCTAATTAGCCGGACTCAAGTTTGTAATAGCATAAAATTTGAGTGAAGCGTTGTACTAGGCTCAAATTTAGAGAGAAATGAAATAATTCAAAAAATCAAATAATTCATCTGTAAGCTGGTCAAGTTTCAAATTATATTATCAACTGTAAGCTGAGTTATCACTTGTCAAAGTTGCTTCATCTCATCAAAATCACAAGGGCGTACAAGGAACATTACACCATTCAATTTTGAACAATCATAACAATACCTAGACTTGAGGAATTGCTTTGAAGATTTCAGTAACTTTGAATCAAACATAAGCTTATATTTCAACCAATCGTTGGGCTTCCAAGATACTTATGTCTAGAGATATACCCGTTTTTTATCAGCCCGGGTGAGATCCAGTATAGGATATTTAAATAAATCTTCAAGTTAAATCGTTTCAAAATGTATTTCAACCTGATTTATTCAAGATTACGGTAGTCACTCTTCTCAATAACATATTTTTTTTAACATCTTCCAAACTACATTTCAATATCTGACGATCGTTATTACGTCATTGCTACCTGACAATCAGAAGAATATTTTTTTGTAAAATGTAGGATAAATATTAAGGATTCGTTTTTTTTAAGATTCAAAGAATTCAGAATGAGTTGGCAATACCGGAAAGTCTTTGATATAAAGGCCCTAACTTTTGACTTTAAGCCAATTTTTCTTCTGTCAAAGATATGAAAAGTTGTGTACTGATAAATTGTTTATCATAACATCAAAAACACTTTACCAGTTTACACGTTTTTGATACCATGCAAAAGAGCCAAGAAAAATTAGCTCAATCTTGATGGTGTGGGTCCATTCTATTGCAGGTTTTGTGAAAGATTGAGAGCTAGTGAAAGTCATTGAAATTTTAAACAAGGTTACTGTATCTGCACAAAACCAAGAAGCTATAAAACAGGAAAATTCTCATTTTCTTATCTCAAATTTGTTATCCTTCCAGCTTTATTTTTCTTATCTCCCGACATATAAGCCAACCAACCTTTCCTAATCCATCTCCAGTGACCATACCCAATAGAAAATGTTCCGATTCGTCTTGATCTTGAGGTGAATCGTCGACTAACGACGATCCATTGGGGTACCCAGTCGTCGTGAGCATTCTGAAAACATTTGAGTTATACTGTTTACAAAATACCACAAAAGAAAAAACAATGGAATTAGGCTGATTTTTCATTACTATGATACTACGAACATAAAAAAATGAAGAAGATGACACCGGAAAAAAGAGGAGAAGCCATGAGGATTGCTCATAAGTCTTCCTGTTTTCTCTTTGTTTTCTCATCTCGATTTGTCTCTTGATCTACAAGACGAGAGGGGTACTCAAATGTGCCTCGATTTCAAGTCATTGTCGTATCTTCACTCTCTTGACGTCAACTGAACAGAAAAAGGCCAGCAGCTTCCACAATTGTGGAAAAAAGAACCGGAAATGAAATGAGAAAAGGTGCGTATGTAACCCAATTGCACCTATCGATGAAAAAAAAATAGTAATTTCAATTTTACAGCTTATTAAAAAGGAAATTATGTTTTGATTGGTTTATGCTCTGCAAGTTTTGAATTTAGTTTTGAGTTCAAAAGAATAAGAACTTTAAAAAAGGTTAATAAGAATTATCATCGAACAAAGTTCGTTTAGGGAGGAAGGTAATTTCCCATGGGCAACGGGAAAATAGATTAGAATATTTTCTCATGCACATAATTGAATTTTGAGAGCAGAGAATGTAACCATGATTCTGAAAGTTAGCATGGTGGGCGAAAACATTTTTCTAGATGCTTTAAAGGTGGGGGGACAGGAGATTTTACTAGGGATTTTTGGGACCAGAGTATGCATTCTACCGTGACGGTGTACAACGCTTAATGTCACTCTGCGTACAGCTGTCGTCCTCGCCTTTATGTATGCAATCGGGCGGCCGCTTTCTCTTTGCCCGTGTAGCTCAGTCGGTAGCGGCGCCGCACCCTCAATCATCGCCCCAACAAGTTCAACTCCTCGAGGGGCATATTTAAACGAAATATCGAGAACATTATTTTTTTCATGTCCCCCCACCTTTAAGAGTCGAAAACTTAACAAAAAATATTTTAAAATATTTTCAAGGATTTATTTTCGATTACCCTGAACACTACATTTGTGAGCCTATAGAGCTCCTGTGAGAAATATCAAAAAATCTTCAACTGACAAAATATTTATAATATCAGTAACATTTTGCCAGTCGGCGACTTTTTGACATCTTTCACAGAAAACGAGATATAGTTGCTCAAAGTTGATAATTTGGGTGGCGTTCTATTAGAGTGTTCACGATATCCTTATGGGAAAACTGTTAACCGAAATTTTTCCGGTTTTGAAAATTCGATTATAAGAAGATCAGGATCTCAAAAAAATGTTTTTGAAAACTAGTTTCATCCGGGTCAATCTAGAATAATCATGATCAGATCAGTAATCTCGGTGGGATAAGCTTGAGTGATCACTTCGTAAGTAGGTAAGATTTAATTTTGATAAAGATAAAATCTCATACGATTTAGAAAGGTTGAACTTTGTAACTGAATACACTGTAAAACCTGTAATAGAAGGGCGACCAGTAACTTTCTAATTTGAGCCAATTTTTCTCGGAACCTGTCAAAGATACAAAATAATTGTCAACTGATAAAATGTTTCTGATATTATGATAAACATTTTGTCAGTTAACAATTGTTTGTTTCTTTCACAGGAACCGAAATAATTGAGCTCCAAGAGCAAGTATTGGGTAGACTTCTATTAGAGCAAATACGGGCTTTCAAAAATTGTATGAAAGCAGTAGTTCAATTAAATTGGGAAACGAATTACGCAAAACGAACTAAAACGAACGACGAAATGACGAATGGCTCTTGTCAAAGTGTGATGACTCAAGATGAGAAATTGATGATGTGTCTCATATTCTACGAAAAAATAAATATTGAAAATTACTAGCTTCTGTTCTTCCTCCCAAAAATCTCCCACACAAAATGGTCACTTGTGACCACCACAAAATGAGTGCCTATTTTTGCTACAATTTTTTTTCGAAAACTACGATCAAAGCAGGAAATGAGTAAGTCAGGATCTCTTTCTGTGCTCCAGAGGTTTTACTGGAACAAGGGAGAAGAGAGGAAAAAGGATATGGAAGTGCGTAGATGATAAACTTTTCATGAGCTTTGTGAGAAAACCAAATCGATTCATTTTTTATTTTTGGACGTTCGGAAAAAAAAGGAAAAGACCTCAAAAACATTTTATCTAGCTCCTCTTCATTTGGGAGAAGACGTCGGAAAAGAAGAAGAACATGTGGAAAAATAAAAAGTCGAATTGTGATAACAGGCAACAGACTGTGAATAATTATGCGTTTGTTTCAAATTTTCAGAAAAGTAAAGTTTAAATTTCCAAAGATTACATGCTTCTTTTCAAAGTCTTATGATTTGAATTCCTAAAAGTTTTGAATCAAAAATTACATCATTTTTGAATCACGTCAGGCGTAGTAATGCTGAGCCATTCTTTGAAGTTACCAACTAGGAAAAGATTCAATCCAAATAATTAACTAAAAATGTTTTTGAGTTTCTGAATTTCTGAATTTCTAAATTTCTGAATTTCTAAATTTCTGAATTTCTGAATTTCTGAATTTCTGAATTTCTGAATTTCTGATTTTCTGAATTTCTGAATTTCTGAATTTCCGAATTTCTGAATTTCTGAATTTCCGAATTTCTGAATTTCTGAATTTCTGAATTTCTGAATTTCTGAATTTCTGAATTCCTGAATTTCTGAATTTCTGAATTTCTGAATTTCTGAATTTCTGAATTTCTGAATTCCTGAATTTCTGAATTTCTGAATTTCTGAATTTCTGAATTCTTCAAAGTTACCCTTCTCAGGAATTTTTGAATCCAAAAAAATTAATGTATCGAAGTTAATTTTTTCTATAAAATTGCATTTTCTACTTTCCCAAAAAGTTTCTATAGAATCACATTTTTCTGGAATTTCATCTCAAAAAACTAATATTTTAAACTAAAAATCTAATGTTCTCAACATTTTAATGCTTAAAATATAATATTTTAAATCCACAATATTCCAAAAATAATAAAGTCCCAGAACAATACAAAAAACTTTTCTAATCCGCCACGATTTGGAGCTTTACTGAATCAAATTCATATATTTGAACTACAAATGTTTTAGCTCAAAATCAGTCTCTGATAAACTTATTCGGAATTTTTGTGAGATATCAGAATATGGAGAAAAAACTCCATATGAAAAGGGTGGGAGTTTTGAGCCGATTTTACTAAAGAAGAAGTAAGACGACACTGATATTTACCTTCTTATTGATTTGCGACGAGTCATTTTCAGATTTCAAGTGACCAGAAAATGAAAACAACGAAGAACAAAAAAGCAGTGAATAATAACACAGGGCGGGAATTTCTAGTTCTCGTTTTTTGGGAGAGCTGAAAAAGAAGAAGAAGAAGAAGAGGTAACCACTAATCTGATATATGCTTCTTCTTCTTTTTCGAACTGATAAGAAGAGATTCAGAGAGAAAGAGAGTGTGGAAAAAATTCTGCTAACGATGATAATGGATTTATGGATGGATAAGTGCAGAAGCACGTGCTGAAAGTAGTGCGTGTGAACATTAGAGAGAAACCTTGTCTTTCAGATGAGTCAAGAGACATAGATTATCTTGTTTTTTTTTTGTTTTTTGGATACATGGATTTTAAAATTTAGGTTAGATTATTTTATCCATATTTCTATCATCCTTTCAAGAAATCCAAGATACTCAGATTTTCGGGACCTTCGAGTTTTCGAAGTTTTGAAGCTTGAGAATTTTGAAGTTTTAGTATTTCAGAATTTCGGAATTTTAGAGTTTTGGAAATTGAGAAATTCAAAAATTCGGAAATTCAGAAATTCAGAAAATCAGATATTTAGAAATTCAGAAATTTAGAAATTCAGAAATTCAGAAATTTAGAAATTCAGAAGTTCAGAAATTCAGAAATTCAGAAATTCAGAACTTTCGAATTTCGAGATATGTTCCAGAATTTCAGAGTTCTTGAGAATTTAACTATTTCAGGATTTTAGAATTCTGGATTTCAGGAATTTTAAATACCAGTCGGTTTACGCCCCTTCGGGGCTGAACCTCCTGGCCTCCGGTCGCCCTCCACCATCACATTTTCTGCAAATCGCCTTTTCTGTCCACCACCATTTAGTGTGGTGAAACCAAGGAACGTCCACAGAAGACTTCAAAATCAAAATTTTGGAAAACCAAAAGTTCGGGCATCAACTAAGACCCATTTCTGATATATCTGTCCAGGTTTCAGCTTGATCGGTTAACTTTGAATGGGTGATAAGGTGCGCTACATACATACGCACATACAGAATCTGGTGAATGTTATTAGTAATGATTTCGATGTTCGGGATCTTGTAGTTTTGGGTTCTAGAAAGATCCTAGAATTTCGTTCTAGAATTTCGATTTTTGAAATTGCGGATTTCGGGATTTCGGAATTTTAAAATTTACGATATTCTGATATTTGAATTCTTTTGGGGTTTAAGAGTTCTGGAGTCTTGGAATTTTCGAATTTCCATGTTTCGAGTTTTTCAAATTTCCAAGTATTCGATTTTTATTATAAAGCCTTAGGCATTATTTTCTTGACTGCAAAATTCTGGTCTTTTGAAAGTATCAGTATTTTGAATTACTGCTTTATTCAAATATAGAATCATTTTCCCACACTAAATTCTACTCATGTTTTCAAAACATATTTTCCGAATCAACATCTTCTCGTTTCTGAAATTCGTCTGAAAATTAGCCCTCATCAATCTTTCTCTCTTGTCAACTTGACGATGTAAATAAAAGACCAAAAAGCAACATCTTTTCAGCTATATGGGATTTAGAATTAATAAAAAGTATTTTTTCTGGATATGGGATTTAAAGAGTCAATCGCGAAAGTCCAATCTTTGTGCCATTCGAGATTTGATATATGCTTTTTTCTCGGCGGGTGGATAATCAGCTTTTGACGTCAATGACTTTTTTCCAAGACCTTTTTTTTCTCATATGATTTTTTGCAGAATTTCTCAACGGAAAGCAATTTTCAAAGATTCTAGCTGTGACGTCAGTTAATTAAACGTTGGGAACCGTTAGGGAATGCAAAACATCCGGACATTCGGAAATTTGAAAAAGCGGAAATGAAGAAATTCGAAAATCCCAAAAATTCAAAATTTGAAAATCTCGAAACTCCGAAATTCTGATATTCAAAAAGTTAAAAAGAAATTCAGAAGTCATAAAACTTGATGATCTCGAGTTTCCAAAATTTCGAAGTTTCGAAAATCCGAAAGTCCTAAATTCCAAAATTCCGAAATTCTAAAAGTCTAAAATTCTAAAACTTGAAAATTCTGAAGGCCCAAAATACGTTGATCTCCAGATTCTGACATTTAGAAAATCCCGAAATACTGAAATCCTAAAACTGCGAAAATAAAAAATTGAAAAATTCTGAAATTAAAAAAGCTTGAAAAACCAAAACTTTGGAATTCTGGAATCCCAAAGATTCCGAAATTCTAAAATTCTAAAATTTTTAAACTCTGAAATTTTTAAATCCCTAAATGATAAATTCAAGAATATAAATAATCTAAACTTCAAAAATTCAGAAGTTTTAAAATTCGAGAATTATGGATTCCGAGATTCTGGAATTCTAACATTTTCAAATTCTCGAATCCTAGAATCTAAAACTCCTAATTTCTGAAACCCCAAAACTCGATGATCTCGGAATTCTTAATATTTAAAATCAAAAATTCCGAAATTTCAAAGCTCGCTGCCGTCAAAATTCCGAAATTCTAAAATTCTAAAACCTTGAAATCCCATAATTCAAGAACCCGAAATCCAAACTCTCGAATGCTAAAGTTCCTAAATTTTAAAATCCTGAAATTCTAAAACTCTGCGATTCTGGAACTCCGAAAATTCCGAAGTTCTTGAATTCTGAAGATCTGAAATTCTAGTTTACAAATTCTAAAATTCCAAAAATCTGAAGTTCTGAAACCCCGAAATTCGAAGATTCCTGAATTCTGTAAATCTAAAATTTCATAATCTAATTTCCCGAAAGTTGAAAACCTCCGAAAATACTAAAGTTAAAAATTTTTAAATTCCAAAATTCAAAAAAATTGAAATTCGGAATATCTAGAATTCAGAGATTCTGAAATTCTGAATTGTTCTAAAAACCCCAAACTCGAAATTTTAAAATTCTAAAATTCTGAAATTCTGGAAAGAAACAAGTATCCAAAGATTATTGCGTAGCTGCTGTTATAAATTTTTTTAAAATTAGATTTTTCAAAAACAGTAGAATTCAAAAAATATTATCACACTATCCAAAAGTAAATTTTGTTATTTATACCCTTCTGAATTTAAAAAGCTAGACTATGGGAAAAGAAATTTCTTCGAATTCTCACGATTTTTGAAGAAAATTGAAAACAAAAAACTTACTTTCTAAAAGGCCTTGCTCCAAAATGTGCCATTTCGGTTATATTAAAGAATAAAATGACCTAATTCAAAAAAAGAGTGTATAATATAAAATAAATTTTGGAGTATTTTATGATAATCTTATTAAAGACACTCATCGTCATCATTTGTCCGGTTTTTTATCGATTTTTCTTCCAACAACGGGTGTCTGTCAACTGATAATTTGATAAATAGAAACTTATTTTTCCGGGCCTGATAAGTGAGGAAATTTTGTTTTTTAGTTTACGTTCTGGTTCACCGTTCGGTTTTGATTAATGGGTAGATCTATAGAAAATTAGAAGGAAGCTATTTAAAAACGGATTTTGAATCTAAAGCGATTGAAAAAAACAGAAGTAATTGTTTTTGAGCAGAATTATTCTTGTCTTCTTCTCCAGAATCATAAGTCTCTCTTCTATTTCCGAATTCACAGAATCCGTTTTGTACTCATTGGTTACGTGACAACGGATGCATATGAGAGAATAGAAGGGGTACGAAATCTATCGAAAAGACATGTGAGGGAAATTAGAAAAAGGTGTGAAATATTTATCACCTGAAAAAATTAAAGGTGTGTGCATTTACGCACTGCATCGGGGTCGTAAAATTGCAGTTGTATTACACAGATAAAACAATTAAAGTTTTGGCTATAAAAAAGTTTTACAAACTTTCTTTTTTTTCAGACAGAATCCAACGATTTCTAATTTTATTTATTTCATCAAAGTACAGTATCCCTTCCCCTGAAAATTCAGACATTCTCTTCAAGTTTTTGATCTCGATCGGTAACACAACTTTAAAAAAACAGCTTCTTTATTTTATTTTTTTTTTGATTGTTGGTTAATAAGTAAATGACATCATTTTCCAGTTTTTCTTCCTCACCTTCTCTTTTTTCTCACCCCCAAAATACACTTTGCGCGTAAAGTGATGCGCACTTGGTTCCCTTTTCAACCCTACAGTGTTTGCGGAGTTGTTCGACGAAAATTTTTTTTCCTATTTTTCACCGAATAAAATCTTTGATATTTACTTATAATTCACCGAAATTTTCGATTAAAACGTTCTATTCACATAATATCAAATTTTTTAATAACTAATATCTTACTCCTTCCTCCCATAGGTTGCATAGCCCGTTCCGATAACAATATATATGTTTTCAAGGTAACATGGACTTCTTCGTCAAAAATGGCGAGGAGCCATATATGCAGTTTTCGAACTTCAAACTTCGGAACTATTTTCCTCATGAAATCGACAAGCTGAGTGTTCTGAAAGTCATACAAACTAAGACTTTCGACGAGGTATGTGGCTCACTTACACTTTCAAAAAATTTCCGTGCTTTTAGGTTGGCCATCCGATTGAAGGAGGTTTGTATGATCCTGTTCTTGGTCCTGATAACATCCGCGACAACTGCAGGACATGCAACCAATATGAAAGACATTGTCCAGGACATATGGGACATATTCAACTTGCTGTACCGGTTTTTAATCCACTTCTTTTTCAATTCACATACAATGTGAGTTTTATGAAAGTAATTTCTAAAAGCTATATTTCTATTTTACAGCTCCTGAAAGGTTCTTGTGTCCACTGCCATCGTTTGACATGTAAAGGAGATGGAGTCAACGCTCGCATGCTTCTCGCTCAGCTGCGATGCTTCGAACTTGGTGTCGAGCATGTTGCTTTCGATCTCGAAGCTATTCTCCGTGACAAAATCACTAATGCTGACTTGCTCGATGATGATGATTCAAAAGCATTCAATGATGTAGACACTTGCATTGTTCAGTTGGCCAATAAACCACTATCCGAACTTACCCAGTTCAAGGCAATGCCAACGAAAAATAGTGTGCAATTGAAGAAAGACCTTATCACCGATTTCCTTAGAGGACACTTGTTCAAACGACTTCAAAAATGTCCTCTTTGTAAAAATCGCAACGGAATCCTGAGAAACGATGGAGCTCGATCGATTCTCATTGACTTCACTGGTTCTCGCGGAAAATCGAAGAAGGCTCTTATCATCGGAGACGATGGATATAATGAGGAATCATCCACAGACGAGGACGAGAAGAAGGATGACAAGAAAGGAGTTGAAGCCAATGTGAATGTTGTTGACATGACAGAGAACAGTCTGGATATTCAGATGAAAAGTGTGAAAAATGGAGAATGCGACAAACTGGCATGGAGAGGAGCAGAAGTTCGTGAGCACTTCCGAGCCTTATTCAAAAATGATGGAAAACTTCTTCTGAAACTATTCCCAATGTTGGTTGATGAACTGAATGGAGAAGATATGATCTGCCCGTTAGATGGCTTGTTTCTTGAGAGAATTTTGGTGCCACCGAAGAAGTTCCGCCCTATTCGAATGTTCAAAGGAGCACAATATGAAGATCCACAAACGATGAATCTCCGTAAAGTTCTCGAAGCCACTGAAACGATCTCAGCCATTTCATTGATCATGAAAGGTGACAATAGTTCTGAACTCATCCAACTGGTAAAAGATAGAGTTCGTGGAAAGACAATCAACGCCCAAATGCACGATGCTTACCTCCAATTGCAACTCCGTGCCAACGCAATTTTCGATCAAGATCTCAACAAAGGAGATCGTGACAGCATTGCTGGAATCAAGCAAATTCTTGAGAAGAAACAAGGATTGTTCAGAATGCACATGATGGGAAAGCGTGTCAACTTCGCTTGTCGTTCAGTCATCACTCCAGATCCATACCTTGATATTGATGAAATCGGAATTCCGGATATTTTCGCAAAGAAACTGACATTTACGGAGCCAGTGAATGCTTTCAATATTAAGGAAATGAAAGAATTGCTTCACAGAGGACCTCACCAGCATCCAGGAGCCAATTTCTTTGTCGAACCATCTGGAAAGAAAACGATGCTTGGAGATAAACCCGATGAGGTGAAACGTAGAAAACTAATGGCAAAAACCTTGAATGCTGCTACAACTACAAGTCTTCGTCAGACTCCGAAAGTACTGAGACATATGAGAAATGGAGATATGATCATGATGAACCGTCAACCATCCCTTCACAAGCCTTCAATCATGGGCCATCGAGCAAGAGTGCTCACCGGTCAACGTGCTCTTCGGATGAACTACGCTCCTTGCAAAGCCTACAATGCCGATTTCGACGGAGATGAAATGAACGGACATTTGGTACAATCACACATTGCTCAAACAGAAGTTCGCGAAATTGCCAATGTTGGAAGCAACTTCTTGGTTCCAAAAGATGCTACACCACTCCTTGGATTGATTCAGGATCATGTCGTTTCCGGTGTTCTTCTCACTCTTCGTGATCGATTCCTGAACAAAGAAGACTTCATGCACCTGGTTCTCGCTTCTTTCGCTCAATATTCAAAGCGAATTGAAATTCCGCCACCAACGATTCTCTACCCAAAGCGGCTCTGGACTGGAAAACAAGTTGTCAGCACTATTGTTAAAAATTGTATTCCAGAAGGAAAACCACTCATCAATCTGGACGGAAAAGCAAAAACACCACTCAGCTGTTGGATTGTTCCTGGATTCAAGCAGCCAGATTTCGACATGAGCGAATCGCATGTGGTGTTCAGAAAAGGAGAACTGCTTGTTGGAGTTCTCGATAAGGCTCACTTCGGAGCAACACAATTCGGATTGGCTCATTGTGCCTTCGAGCTATACGGACATCGTTGTGGAGTTCAACTGCTTTCGTGCTTTTCTCGTTTGTTCACAACATATCTGCAGGTATGTTTTAAAAATAATAATCAAAGGCTACATATTTATTTTCAGTTCCATGGATTCACTCTCGGTGTTGCTGATATTTTGGTGGTGAAGGAAGCCGATGGAAAGCGTAAAGATGCAGTCATGGAATCACGAACAATTGGAAATCAAGTTGTCAAAACGGCTTTCGGTCTCCCAGACTCTGCTACTCCGGCTGAAATCAAGCGAACTCTCGCTGCAACATATTGCAATCCACGTGGGCAAGGAACTGATGTGAAGATGTTGGACTTTGGAATGAAGCAAGGAATCGCTAAATACAACGACGCTATCACTAAGGCCTGTGTTCCTACTGGTCTTCTCCGTCTCTTCCCGCAAAATGCACTTCAGTTGATGATTCAATCCGGAGCCAAGGGATCTGCTGTCAATGCTATTCAGATTTCCGGATGTCTTGGTCAGATTGAATTGGAAGGTAAACGTATGGCTGTCACTGTTGCGGGAAGAACTCTCCCATCTTTCCGATGCTTTGATCCATCTCCAAGAGCTGGTGGATATATCGATCAGCGTTTCTTGACTGGAATGAACCCACAAGAACTCTTCTTCCACACAATGGCCGGACGTGAAGGACTTATTGATACTGCTGTGAAAACTTCGCGCTCCGGATATCTCCAGCGTTGTATTATCAAACATCTTGAAGGAATCCGAGTTCATTATGACTCCACTGTTAGAGATCACGATGGATCCGTAATTCAATTCAGATATGGAGAAGATGGAATGGACACTACCAAAGTTACTTTCCTGAACAAGAAGACTATGCCGTTCCTTGAAGACAATTTGGAAGCTGTCACTCTTGCTTCAAAACCAGAAGGTGTCAATGATAACGAGTTTGGAATCAACGACACTGAAAAACGGTACAGAAAGATCATGAAGTGGAAGAAGAAGGCACCAAAAACTGGAAAGAAGTCATATTTCTCTGCATTCACGAACTTTTCGGCTGAACACGCAGGACTCGACAAGAAACGAATTTTGGCGATGTGGTTCGAGCTTTCGCTGGAAGAACGAGCTGCATACGAGAAGGGAATTCCGAAGAAGTGTCCAGAAGCCGTCGATGAACGTTATAATCCTTCATGCAAACTTGGAGCGCTTCCCGAAAAGATGTTGGATGAAATCGAAGGATTCTGTACGAAATCTAAAGAAGAACCTAATGATATTCTGAAAAGAACATTGTTCTGGAAAGGTAATTTTTATTTATTTTCAAAATGTTAAGCACATTTATCAAAATGTTCAATTGATGATTCAAAATTTTTTTTATTCAGGAATGCGATCACTTGCTGATCCTGGAGAAAATGTTGGTCTCCTCGCTGCTCAATCCATTGGAGAACCGTCAACTCAGATGACATTGAACACTTTCCATTTCGCCGGTAGAGGAGAAATGAACGTCACTCTTGGAATCCCACGTCTTCGAGAAATTCTAATGACAGCTTCGAAGAGCATTGCAACTCCAAGTGCTTCAATTGCTGTCATCGCTGGAACTCCTCGGGAAAGAATCGATACAATCAAACGAGAGTTAGATCGTGTTTATTTGAAGCAGTTACTTAAGAATTTTTCAATGGAAGAGAAAATCACACTTACTCAAAAGTGAGTCAAACATATTCGATATTCTAAAATATAATTATGAAATTTCAGTCAATCTACGCGTCGTTATCATCTTCGAATTGAAATTCTTGCTGCTGAGAAGCGCGAGCAAGGCGCACGGCATCTGAAGCGTTCCAAAATTATGGACGAAATCGAGAAAAGATTCATCCTTCGTGTTTCTCATGCAATCAAGAAGAAGTATCTGGATATCACCGATTATCAACAAATGTCCCATCGTACAATGCGCCAAGGAAACATTGCCGCTGGAATTGATACTCAACGAGGAAAATCCAGAGGATTACAAGGACCAGACAACGGAGACTCGTCGGACGAAGAAGCTGAAGGAGGTAGAGAAGCTGACGCTGCTGAGGCACGTCTTCATCAAAGACATCGTGACGAGGCAGCAGATTATGAAGGAGAAGATGAGGAACGTGTAGAAGTTCGTGAGCGTGATGATGAGCCAATGGATTCGGATACAGAAGATGTGAAGAATGAAGAAGACGATGAGAACAAGAATGATAAAAAAGATCCTATGGTCAACTCATCAAGAATTCAAGCCGTTCAGAGACTATCTGATAATATCTCTAGCTACACGTACGATGTAAAATCTAACAAGTGGTGTGAAGTTGTCTTCGAGCTCCCATTGAGGAACAAGACCAAGATGGATGTATCTTCCATTGTGGAAAGGTTTGTTTCCGCATGCTTTTCATTAAAGATGTTTCGAAAATTTTCAGAGAAGTTGATCAGTTCATTGTTCATCAAACGCCTGGAATTGAGCGATGCGTTGAGACCACAGAACAGAAGAATGGAAAAGAGACGATCATTCTTCAAACTCAAGGAGTCAACCTTGCTGCTTTCTTTAAACATGCAGATGTCCTTGATGTCAATTCAGTGTACTCTAACGATCTGAACCTGATTCTCGAGAACTACGGAGTCGAGGCTTGCGCCAAGGCCATTACTACTGTAGGTTTTTTTTTGGGTACTGTATGTCGACACTATTCGTGGGATGTATATATCAAGAACACACCGCGCCGCGTAGGTACATTTATCACAAAAAGTGTGTCTTCTTCGAAGTGAACAAAACCAATCACTTGTCACTCGTTAACACAATTAACACACTATCCCACGGCATGTCACATGGCGGTCCGAGAACAGAGGGAGAAGATTTATGGTTGCTATCATTTTGATAACAGCCTCTTTTCACTAGGCGCCACCGTAATAGAAAGATAGACCGTTTTGTTCGCGACTCGTGTGTCGTGTGTGATATATCTTCTATTAATAGGGTGAAGCGAAAGAAGATAGAGACGGAGAAGACGCGAACTACATTCACACTCCCATGTGAAAACCATGTGGTTACACGAAAAGACAATGAAGTCTCTGCATGTTTTTTGGGAGAAACTGTAAAATGTACAGAGTGAGTTTCTCTGTGACGTAGTTGATCTTCTAAAGATTTTTGCGATGAAGGAGAAGACGTCGGATTTGTATCTCTGCTGCAGGAAATGAGAATTCCTCATTGTAATTAGGAGAAGACGGAAGCTTTTTGCGAAGAAATTGGAGCGGCAATAAACTTTGAACTATTCTCGTAAGCAAATTAGGAATGATTGGGCATCATGACACACAAAGAAGTTGTTTCTAGTCCAAGTTTTGAGAAACAAGGGCTGCAAATAGAGGTCAAAAGACCGAAAGCGTTTCCTTTTCAACTGTTTTTTCAGAAGCTGTTACAGTACAACAACATGTCTCATGACGAATTAGTGTGATAAGCCGAATGAAACTTGACGAAGTTAAAGATTTACGGTTGGGAAAGGCTGCGCCACGGTCGGCCGTGGCATCTTGAATACGGTACTTCTGGGATATTCCGGCCGTGCCATTATTTACCTACTGGAATTTCCTGAAATAGAAATCTGAAAGAAATGGCACTTCAATCTCTCCATCCCTCAATTCACAGCATCTATTTGGACACTTTGATTTGAATTCAAATTTGGGTATTTCATACTGTAACCTCCGGTTAGGTACCTGGTGGGGAGTACCAAGTACCTACCATCACACATAAACATCAGCACCGCGATCTTCAATGTCCTTCCTCGACAGGCGGACTTCCTCAAGAAGAGAGAGTTCCGAAATTGCATTCCATTCTCTCATACCCTGCCTGGTACCTCTTCTCTTAGATTCGAAGAAAAGTGATTAGTGATAATGAGACATAGACGAAATGAGAATTCTATTTTCCTCTCTTCAGAAGCCGTCCTATTCTGAAGATACTTTTAGAACTGTATTGGAATGGGAATATCATGCCCCCAGAGGAGACTGATAGAAAAAAAGACTGTTTAGGAATGGGCGGTCCAAAGTGTTTTTCTCTCTCTCTAAATGTCCGTCGCACCGCGCCGCGTCGACTTTGTCGTCTTCTAGTGTCTTGTCGATTATGTGTGTGTTCGCCTCTTTCTGATCTTGCGACGTCACTGCGCCCCGTTCTTCTGATTCCTTCTTCATCGTCGTCGTTGACTATATTCTTAGACGACGTGCTCTTCTCTCCTCCTTCATCGATTATTGACTATTTGCAATGAAGATGATTGAAGATGGAGAATGTGGAAGAAGAAGGTGATTAAAACTTTTCCTCCTTTTACTCCTCCCACAATCTACTATGCCTTCTAACTCTTACTACTATATAAGGATGAGAGAAAACATATTGGACCCTATATTGTTTCAGTAATTACCATTTTTAGACAAGGAAGTAAAGAAACACACTCACATGTTATATTTAGATGAAGATCACACTGAAAAAAACAAGTCCAGTTTTGATTGATCACAGTCGTAATGATGAGAACGACTAGGGGAGACAAAGAACGAGATTCTCTCGAATTCTCAAAACTTTTAATAGTTTGAAGCTGTTTTCTGAAGTATCACACTAAAAATGGTTCGGACAGTATCTGACAACAGCTTGTTAAAGAACACTGTAATAGAAGGCTATACCTGCACGTTGAGCTCAGTTATCTCAATTTCTATAAGAGATTATAAAAATCTGTAAACTGATATTGGTGAGATTATGATGAAACAGGAATCGAGATAATTAAGCTCGAAGTTAGAAAGTTAAGGGTCCTTCTATTACAGGTTTTACGGTATACATTATTGTAAATCATATTGGAAAAAAAAACTGAGAAAAATCAAGCTAGAGCTGGCCGATAATTCAAAAAGCATATATTTCTTTCAGGAAATGAACAATGTGTTCGCAGTATACGGAATCGAGGTCTCCAAGCGACATCTCTCACTGACGGCTGACTACATGACGTTCACCGGACAAATTCAACCATTCAATCGTGGAGCCATGTCGTCCAGCTCCTCGCCGCTTCAGAAGATGACATTCGAAACGACGATGGCCTTCCTTCGTGAAGCACTTCTACAAGGTTTGTTTTCGATGTTTGACTCGCTAAATACTTGGAATGTTAGTAACGTTTCTCTCTTCGCGCACTTAGGGAGTGGTGGTGCAAGCAGTCGAGCGGAATAGATTTGGAAGTCGCCGCGAGAATTCGGTTCCTCCTGCAAACTGTAGATTTGTGTCTTTTGAAGATCATTACCATTCTTCAAAGTGGACAGTGATCTTTTGGTAAAAAATTGCGTAGACAGGATTATCAGAAAGATGTGTCCTATCTTCTCCCTGATTGTGAGATTGAGTACACAAAGTTTGTCCTTTCTTCTATGATAGTGTGATAAGAAGATGTTCATTGATACCAAAAAGTGTTCTCACTTCTATAATAGAAGTTCTATTGTTCTCAAAAAGAGAGAAAAGGAAAGAAGCAAATTTTTGTTGATAGAGTCAAATTATTTATCTATTTAGATCTACACCAACAATCAGTATTAGAAATTTTTTAGGTGATCGGTTAGATTAGATCATGAGGTGGCAAATTGAGTAACAAAGTAAACTATTATGTTTTTTTTTCTATTTCGCGTCACGGGAAGAAAATTCTACGCGATTTCTAATTTATTGGGTTGTTTTGAGGAGAGCATAGTTCTTTTTCTTCTTGATGTGCCTCCAAAGTACACATCCTATAGTATAGATATGCACTTTCTTATTCCAAGAATGGCAACTGATATCTTAAAATTTCGAACTTGTTTCTCGTTTGTTCAATTCAATCTCCCAGTTTTTCTCTCTTCGATGCTTCTCAGAGAAGTCTTCTCCTCCGTCGTCCCAGACCGTTAGGCCCTCCAAAAGCAAGAAGATTCGCAGCAAAGAAAATAATGGTCTGCGCGCATGTGTATGACGCGTGAAGATCATTGAAGAACGCCATCGTACCCGTCTACGATTGCAAGGCAGCAAATACAGCAACGACTGCTTCCTGCAGAAAAAAAGAAGTCACAGTAGCAGCAGGCTTGAAAGTTTCTGTGTTCCCAACTTCTCTTCAACTGAATAAGCGGAAGTTACAACAATGGATCATGGTTCATGGAGAACATGAAAGAAGGGAGCACAGATCATGCTCTTTGCGAGGCGCCTGCTGCAGAGTCCCAGCTGTTTTCTGTTTACACTGGCTCTCGGTGCTCCGTCCACGTGGAATGACGTGGCGAGACCATAAGTGAGTCATTTAGATATAACTGGACTACGTACTCTCGTCGGTCCGAGGTCGAAGCACAGTGTCGTCTTGGTTTATCAAACTATGTTTCCTCAGGAGGCAATGAGAATTTCACACGACTCGAGTACTGTGATTGTGATTTATTGGATGTTTCGATCAGATATTTTTGATAGTAGACTTATTATTAGTTTGTTTGTCAAATGAGGAAGGTATTTTTCTAGTTGCCATCTTCTTCTTTTCTATTTCTACGATTTTGACCAGTCAGATAGAGATAGGCTTGTGAGAAAGTGACGAGCACTTCTTTACCACGTGGGGTCCGAATTGATACTGAAGTTGTTTTCACGTGAAGAAGCCGAGGCGACAACCCTTCTCTCGAATAGTATTAGTATACGGCCTGAAATTGACAGCACGTAAATTTTTGGAAGCAAAGCAACCCGGAAAAACATAATTTCCTTGTTTTCCATATTGAGCAAGACTAGGATTATGTCTGCATGTTATCAGCTAACTCCCGTTAGCCGTCAAAACAGACGACGTCGGAGAGACCAGGCAGTCTTATCTTTTCATGAGCAGTTCCACTGAATTGGGCACTGTTTCAATGCACTCCATCTTGTATACGAAAATGAGAAGAAGAGAAATAGAAGAGGAAATACTTGTTCATTATTTTTGTTTTGTTGATGATTATGATGTGGTTGGCAGTGGCAGCGGCAAGCAGTGATAGTGTTAGTTGGCCTGCTTAGCGCCTTTTCAATCTCCATCTATCACTGAGGTGGTTGACGATGATGATCGGTGACAGTAATGGGAAGAAAAAGCTACGCGTTGTGGTAGTAACCACTCCAGAAGAGTCTTGTTGTTCGTTGTCGTTTGGATAGTGTAACCCCGGTCCTGTCACCCGGTGACAGTCCGTTTGTAGTCCTACGTACTTTAAAAGATTGTGGGACTTGTCCCGGATACCTGTTTGAGTATCGAGGAACTAAGACGGACTCGAAAAGGCCATCAGATTGATGGGAAGTGTGAGAAGTGGTCTCATCGAATCCGCACTCTGCACTTCACGTGGAATCCCCACTCTGAAATTGAACCGAAAATATACCCCCGAGTGCCTACTCCGAGTCATAAGATCAGTGATGTGTGTTCCCACACAGAATGATAGAAACTTTGTGATTTGATAAGGTCGCCCCAATGGGTTAGTTGGAAGAAAAAGGTGGAAAAGTTTTCAGTTTTTTTTATTCTGAAAGTCAATAATGCAACATTTCTATGGGTAATAGTCCCCCGTTCAGTCAATATTGAAAATGTCAGAAAAAAACAATTGTAGTAGGGGGTCTTTTACAGTTTTCTTCCTTCTTCTTGCCCCAAGTGATTCATATCGATGACTAATAGTAATCGGATTTCTTGAGGAATTGAGTACAAAAATTACTGTAATATTTCTCATCCCTCTGAAGGCTTGAGCAATATCTAGGAAAACAAGAGGGAAAACAAGATTTCAAAGGGATTAGGAAGAGGAACTAGGAGTTGCACATGAAGCCTTTGTATTCCTGGAGCCCCCTGATGACGTGAAAGTCCAAAGTAATTGTAGCAAAAGTATTATCAGTGAGCGGAGCACCCACTCTCTTACACCTCGCGTTTTTGTACTCAATTGATAAGATAATGAACTGAAGTTCAGATACACTGACAACAGAAACAACAAGAAACTGCTTTCAGGCGAAGAAGACAACGTCAACTCTCCATCGGCTCGTATCGTGATGGGTGCATTGCCACGTGGAGGAACTGGATCATTCGACCTGATTCTCGACACAAAAATGCAATCGGAACGTGAAGAGGACGAGGCTGCACGAGCTAAAAAGCGTGTGTCTAAGAAATTTTAGAAGACTGTTTTAGAGAGACGATAAGCTATCATTAAGAATTCCATTTTGGCTGGTTGCTTAGCTCTCATTGTTACTCTTTTTTATTCGATTCCTAGTTAATGTTTTTGCTCTCTTTTTGTTAATCTTTTCATTCTGTTATCCCCTTCTTGTTTTTTTGTTTTCTATTGTTTTCTCTTTTGTTAAGTTTTCTCTCTCCCCCCTGAAATGAAGTTCTTGAAAATGAGCCACAAGTGTTAATTAAATTAAATTAACTTTATCAACTTTTCAACTTCTTCTTCTTCTTCACCCTAATTCAAGACCATCAATTTTTCAGAGAGACCCATTCTCAACGAAATAATACGTTAAATGATTCAATCATTTATTATATGTACAAGAAGAAGCACAAAGTGCTTTTTCAAAGTCGAGATTCGTCTTTTTTGGCAGAAAGAAGTGAAATTTGGGATCACAAAGGAAGAGAGATTTTCAGAAAAAGAGACGCAGAGAAAGAAAGATGGTGTTGAATTAAAGCAATTTTCGCGGGGAGGCAAGAAGAAGAAGTCGTGGTTTCTCGGAACCATGTCGAGGTGGTTTTTTGGAGATCTTTTGAGCATTTTACGAGGACGATGATGACGTAGATGATGTGGCAGAAATGATGGTTTGCTCACTGAAAAATGGGAAAATGAATTTGAAGCTCGCGGAGCACACGAAAACTCACCATTTTGAGAATCGATCACTTGTACAAGGATCGAATCGTTTGAATCGTCGGAAGGAGACGAATTCAAGGGTGTCGCGGGATGGATGGATGATGCTGATCATGATTTTTTGAATTTCAGGGAATTAGAAGAGCTCAATTAGTGAGTTTCTCTTGTATATCAGTGTCTATTATTATCAGTGTTTAAAGGAGGCGACAGGCTGACGACAGCCGCACGCTTATATAGTGAGAGGGGCGGGGCTTCCCAGGGAGACTCCGCCCACTTCTTCTCCTCTCACACGGCAGCAGTTTCGACCAACTATTGAGACCACGTTGGCAGTGTGCCAATGGGCGGGGCCTTCTGGGAACTTTTTCTGGGGTACTTTGTGTACTGAGAGAGAGAGAGAGAGAGAGAGAGAGAGAGAGACTGGTTTCTCCTTTGGTTATGAGAAACAAGGATTACGGTAGGTCTTTCCACCACAATGGAGGAAACGGACTGTTTATAATTAATTGACTTTTTTGTTTGTGGTTCTTTTTTTGTTTTGTTTCTTTTTAGAAAATAAAATCGAAGGAGGAGGATTCTTGATTTGGAACCAGCAGAACCCCCTTTTGTTGCATTGTTCCCTTTGTGGGTGGTTCTTTTTCTTTTTTAGATTCAGAAAACCGTTTTTCAGATGTTTTGAAATTAAATAAAGGAAGTGTAGGTTGGTAGAAGTCGGAAACAAAATTGGTTGACTTAGAAGGGAAAGGAATTCTTGTAGGGGATTACGGTAAGTATTGCTTTTATGGATTACTGTAGTTACGTGAGAATTACTGTAGTTAATTTTACGTAAGGATTACTGTAGTTAATAATTTTACAGGAGGATTACTGTAGTTAATTTTACGGGAAGATTACTGTATTTTATTTTACGTGAGGATTACTGTATTTTAGGTGAGAATTAATGTAGTTTATTGTACGTGTAGATTACTTTAGTTTATTAAACGAGAAGAGTTTTGCTTTTAATTTTACGTGAGGATTACGGTAGTCATGTTACGTGGAGGCTACTGTATTTTATTTTACGTAAATGTTACTGTAGATAATTTCACGTGAAGAAAACTATAGTTAACTTTTCGTGAGGATTAATGTAGTTGAGAATCCGTACAGGATTACGGTAGAATCTTCAATCTAGACTGCTCCTAAATTAACGAATTCAATTTTCAGCTTTCCGACATCTTCTTTATGTTCCACGTCTTCTTATTTATTTCCTTGGGAAATACTTTTGCAGTTCTTTTTTGTGAATACTTCCGGGTTCCACACCTGATCATTTTTTTCTGGAACCAAAGATTTAGGAATTGCTAATCTTCTCAAAATCCACCTCCACCTTTTTTTCCGGAACCATTTTTCCAGAATCACGTCGTCTTTGATCTATCTGAAATTCTCAAAATTGCGTAGGATTGGATTCGGTTTAATCACAAAACAACGACGTTCGTTTTGTATGAGATTTCCAGCTAAATGATATCATTTGATATTTACTACCTTTCTTTTCCGTATAATAAGGAAACAAAAGCCAATTTGTAAATGATCAGGTGTATTCTAGTAGACTAGTTGATAATCAAACAAGAAACATTTCCAGTTATTTGGCCAACAAAACAAAAACATGACATCTCGCATCATCTTGGGTTTTCTATAGAGATTTTGAAAGATTCCGGTGGTTTTGAAATATTTCGAAAAAGAATTTCATAAAGTTGTTCCTCGTATTTCTGCACCCACTTGCTAAGTAGGGGTTTGATAAAAGATTAGTCTGACAACGTCACAAAGTTTTGTATCCTTGACTTTCTTTTTTGGTAGGTCAATGGCGGGAAAAAAAGATAATAGTACAATATTGAGATCGAAAGGACAGGTTACAAGAGGTCTGAAAATGTGTGAAGGACGGGTTTTGATGCATTTGCATATATGAAACCATAGATATATAAAACCTTGATATGTAAACAAAGTTTCTTCAGTTAAAGATAGGGGAAATTGAAAACAACTTCTTCAAGACATACAAAAACCTATTTTTCTGTCGATTTTTTGCCATTTTGACAAATTTTTAAGAGTCTGGAGCTCGGCTTCCAAGTTTCCGGTCACTGAAAATTTTGGAGGATGTAAAACAGACTTAGATTGAAAACTTTGCATTCACAGATTTTTTTTTTGAAAATTCCTAGTTTTTCACATATTTGCCGATTTCTGAGAGATACCTCTTTTTGGCCAATTTTGTACTGAAAATGTGGAAAATTTGGTGTCTTTTAGAAATCAGCAAATGGATGAAAAACTAGACATTTTCGAAAATTCTGTGAATTCCAAGTTTTCAATCAAGGTCTGTTTCACACCCTCAATTGATCGGAAACTTGACAGCCGAACTCCAGACTTCTGAAAATGGTCAAAATGTCTGGAAATCAACAGACAAATACGTTTTTTGTGTTTCTTATTGCTCAATTATGTATACAAAAACGTCTCTCTCGTCAACAATAAAACTATCGGAAATAAGGCCGCGGTTAGGCCCAGGGTAGATTACCGTGGACCAAACCGTCCGTTCTTTTTTAAATAACCCCCCCCCCCCCCCCCAACCAATATCTCCTAGAGCCGACAGGCCGTAGAACCCTATCCATCCCAGACGCACCCTTACCAAAAAGCCGCGGCCTACGTCCGAAAGCCTTGGTCAACCCAAAGGAAATTTTGGCCAACAAATCTACAGTAAGCCTCTTCCCCAACGAGTAACCTGATAAAATGACCATTAGTACTCTTCTCAAATATTACACTTTTGTTTTTAGACATAAAATCTGGACGAACGGCTACTACTTCACGTGATGCCAACTGACGACGCCAGCTATCGTTTTCTTCTTATCATTTCTTCTTTTTCTTCTTTTTTTTCGCCCCCTCTCAAAAATTTCTCACGATCAACTATCAAAATAGACGATCTATTTTTGGTATTTTTCCCAGGGTGGCTGGTTCTATTTTTGGGTCGACAGTATCTTCTAACTGATCAGATGGGATAAATTGAGATCAAGTTCACGTGAACTCCGAGCGAACTGTCTGGAGACGACTGGAATTTGAGACAGAGACCGCCATGGAATGTGGGAAAATTGAGATGATAAGAAGGGAAACTTGAGATAAAAAGATACGATATTTTCGCGCGCGGTCGGTACAAAGATATCGAAAAAATGACAAAAAGAAAAGGTTCTGACAGAAAAATAGATAAATTTTCGGGAGAAGAGATGAAATAAATGATCTCTGAAATGAACTTTGTTTTCAGAAAGCCTCGATTGGTCATAAAGTTATCAATGATAAGGAAACACTGGACTTAAAACAAGGGAAAAAGAAAAACAGGGTTTTTAGAGATTCCAGAAAATCGGTGACTAAAATAGGAAGTTTACATTCAGAGAAGTTCGGAATGGAATTCGGAATTCCGAAAAAAAGAAGGTCACTCTAACTTTTAACTTTTAACCAATTTATCCCGGTTTCTGTCGAAGATATAAAAAGTTGTCAATTGATAAATTGTTTATCATAATATTAACATTTTTTCAGTTGACACATTTTTTATATCTTTCACAGCTACTTTTCGCTAATTTTTCGAGCATTTGTGATGAGAAAGTTCAAAATTTGAATGTTGAAGAATTCCGAATATTCCGAAATGTCCAAATTCCTCACCACGAAACCCTTCATCTTTGAAAACACTCCTGGATTCTGTTCTAATATTTTGTGTGCACCGACTTTGTTTCTGAGAATTGCCTATTCTCAAAAAACAATAATCCTACCCTGAGCAACAAAAATGAATCAAAGATCGTTTCGTAAATACCCCAAAACCAAAACAAAACATCCTGAACGATATACAGTACCGGTCGGCCTGTGTTAGTCTATGAACAGTGAACAAAAAAACTAGTCCAGTAGGCTAGTGACAGTTTTGAGAAAATAATGAAATTATAAGAGATGAATGATCAAGTTAAAGTCGATAGGAATGGAAAGCTCGCTTTATAAACATATTTTTCAAGTAGGGGTCGAAAATTTGGTTTAAAAGGGGCTGGTAAGTAGTGATACACTATGATAAATTCAGGAAACAATTGACAAAGTTTCAAAATGACCTAAAAATGCTGGTAGTGAGCTTTATTTCAAAGTTGAAACTAGATCTATGGAAACTGAAGACCTCAAATGATTCAAACCTCAAAATTATCAGATCTGTTGGCTAGAAAACATCCAAAAAATATCAGTGGTTATGATTCTGACGAAGGAAAAAGTGATTCAGATCCACTACGACTTATTGAATTTCAAAATGAATCTCTCTCAAAATGCTAATACAGTAATGCTCATTATTTTTCATTTTTGAATGAGAATCCAAAAACTACAGAAATCCTCATTGTTTTCAATTTTGACGAATGAGTCCGGAAACTACAGTATTCTTTAGTTTTTTTTTTTTTAATTTCGAAAAACGAACTCAAAAACCACAGTAATCTTCTTTTTTCAATTTTCAAAGGATGAATCTGACAACTATAGAAATTCTGATTGTTTCTGAATTTTGAAAGTAATTCCGAAAACTACAGTAATACTCTTTTTTCAATTCTGAAAAACGAATTCGACAACTACAGTAATCCTCATTGTTTTCAGTTTTCAAGAATCTACAGTAATCCTGGAAACTACAGTAATCCTTATCCTCATAACTCTCAATTTTGAAAAACTAATTACGTAAAAAATCCAGAAATTATTCAATATTAGATCATGCCCCTCCCCCCTTTCTGTCCACGTTTGAAAAATTCAACATATTGCAAAAAAAAAACAACAGTTTCCTGTGAAAGCAGACTCTTTGAATTGTATTGTTGGATAATTTTCACAAGCACCTCTTCTCGGCAAATAATTCGGAGGGTACAACAATTTTGGGGTCATTGGGGTACAAAGCAATTTAGGGGTACAAAACACAGAAAAAAGGCTTAGTTTGCACCCCCGAATTGTGGGTTTCGTACCCCTAAACTACTTTGTACTCCCTTGTGCCCCCGAATTGTTGTACCCTCTGAATTATGTGCCCCTTTTCTCTGATCTGATACTCTATGCATTACGCTGCTTACTGTTGTTCATTATCTTTTTTCTTTCGATTGGTCGAATGCGAAAAAAGTACTAGAAAGATCTAAGGGTCGCCATGCTTTGGGGTTCATGGCTAGGTGTTTTTCACTGAACGTACCCCTTTTGCAAAAGATTCAATCAAAGATTTCAAGCAATGAAATGACAGTAAAAAGCGTATGCATGACTTCTTAGCAGGGGAAAAGGGACTTTGGAAATTATCCAACAATGGTCCTCGGAGACCAGGGCGGGGGGACCCTTTCATGTCATGTACTGAGCCTCTACGTGGCGAAAGGGATCAACAGACAAAAGTCTGGCTAATCAGTACACCATTGAAACTTGTTGTTAATGTTTTTCAATAAAAATTTGTTTTTTTTCAGTTGGTTTTGACCTTTTTCAGGAGTCTGTATTTCGGCTGTAAAAATTAACGACCACTGCGAAAAATTTTGAAAAAAGTACCGTAATCCTCATTTTTTCAATTTTTTAAAGATTAATCTGACAACTACAGTAATCCTCATTGTTTTCATCTTTTTAAAGTAAATCCAACAACTACAGGAGACCTTTTTCAATTTTTAAAGATGAATCTGAAAACTACAGTAATCCTCATCATTATCGAAATTTGAAAGTGTATCCAACAGCTACAGTAATTCTCTTTTTTTTTTAATTTTGAAAAAAATATGTTGAAAACTACAGTAATCCTCTTTTTTCGATTTCTTTCAAAGACTCCGAAAACTACAGTAATCCTAGATATTTTGAAAGAAAGAATTCAAAAGACTTTATTGTTTACCACATAATCTTCTCGAAACATATCACAGAACTGACTCAACTACAAAAATAGCCATAAAATGTTGTCATCAGAAAAACGTGAGAGATTACTGGAGATACCTCGCGGAGTGAACGGAATGAACCGAGAAAAGAACGATCACTTATGAAAATGCGGCGTTTTTCATTGCAGATGTAGTGGCTTTGAAGATCATAAGAACAAGAGAAGATGGGATGGAAAGTTGGGTTCAAAAAAGGTTGAACCCAGAAATACGTTATCTGAAGAGATGAAAATCAGAAATCACCCAATTGGGGAATGAAGAAATGTTGGGGTTTTGTGAGAGCATTATCCTCTAGGGAATTGAGATATATTGATGTCCTCGGCGGATCTCACTTTCAAAATACATTGATACTGAAATCATAATCCCACAAAAAACTTTTTAGTTATCTTGAAAATGACGTGTGAACACCGTACTTCCTCTAATAGAAGCTCATCCAAACCGTCAACTTTGAGCTCAACTGTCCCGATTCCTATGAGAGGTATCAATTTTTAACTAATAAAATTAGTGATAATTATTATGATAAATAGTTCATAAGTTGACACAATTATGATATCTTTCACAGGAATCGAAATAATTCAGCTCAATATTGAAGGTCTGGGTGGACTTTTTTTGGGTTCGTTTTTTGGGTTCCTCAAAAAACCCATTGAACATTCCCAGGATTAAAAAGTTTTGCTTCAAAACTTTTCGGATTTTTTTAAACAGATGTCTCGTATAGATTTTCGATTGTCTGTGGATAACTTTTTGAACTTTGGATTTCTGAAAAAGAAAATTTTAGCAATTCTATCCGGGTATTTGCAATAGTCTGTTTACTTTCATCCTGAAAAATTGAAAATCGAGGTCCAAACCAAAATTTCGAGATAACCCTGATTTTTTAAGCTGTAACTTGTGCCAATTTTGGAAATTCTAATGAAACTTCTCAGAACGAAACTTCAAACTAAAACTTCAAACTTCAAACATTCGCGGATAATATTTCCAAGAAAAGAAAGCTGGTTAATTTACAAGATTCAGACATAAATATGTATATCAACTAATGAGCGCGAAACTTTCTATCGAAAAAATTTCAATGTCAAAAGTCTTCCAGCTTCGATCTACCATTTTTTTGGCCCGGGATTTGATGAGTACGAAGAGGCCAATTTCTTGGAATGACCATATTTTCTCTCTTTGCTTCATTCTTTGCAAAATTTTCCAGAGTTTTTCTTTTGGAAAAGTAGACAAATTTCTCTGAAACTCGTTTTTGTCACAAACTCTTTTTTTTAAGACAGCTAGCCTGGCTGGCGCGCCTTTGGCGCATTTTTGTCGTCTCTCACCGTCAGATTTCTCTATCTCCAATCGGTCAATTCAATTTATAATCAGTTTCCAAGCTTCACAAATGTCGTGCGGACAGACTGACAGAGAAAGAGAGGCCACTTTATTCATTTATTATAAGAATGAATGTTCTTTAGAAGACGTTTAGGTTCAAAACGCATTCACACCCGTTTCGTTCGCATCGCTTTTTCCATTTTCTTTGTTTTTCTCTCTATTTCTCTCCAATTTTTCTCCTCGCTCATCTTTTCCTTCTACGTTTTTACGTTCCTCTTTTTCTTCGTTTCGCTGACCAAACTCGACCACCGCCTCGCTTCACACATCTCGCCTTATTCTCCGTTCTGGTTTCTCCTTTTCGCTTGTTTTTGATATTATAAAAATACATTCATGGAGTCTCGGAAAATGGGCTCTTCATATAGTTTTATGTCCACCGCTTTATAATCACCTCACCTCCCATCTGTTGTGTGTTCTCTGACACACTTTGACCATTCCTACGTAACCAACTGATAACCGAAATTTCTGACCCCATATCATTTCCTGTTCTTCGATTTCCTTCGCCTCATAAAACTTGCTATCTAGCCCTCCTCATCAGCCCATATTTCACTACAGTTTGCAGTCTTTTATGTGTCCAGTGGACACATTGTCCATCATTTTCTGGGCACTTTGATATTATCTTATCTCATTAGCATCGGCTATAGCCAACTCTGACCTGCTGACGTGACTTTTACAATCTATAACTATCTATCTATCTGGGCGGGGACACTTTTTAGGTTTACCTGATTACATCACTTTTCCCAGACTCTTTTGTATAAAAGGACGCGTTGGACAAACTATCAAAACAACCCCCTCATCTCTATTTGCCTTTTTTGCATGCCAAAAAGTATTGTTGTGTAGCTCTTTCACAGGGTTCGAATTGCTGTGGTATACGGTTGCGCTTTAATGAAACGATGACGTCACGACGAATAGCAAGAAATTTGAATTTTTAAAGACCTAATTGAGCGCAACTGCATACCACATCAGTTCAAACGCTGGGCTTTTTTCGCATCAATTACAACGTTTTTTATTCTTCGTTCAATGGTTCTTTTTTTCCAGAATGAGCTCCCCAATTAACAAAGTACTCATCGCTGACGACATCGAGCAAGAATGCGTTGACATTCTGAAGCAAAACGGAATCGAGGTCACCGTTAAGACGAAGCAGACAAAGGAACAACTTCTGGAGACACTACCACAGCACGACGCTGTCATCGTTCGTAGTGCTACGAAGATCACCGCTGATCTTTTGGCTGCATCAGCTGGAAAGTTGAAGCTTGTCGGAAGAGCAGGAACTGGAGTCGACAACATTGATGTACCAGCCGCCACCGCCAATAAGATTCTCGTGATGAATACGCCTCGTGAGTAGTGTTTTGACTGTTGTACTGTCTAGTTAGATGTTTGCTTAACTTGTATCACATGTGTTAACCCCCGGCATTCCTCGAACAAAAAGGTTTCTTATCAAAACTATCTATTTTCAGAAGCCAACTCTCGCTCTGCCGCCGAACTGACATGTACGCTGATCCTCTCACTCTCTCGTCATGTTCCACAAGCCGCCGCCTCAATGAAGGCTGGAAAATGGGCACGCAAGGACTTCATGGGAGAAGAGGTCTATGGACGCACACTTGCAGTTCTCGGACTCGGACGCATCGGAACTGAAGTAGCTATTCGCCTTCAAGCATTTGGAATGAGAGTCATTGGATACGATCCAATCGTCACTAAAGAGCAAGCTCAAGCCAAGAACATTGAGTTGCTCCCTCTCGAACAAATCTGGCCTCAAGCTGACTACATCACAGTTCATGTGCCACTTATCAAGCAAACTGAGAACTTGATCAACAAAGAGAGTGAGTAGATTTCTATCGTAATTCAAATCTCAATGACCTATTTTCAGCCCTTGCTCTGTGCAAGAAGGGTGTTCGAATCATCAATGTGGCTCGTGGAGGAATCGTCAACGAGCAAGACCTTGTCGAGTCTCTGAACAATGGACATGCCAAGGGAGCCGCCTTCGACGTCTTTGAACCAGAACCACCAACGTACAGAGAGTTCGTTGATCACCCACTCGTCATTGCCACTCCACATCTTGGAGCCTCCACAATCGACGCTCAACTCCGTGTCGCCTCGGAAATCGCTGATAATATTGTGCAATACAATAAGGGAACTGTTCTTGGTGTTTTGAACGCCAGAGAAGTTCTCCACTAATCATTTTTCATTCACTTCTCATGTCTGTATTTTTGTTCGACTTACCTCGATCATCCTGTCTTTTTGTACCATTCTTTTGTATCATGATTTTGGTTCTATAACTAGTAAATTCATTTGAAGTTTATTTTTTCTTATTTGTTCTTTTTTCAAAATCAAATAGTGTGCTGCTCGGCTGTCATCTTATAACTTTTAGTCAGAAGTTGAGGGGTCTGGCTTCTGGACGGATATTGGCCATGTTGCCCAAAAACGGCTGTACAGCGGGCTATGGTCAGATTCTGGGCAAAAGTTGGACTTTGACATACTAATTTGTCTGAACCTTGAATTGAAGGCTGGTATGGAAAAGAGGACATGTGAAGAATATTGAACATGACCTACTACAGTAGTCTCACGAGCAGAAGTTCGCTTCTTTTGAAAACGTGTTGATCTTACTAGCATCTTTTTTATTTGTGGGTTTTTTTATCCAACGGACTTAAAGATCAACACTATCAGTCTTTTCAACTCATTACGAGATTGTCTACTCGCCGAACAACACTCAATTGTGATTTTTGAATAACCGTAAGTTTCCGATCGCTCTATCAAATTTCAACTCTTCATTTTCCAGCTGAAAATGACACACTTGAACTTCGAGACGCGTATGCCACTTGGACAAGCAGTCATTGATCAATTCCTCGGACTCCGTCCTCATCCAACCAAAATCCAAGCAACTTATGTTTGGATCGATGGAACTGGAGAGAATCTCCGATCCAAAACTAGAACTTTCGATCGTCTTCCGAAGAAAATAGAGGATTACCCCATCTGGAACTACGATGGATCCTCTACTGGACAAGCCAAAGGACGGGATTCCGATCGATACTTGCGTCCAGTTGCAGCATATCCTGATCCATTTTTGGGTGGTGCTAACAAACTGGTTATGTGTGACACGTTGGATCATGAAATGCAGCCAACAGGTTCAATGGTCATAGTTTACATATTTTTAATTTTGTTTTGCAGCTACCAATCACCGTCAAGCCTGTGCTGAAATCATGAATGAGATCCGTGACACCCGTCCATGGTTCGGAATGGAACAGGAATATTTGATTGTGGATCGAGATGAGCATCCACTCGGATGGCCGAAACATGGATTCCCGGCTCCTCAAGGAAAGTATTACTGTAGTGTTGGAGCGGATCGAGCATTCGGAAGAGAAGTTGTTGAGACACATTACCGTGCTTGTCTTCATGCCGGACTCAACATCTTCGGAACAAATGCAGAAGTCACTCCCGGACAATGGGAATTCCAGATTGGAACTTGTGAGGGAATCGATATGGGAGATCAATTGTGGATGTCCAGATACATCTTGCATAGGTAATCGAACATTGTTAAGATGGAAGTCAAAAGAATCATTCAGAGTTGCTGAACAATTCGGAGTATGTGTATCGTTAGATCCTAAACCAAAAGTCACAATGGGAGACTGGAATGGTGCTGGATGTCACACCAACTTCTCCACTGCTGAAATGCGTGCTCCCGGAGGAATCGCAGCTATCGAAGCAGCTATGGAAGGACTCAAAAGAACACATTTGGAAGCAATGAAAGTTTATGATCCTCACGGTGGAGAAGACAATCTTCGTCGTCTGACAGGACGTCACGAGACAAGTTCAGCTGACAAATTCTCGTGGGGAGTGGCCAATCGTGGATGTTCGATTCGTATTCCAAGACAGGTGGCAGCCGAGAGAAAAGGATATCTGGAGGACCGTCGTCCATCGTCCAACTGTGATCCATATCAAGTGACTGCCATGATTGCTCAGAGCATTCTTCTCTGAAGGACTGACAACAACTGATAGTGACCTCTTATTTATTGTCACCGAAATCTTGAATGAAAGATTTTATTGAAATTCCGGATTTTGCAAACCCCCATTTTATTCAACAGGTGATAAACATACTCATTATGTTTGACTATGTTTGGTGCCTGAACAAGATTACATCAATTCTAGAAAAAAAATAAAGTCAACAGCTGAAATTTCAGAAGTTTTTTGCTAATATTAAGGCTAATCTTTTCATTAGTCTCTCCCAAAATGTTGTTTCTGATTGGTAACTCGACTAACAAGATGAAGCTTTGTTTTCCAATTTATATTCTTCAAGATTTCAAATTATTGACTTTTCCTTGGATTTCTATGGTTCTTCTGGAGCTTCTTTTATATTTCGTCACATTATTTTTTGCATTTAAATGCGCATTCATAATTATCCAAGTTAGAGTATTTCATAAAAATTTATCAGCTTTGACTGTGGCAATGATATTACAATGGTTGGAAACTGTGATTTCTAAAATTATTAGTTGGCCTTATGAAACTGGATATTGGACTTTGAAAGGTAGGATCAGAAAAGGAAATACCAAAAGTTGAATACCAAAACCTGTAATAGAAAGGCCCCCATATTGCAAATTTTGAGCTAAATTATCTCAATTCCTATACAAGCTATCAAAATTGTGACAACTGATAAAATGTTTGTGATTTCCTGATAAACAGATTATCAGTGGACAAGTTCGTTATATATTTGATAGGAGCCAAGATAAATTGGATCAAAGTTACCGTAAAACCTGTAATAGAAGGGCTCTAACACTTTCAAGTTTGAGCTCAATTATCTCGGCTACTATGAAATATATCAAAAATTTCTCAACTGGCAAATTTATGATAAAACATTTTTCAGTTGACAACTTGTTCATATTTTTGACAAGAACCGAGATAAACTGGCTCAAATTAGGGAGCCCTTCTATACAGGTTTTACGATATTCAGGTTCCCCAAATTCTTCGTTTCCCAATACTACAGTAAGACAATGGTGGACGGAAGAGGAATCAGAAATGATTCAAATTCTAGATTTTGATCTTAATTATCTATTATTTATCTCTGGTTTCATGAAACTGCATTATGCAATTTCAATGTCTAATGTTCTTTGTGTCATTGCCGTCGAACGATCTTTAGCTTCTTATTTTCTGAATGACTACGAGAAAAAGTCCAGATTTTGGATTCCAATCACAATAGTTCTAGTGGATCAAAGTTTCAATTTTATAGTTTCATACTTTTTCTATCTCAATTATGTTCCATTTTTCTACATGATTATTATCACAGGGACACCGAATGTGATGGCAATTTGTGTGAGTGACGAAATATGAAAACGAAAATATTTGTGTTCTGTTATTTCAGCTGATGATTCATTCTCAAAACTACAATCGGAAAGTGACCAAAACACATGAAAAATATACATCCAACTATTCATTAGCTGCTCGATTTCAAGCAAAAGAAAATTTAAAGTGTTTCCGAATGATTAAGAAGATTTTGATAGCGGCATTTTCAATTGTAGTATTTGGATTTTTCGTGGCTATTGCACTATTTTTGAATATTTTCCCACAGATGGATACCCTTTGGAATCTTTGTCTTCTTGCTGTAATGAGCCTTCCGCCGCTTGTTATCTGTCCTGCTATCATTTATTCCGTTGATTCGTTTCGCAACTATCCCTTTCTTGATTGTTTTTTCATTAAACTAAAGGTCGGAAAACGAAAAGTGACGAGTGTCCCAAGGAAGAGAAGCTCAACGAGAAGTGAAGATATTCAAAGAGAAACTGAGACATACTTCAATCAGTTGGCTGCCTCTTGGACTTAGTTTTGATGTTTGATATCAAGAAAAAAATGGAATAAACATTTTGAATATGACATTTGGATTCATCTGATTTCATCCGCATTAAGTCGTTGAGGCTTTCAGTAAACAATATTATGTAAATAACATTTCAGCTACATTTTTATTCTCTATTCTGAAGAATTAGATTTTCAATTTTTCCAGCCATCTGCAAGAAATGCACCGACCAAAACTAAGAACCAGAAGGTAAGTTTTCACGACTATCATTCCATAGCTAATATTATTCTGGTACAAAAAAATCAGAGCTGGTCCCACAGCGACAACTACAGTAACCTAAAAATGATTCTCGATTTTTTAGTCAATCCTTTCACCAAAATTTTTATTTTGCGACTTTTTTTGAAGAAATATACATACCGTAAAACCTCTAATAGAACGACACCCGGATCGTCCACTTTGAGCCTATATATCTCATTTCTTTTGAAAGATATCAAAAAGTGGTTCACTAGTAAAATGTTTATCAGGATATCAGCAACATTTTACTAGTTAGCCACTTTTTGATATCTTTCCCAGTAAATGAGATATATAGGCTCAAAGTGGACGATCCGGGTGTCGTTCTATTAGAGGTTTTACGGTAACAGAAATATTGACTACAAGTATTTTTGGGCTACTGTAGTTTTCGTTGTGGGACCTTCGTCCACGACCACCGGCGTTAAAAAAATACCATAAAGACCTGTTTTGGGAAAATATTTGGATTACTGTAGTTTTCGTAGTGGGATCCCGAAAATATCGATTCTGTTCAAAACTAGGCTTGTTTGTACTCATTTTGAATTTGTTGAATTTCTAAGTTTAAAATTCTGAAATTCTGAAATCCTCAGAAAAAACCGAAAAATTCAAATTTAAAAAAATAGTTTTTTAGTTAAAATTTCAAGTTTTTATGAAATTTAGGAGAATTTTGAGAGGCGCAGGGCAGGAGCAGTGGGATTACGGTAGTTTCTAATTTTTTTTTCGAAGAAAAATAATTTTTGAATGTTGTGCATAATCTCGCAAAAACTAAAATTCGCTACAGGGAAAGAGACCCCGCAAATTTTGGGGAAAAATTTTCCGGAGAAAAAATTTCCGGAGAAAAGTGCGCGGAGTCAGGAAAAACCGTGCGGCAAAACCGTGCCAGGATTGCAGTTTAGGCTGCGCCCCCGACTCCGCCCACTTTTCTCCGGAATTTTTTCCCCGGAAAATTTGCTTGCCGGAATTTGCGGGGTCTCCAAGGAAATCAAAGGAAATGCAATTGCGCTCTATTGACACACACTAGAGGGTGGAGGGTTTAGAGTGTCCCCCTTTTTCAATAACCGCGAAAAAGTATTTGTCGGGGAAGGAGGCCTGCCATGAAGAAATTTTTTATCGATTTTTCCACTAGGAATCATACCAGATAAATGAATACAACTTTTCATCATAATCCTACATTTTAGTTTTTTTTTTAAAATTATTTTTAAAATTTAATTTTAAAGCATATAGAATAACCTAACTTCTTCTATCTAGAATTTCAATTTAACAAAAAAATTGGAATCATTTTAATTTTCAGTTCAAAACCAGAAGAACCAATGCGTATCGCGGAAAAAGTTTTGCTTTCATCTGGCTACGAAATGCCAGTGATTGGATATGGAACGTGGCAAATTCCAAAGAGTACAGCCGCGGAACAAGTACGGGAAGCACTGGAATTCGGATACCGTCATATTGATATGGCACACGGCTTCAATAATACAACAGAGATTTTTGAATCAATCAGAGATTGGATGAAAGTTCGAAAATTTCAAGTAAGAATCGTTCGATTGTATTTCTTGTGATTAGGGTGAACCATTTTCAGAGAGACGAAATTTTCTTATCAGCAAAAATCTGGAATACACATCACTCAAAAGCAAAAGCCACCGAGCAAATCGACGAGATGCTTCAGATGCTCGATACACCATACATGGATTTGATCGTCATTCACTGGCCATACGGTTGGGCGGAAGATGATGGGATGTTTCCTCGGGGAAACGATGGAAAACCAATATTTTCGAATATCGACTACCTGGAGACATGGGAAGCTTTGGAAGAAGCTCATCAAACAGGAAAAGTCAGGTCGATTGGAGTTGCCAATTTCAATTTATCCCAACTGGATCGTATTTACACAAAAGGAACCGTCAAACCGTCCGTGTTACAAGCCGAAATCAATCCATACTTCACTCAAAAAGATGTAATTAACTACTGTAAAGCGAGAAACATTATGATTACTGCAATGATGATAACCGGAAATCCTGGATCCACTTTTTATCGAAAATATGAAGATCCAAACTTGCTGTTCGACGAAACATTGATCAGTATTGCGAAAAATCATGGAAAGGTAACCATTTTATAAAAATACATTTTTCTAAATTCTGTGATTTTCAGACTGTCACCCAAGTTCTCATTCGTTGGATCCTCGATCTTGGTCTCGTTGCTCTGATAAAATCCAATGAAAACAGTAAGCAACTTTTTTTTCTAAAAGATAACTAAATTTCCTTCTTTCAGAAAGAATTCGACAGAACTTCAACGTCTTCAAATTCAAATTGACGCCCGAACAAATTGAGCGCATCGATTCACTCAACAAAAATTTCCGTATTTTATGGCCCATCCTTGGAAACTACAATCATCCACACTTTCCTTGGCCATACAAAGCGGATAGGAGCTAAACATTGTGATCTTTTTTCTTTTTTACCGGTTACTATGCAGATGAATCTCAAATGAAACTTGAAGTCTCTTCTTTATAGTTAGGATGTTTATTTTCGATTATTATAATTTTAAAAAAATTCGAATTTAATGACTCTAATTTCTGAACAGAAGTTGATGGGTCTTCGGTTTTTGGACGGACGTTGGCCAGATTCTGGTTGGAAGTTGCTCAACAACGGCTCTACAGCGGGTCATGGTCAGATTTTTTGTCTTTTTCAGGAGTCTGGAACTCGATTGTCAAGTGTCGGATCACTTTGAAAATTTTAGGGGGTGTATAACAGACCTAGATTGAAAACTTTGCATTCATGATTTTTTAAAAAATTTCCTAGTTTTTCAGATACTTACCGATTTCTGAAAGACATCTCTGTTTTGTCGGCTTTTCTGAAATCGTGAAAAAAGGGTGTCCTTCAGAAATCGGCAAATAGCTGAAAAACTATGAATTTTCAAAAAATTCTGTGAATGCATAGTTTTCAATCTACGTCTGTTTTACACCTCCAAAAATTATAAAGTCATCGGAAGCTTGACAAACAAGCTCCAGACTCCTGAAAAATGATATTGGCGAGGTTATGGACGGAAATTGCCCTAAAACGGCTCTATAGAGAGCCATGGCCAGATTTTGGTCGGAAGTTCCAATTTGAAATACTACTAGGTCGGAACCTTGTCATACGTTTGTCGGAGGTGGGTCGCCCCAGTTGGTACCAATCGTTATGGTAGATAAGATCCAAGGTACCTTTCTATGATACCATCTTTTAGAATAATTGCATCATCCATTTTTGATAAGAGCAATTATCTAGAATCCTAGATCTAAATAATGACGCAAAAAACGACTGTTTGACCTACTTGGTCCGCCAAAGATCACAAGTTGACCCAGAAAACAATGTACTCTGTACTCTCCATCTCTGCAATGCATTCTCTCTTTTTCTCTGCGTCTCTGTATCTCTATGGTCAACATTCGAGGGAGAGTGTCCAAGCGTATAGACACCAGAGTTCGGTTCTGTCCAGTATTTTGATGACAATTTCATTTACCATTTGATATGGTTTTGAGCGAAAATAATTTTTCGTACGTTTCAAAATTTCCGCTGACTAGCAATTTTGTTTTTTTCTGATCGTTTTCTTTTATTCTATTGAGGAACTGTATGCCCTCATTTTCATCACTTTCCTTTTGATTCATTTTTCTCATTTTCAGAATGCCACCACCATCCCTGAAACTCAATTCCGGCCACTCGATTCCAACTATTGGATTGGGAACGTGGCAATCGAAGCCTGGAGAGGTGGCTGCTGCTATCAAAACCGCCGTCGCCGCTGGATACCGTCATATTGATTGTGCCCACGTCTACCAGAACCAGAAGGAAGTTGGAGAAGCGTTGAAGGAAATTCTAGATGAGGGAAAGGTTAAGGTTAGTTGACAGAAATAGACTTCAGAATTTGATTCATTTTTTAGCGCGAGGAGCTCTTCATCACTTCAAAAATCTGGAACACCTTCCACTCGGAAGCCAAAACTCATGAGAATGTCGGTATCATTCTCGCAGACCTTCAACTCTCCTATGTTGATCTGATGCTCATCCACTGGCCACAAGGATACGCTGAAGACGGAGAACTGTTCCCAGCTGGTGAGAATGGAAAAATGAGATACTCGGACGTTGACTATCTGGAGACTTGGAAAGCTCTCGAAGCTGCTCACAAGGCTGGAAAGTGTCGTTCAATTGGAGTCTCCAACTTCACTTCTAAACAAATTCAACGTGTTTGGGATGCTGCCGAGGTGAAGCCAGCTTGTCTTCAAGTCGAACTTCATCCATATTTCACTCAAGTTAAACTTCGTGAGTTCTGCAAGGAGAAGGGAATTGTCGTTGTTGGATACTCGCCACTTGGAAACCCCGGATCCGCTTTCTTCCGTAAGGATGGAGATCCAAACGTTTTGACCAACGAAGTGGTGGCTGCGATTGCCAAGGCTCATGGAAAGGTGAGTTCCGGAGAATGACTATTTATTTTAAAGCCACTTTATTTCAGACTCCCGCTCAAATCGTTCTCCGTTGGTTTGTTGAGAGTGGACTCTCTGCTATTCCAAAGTCTGTTACTCCTCGTAAGTTATCTTTTTCTCTCTGATAAAAAGGGAAACAACTCGGCAACTTCCGGTCGGAGGTTGGTCAGATTCTGGATGGAAAAAAGTTATGGCAAGGTTCCGATCTAGTTGTATTCCAACTTTCAACTTTTGACTAAAATTTGACCATGGCCCACTATAGAGCCGTTTGTGGCAAGTTCCCACCGGAACCTGGCCAATATCCGTCGAAAAGCCGAACCACCCTAAACTTTGAAACTACAAACTAGCAGCCGAAAAAATTTACCTCTGTCGCTTTCTCACCCATTTTCCTTTTTTTCCAGAGAGAATCTCCGAAAACTTTGCCGTTTTCGATTTCCAACTTACCCCAGAAGAGGTCTCCCAAATCGATGGGCTCGACAAAAACTGGCGTATTGTCGATCTGAGTCAACGCGACTGCGACCACCCACACTGTCCGTTCCTTGACGAGTTCTAAATTATTTTCCCCGAGCTTGTTCCCTTTCTTTGTGATACTTCATTAAATAAATTATTTGTGATTCGACTTTATTTTTTTTACAGAAAGAATCCTCGAAAACTTCTCGGTTTTCGATTTCAAATTGACTGCAGAAGAGATGAAATCGATCGATGAGTTGAATCGTGGATGGAGACTTGTGGATCCGTCACCCAGAGATGGAGATCATCCGTTCTTTGGGTTCAATGACGAATTCTAATTTTTTCAGACTGAATAAATAATGATTAATTTAAAGCAGTTGTTCTATTTTTAAAGTTTCTGGCCATTGGATTCAAAATTTCAGGCCAATTTAATGTGATTTGATAAAACCAGTTGCCGCTCCTCTGGCACTTCAAACGTCTGGCGCGTCTACGGCGCTTTAAAAATTAGATCAAATTTGGTCTGACGGATTTTTTCTTCGGGAAACTTCCGTTCTGGAAAACATACAAAGAAGAAAAGAAAAAGACGGACACCACTTCATTTTTTATTATTAGGTGAACTACTATAAGGAAATTTATAAATCCTAGAGTACCAATACGTTGTATGGATATATTCTGATTTTTGAGTTCATCAGAAGATTTTGAACTATAATATCAATCAAAGCCTATTCAGCTATTCTTCTCCCACACAATGACGTGCTTTTTGCCATTTCCATTAGAAACTCCATTTCACTTTTCCTCCCTTTTCAGCATCTACTGGAGCAGCTGAAACTGCGATAGTTGCCAAGGTCGCTCATTTCTATTCATATTTTTTTCCCAATGAACTTGCTATTGACCAATGATATTATTATCTGGCTTCCGATCCATGAAATCAATAATCCGGCATATACCAATTTCAGTTATCTCATTTTCAATATTATCTACTTTTTCCTCTTATCAATATCTGCCTATTTCACATGTATCCTTGTGATGACGTCATGGAAGATCAGGAAATTTCACAAAAATATGACAATCTGCTTCAGTTTTTATTTTGGAACTTGGTTTGAATGTTGGCTGGGGTTGGTGCTAGTATGGCCATACAAATGCGGACTTATTTTTATAGAAAGTAAGGATAAGGCAAAAATTGCACGGTTCAAATCATGTTTGTTTTAGACACTCATCAAAAGTTCAGTAACTTTGAAACCGCCGACCGATCCGTTATGGCTAGAATCACAAATTATCCAGAAGTCGTTTGTCTGTTAATCGGCTCTTTGATGATTTGGCATTATTTGGCGTCTACAGTAGCCGGAATGTGGTGTTTTGTTGTGGAACGGACTATTGCTTCGTTCTTTTTTAGGTACCGTATTTTCGATAATAGAAGGTCACTTAGGCCGTCAACTTTGAGCTCCATTATCGCGATTCCTGTAGAAGATATCGAAATTTTGTCAACTAATAAATTATTTATCATAATCACACCAATATTCTATCAGTTTACAATATTTTGATATTATTAACAGGAACCAAGATAATTGAGTTCAATTGTGTGGGCTTAGAGGGAATACGTTAAATACACATCTTCCCAGTAAACTAGTAAAAGTGATTAAGAAATTTGCAGTGATTACGAAAGAAAACCAAGAAGCTACATTGGTTATGCTCTGCTCATCACTTCTCAGTTCTGTGTTATTCAAGGATCAATTTTAATATTTTTCTACTTTTTCTCCTTAAAAGCAGCTCTAATTATTGTCACGGCAATGCTGACGTGCGTAGTTTCGGTAAGTCTTTTATCAAATCTTTTGTCAGTCATCTAAAACAAAATTCATAATTTCAGACATTCTTCTTCCTTCTCCACTATAACACATCACTTCGAAACGTTTGGATATAAACCAAACCAATCTTTCCTATAATCTGGCCGCCAGATTTCAAGCTGCTGAAAATGCGCGGTCTCTGAAACTAGCGGTTTTTGTGTTCGCAGTTATTTGCTGCATTTTTACAATTGCAATTTCCATGTTGATGATGGCCTCACTTCATTGGACTCCAGAAAATTATGATGTGGCTATTATGACTGCATTTGAATGTCTGGTCTCTTTGTGAGTAATCATAGTTTTCGTGATTAGAAAGAAAAAAGAATAAAATCAGCTGTTCCAAGAGATGTTAGATGAACATTAGAAAGGATGTTTAAACAGTGATTTGTGACATTTCTATGACTATTTTAATCTTACAAAGGAACCTCAGCAAATCTAGATTTTGATGGAAGGATAGGTTAAAAACTGCCCATCTTGAAACTTCTGAAAATTTCGGGATACGCTCACCAGTTTCGCCGATTTATACCAGTTTCAGTATAAAAATCGTGTTTTCCTTATTTCCTCTAATAGGATCTAGCCAAACTGTCAAGTTTGAGCTCATTTTTCCTGGCTCATAGACAAGATATCATAAACTTGTCAACTGATAAGAGTCTATCATATTATCACAAATATTTTGTCAGTTAGACTATTTTCTGAAACTCGGATGAAACTGGCGAGCGTTTCTAAAATTTTCAGAAGTGACTAGATAGGTTATCCATGACCTATCCTGAAATTTTTTTAATCAAAATCTGAGTTTTAAATCTGAATATTCAGAGAAAATATGAGTTTCCAGAAATCCCCTATTCATCGTCCCAGCTGCAATGTTCTCGGTACCAGAATGGAAGGCTGCCTTCATTAAACTCATGCCGTTTGGCGGACGTCGTTACCATAGACGACGGAGACCTGACAGTGATATTATGGACCACCAAATTCGCGTTAGTATGGAGACGAAAATGTATTTTGTTCAACTAGAAGATTCTTGGAAAATCTCTATTTTATAAACTTTTTTTTTCTTTTTTTTTGTTCTTTTCCTAAAATGCAATAATATTGGAAGCAAAAAAAGAAGAGCATCAAAAATTGTTTGAAATGCAAAATATGGAAAACAGATTCCCATTACTTTTGATGGGAAATCATAATCGTTCACAGAATACAAAACGAAAGCGAACAGTTGAGAATAATATCAGATACTTCTCCCTTTATCATGCCGAAGTATCGAATTGTATTCCTTCTATTGTTGGTTCTTCTGATGAATTCAGAAGCAGCTGACTTGCTGACGTGTACCTCGAGTGAGAAATATAAGGTGCGAGATTAATTACCAAAATCAAAAGTTTTAGAAGAGGAGCCGATTCTGGTCAGTGGGTCCATCAACAAGGCGTTCTCAATGCAAATCACGGATAAGGTCAAAAATTGTAACGGGTACTGTGTGAGGTGAGACTCAAGGAGAATATGGTATTTACAATGAACCATGTATTAAAAGTTTTAGTAGAAGGACCCCTCTAATAGAATGGCCCTCCGAGAGTGGTTTTTGGAAAAATAGAATGACCCTTTTTCAAAAAGTGTTGTTTGGAATCAAAAATTTCAGCACGTTTTCAGTGAAAACTATTCTGGAAAAATAGAAGGACGTGCTATTCTAATAAAGGTTTCACGGTACTCTTATACATATAAGCCCACCCAAACCGTCAACTTTGAGCTCAATTATCATGATTCCTGTGAATGACATCAAAATTTTGTCAACTGATAAAATATTGTTAATATTGTGATAAATAATTTATCAGTTTTTAAAATGTTGATATCATTAGCAGGAGCCGAGATTAATTGGCACAAAATTGAAAGTTAGGGGGGAGGTGGCGCTTTCGGTTCCATTTTTTGGCATTCTTCATACAATCAGCGCAAAAATAGGGCTCCATTTTTGTAGTGGGCAACTTTTTTGAAACTTTTCTAAATTTTGTGACATGCGCCTTCAAATAGTACAGTTTTAAACGGGCAAATCTGAAAACCAAAAATCCTACAAGAAATTTGTAAACTACAAAATTTTTTTAAATTTAATTTTTTCCTTATCTTCAGGCGATTGTCCTTATCTTCAGGCGATTGAAAGTGTCACCATCTTCAAATCATAGTTGCAACGGGCCGGGCCGGGCCCGGCCCGGTCGGCTTCTCACAGTGGAAAAATTTCCAATGAAAAATTGGGTCATTTTTTTATTTGATTATTTCAAAGGCGCTGCCCAGGCAGGTCCCCAAAACCTAGCGTCTAGAATATCAAATTTCTGAAACTCTTGTGATCAAAATCTTTCAAAATCTGACAAGTTTTACGGTTTCCAAAAACTTGTTGTATCTGAAATTCCAGCAAACTTGTCTCCTTGGATGCAACGCTAGCTGATGGAACTCAAGCTCACATCCGAAATTTCCACTTCTCATGTATTCCAATCGCCCCGAAGGCTGAGCAATTGTGTAGTGTGAGTTTGAAGACTCCAAAATTCTACCGTAACCCAGAAGTTTAGAAGATGTGCACCACTCAAATCTACAAAAACGAAAAGTCGAGCAAGACGATCGATCGAAGTGTTGGATCGCTCAAAAGAGTGTTGATCAAGGAAATCGGAGTGAGTCTTTTTCATCTCTACAAAGTCTTATTTTCTGATTCCAGGACTTTTCATTCGAGAAGGCTGAAGAGAAGACGTGCTGTTGTAAGGATGCCAGGTGCGCTCGTCGTCTCGATGCCATGATGCGTCTGAATCTCCACTCCAATTATAAAATCCACTGAAATTTCCTTCATTTGTCCTCCTGAAAAATGAAGCATGCAATTTTATAAATCTCGTTTTCCTTTTTTTTTTTTTAATAAGTTGTGCTCGCGCGACACACAACCACCATACGAGAAAAAGAAAATAAAGGTTTCGTTTTGTTTCTCACGAAATCTCTGCGTATCCATCGTTTCACACATTCTCTCGCTCGCTTTTTCTTTGGAGCTTTGAAATGAGCGAAAATAAGGAGGTGGGAGTGAGGGTGAGAAGGGGAGCAGCGTGTATTGGTTGTCATGGAGATGCCATATCAAAAGCGATAACGCTTTTTGTGTTTATGTGAATATGTGAGTGTGTGTAGCCATGGCTATCGTGGACGACAACACCACATTCCTCCCTTTTGCTCTTTTTCAACAATTTGTATAGCCGAAGAGTTTCCCATTTAGGCGTTTTGATAGAGATTCTGATTCAAATTCCCAAGTGGCCGGCCTTATTAGAGAATTCTTCTAAATACGATTTTCTGGATTCAAGTCATAGTTGATGGCTTATAAGTTTGTGATACAAAGTGTTGAAATTATACTGCTCGTCAAATTCTGTGCAAAATTTCCGAACTAAAATTTAAAAAATTGTGAATTTTGTCGTTTTTGTTTCTGAGAAAATTTGAATATCTTTGAAAAAAAAACCATTTTTTTCTAAAAGCCCTAGAAATTACGACGAAATGCACAAAATTCGAAATTCTGGTTTGTTGGGGTCTCAAAGAGAATTTTATTTCAAAAATTTCACAATTTTTTGAATTTTCGCGCCTAGACTTGAGAATTCAAACTGCTTGAAATTTTTGATATAAAAGAGTTTTATCTATTCACATATTTTCCACATAGTCGCGCATAATTACCCGTACTAACGTTTGAACTAGCATAAAATCTGAGAAAAGCGTTGTACGATGCTTATTTTTGGAGTTCGAAAATTCAAAAACTTCATCAGTAAACTGGTCAAGTTTCAAATTTTTTGATCAACTTTGAGCTGAGTTATCGATTCTCAAAGTTGCTTCATCTCATGAAAATCACAACGGTTCATCTTTTTACAATCATAACAATACCTAGACTTGAGGAATTGCTTTGAAAAATTCAGTAACTTTGAATCAAACGTAAAATTAAATTTCTACTAGTTTTCGTGTTCCAAGATACCAATGTCTGAAAATATACCCGTTTTACCAGTCCGGGTATCGTAAAACCTGTAATAGAAGTGTCCCGCACACTATCAAGTTTGAGCTCAAATATCTTGGCTGCTATAAAAGATATCAAAAATGTATCAACTGATAAAATTTCTGTGACGTTATGCTGAAATCAGGTGACACCTTTTTCATATCTTCGACAGGAAACGAGATAAATTGGCTCAAAGTTAAATACCCGGGGGCCCTTCTATTACAGGTTTTACAGTAATTTTGCGCCCCTTACAAGCTCTGGAAACCAAAAATCCCTGATACATAGTTTTTGTTTTTACTCTTTTTTTTCTCCCAAACACTTTCTTCTGATCATGACGCTATTGTTTTGATTTTTTGGAATCCAGTTCCAACCTTTAACTTCTTCCAAACCTAACATCACTTTTCAGGTGGAAACATTCTTGCTCTATATTTGTGTGATTTGTGATTTCTGCAACTATGCCAACTCCATCGACTAAAAAGAAGACAAAGAAAATCGCCGAAGATCCGCTATCGTCATCTGGAGTCTCTTCACTGTCTGGAATCTCTTCTTACAATATAAGAAAGATTTCAATTTACAAAAATGGCGATCGCTTTCATAGAGGAGTTAAAGTAGGTTTCAAATTTGGACTCTGCATTTTTCTATTGTTTAATTTTTTAGTTTGTGATTAATCCGCGAGTTGTCAAAGATATGGAACCATTGCTGAACCAAATCAATGATCGCATTGAACTCTCCCATGGAGCCAAGAAGTTATACACAACGGATGGAAAAGTGGTTGGTTCAATAAAAGAGTTGGAAGATGGGAAGGTGAACTATCACATGCCCTCTCTTTCAATTTCCTGTCAATTTTCCAGATTTATGTGGCCGCTTCCGCTCAATTCATTCCAATGAGATATGGGGAGTTTACTGAAAAGGTGTGGAAACCACCGAGCAGGAAACATAGTCCAATTATGAGTTCTGATCGAATCAAGACTGCAAGAACGCGTAGTCAGGATCCGAGTAAACGAAGACAACCACAGAACTCCGGAAACGCTGGATCCACTACTGGTTCTGGAGTTCAGAGGAGTCGTTCAGTGAGAACTTTGGCAGAGGATCGCAAGTCTAGACGAGACATCTCTCATCCGAAAGCCAATGGATCTAATGCTCCAATCCCCAAAAAGTTCGACCAACCACGTCCAAAGGCTCCAGCTCCTAAACAATTCATTCCAAAACCTAGAAAAACACTGCCTCCGTCGACTACAACCACCAAAAAACCACCGACACCAAAGAGAAAGATCTCGAAGAAAGTGCTCGGAGCAGCGGCTGGAGTGGGTGTTACAGTGGTCGGAGCAGCTGCTCTTGGAGCCGTCGCTGCGGCATCGAAAAAGGCGAAACCAACCACTCCGAAACCAAAACCAATTCCAACAGCAGTTTCGGATATATCAACTGCTTCATCAGTAATGCCAGTTCCAAATGTCGAGTCATCTGGAGCAGCTGAGATTTTGGAATTCCCAGAGGAAGAGAAGAAAATCGATATGGCCATGATCCATCGTACTCCAACTCCTCCTCAGATTCCATCTAGAGCAGCGTCGGCGAAGTCGATAAAGAAACCAGAGACACCGGCAGAAGACAGGTCAGCAAAGATCTTGGAGGCTAAGAGTGTATCACAGTATGTTTAAGTAGAATAGTAGTCAGTAGAAGTAGCATTTGTAGTTTGTAGTTTGTAGTTTGTGGGTCCAACTTGTTGAGTTTTCAGACAACCAACGCCAGAAGAGAGTTCAGAAGAAGACGACGAAGGAAACGAGGATGATGAAGATGATGATGTTGAGGACGATGAAGAAGAAGCTGGATCAGAAGAAGTTGAGGAGCCATCGGATGAGGAAGAAGAGGAGGATGACGAGGAAGAAGACGAAGAGGATGAAGAGGAAGAGGAAGAGGAAGAATCCAGATTAGGAACTCCAGCCTCCAGACCGTCGTCGTCAGCTCTCTCGTAACTTCTATCCATTCATGTAAAATCTAAATTAAAACCGGTCGATTTTCAGATCCGCTGGATCCCAAGCCGATGATAAGGATAAGCATGACAAGGATGAAGATACCAAAAAGTGATAAAATACTGTGATGACATTGTTCTCTCTCCCATATACCCCCAAGTTGATAACTCCATACTTCAAAACTAAAGTTGCCAAAATGCTTTTTTCTCATGTCCTCATCAATTTTTCGAATAAACATTGACTAGAAACTTATTCTGCAAACTGTTTTTTCAGTGGGTTTTAATGACTTTTCTGCTGGAAGAAAAATGGAATTTCATCTTTGATTGGAGACTATTGTCTTATCAGCATTTTTGAGGGATTACTGTAGAAAATTGTCTAAAAATCACGTAATTTTTAGTAAGGGAGCAAAGTTCAAGGAGCGAAGTTGCCTGTGATTTTCAGGTGGTGAATGGAAATGATTGAGTGGCATTGAAACTCTGAAAACGGAGACATTTGAACTTGAAGTGATATAAAAGCCAAATTTTGACCTAAAAGAAGCTAATTTTTTTCGAAAAGTTGATTTTTTTGGACTCAAAAAGCGAAAGAAGATTTTAGCCTAAAAGTCAAATTTAAGTCTGGAGAAGCAAAATTCTGACCTGAAAAGTCTAGTTTTGGCTTTGGAACGTCTTTTTTCGTTCTACAAACGCCTAGTTTAAACCCATAAAGGCCTATTTTTGGCCTAAAAAAATTAATTTTGGCTAGAAAAAGTCCTATTTTTTGACCAAAAAAGCTTATTTTGTACTCGAAAAAGACTAATTTAAGCACAAAGTGCCTGTTTTTAGAGTAAAAAAGCTTAACTTTAGCCTCAAAAAAATCTTAATTTTGGCTCGAAATAAAATTTAGCTCTGAATAAGTCTGTGTTTGGCTTAAAAAGCATAATTTTAGACGGGAAACCGTACTTTGTGTTAACTTAAAAACACAAAATCTGAATTCTAAAATTCTTTTGACGCCTTTTGCTGGTCTTTGCGCACTTTTGGACAATAGAAACCGGTCTGTATCAGTTCATCAATACATATGTCATATTATCACTTTTCTAATTTTTTTTTCTGATTTATTGAAAGTAATCACTTTTACTTTCATTAGTAACAATTTCAAAGTAGAAATAAGTGCCAAAACTTTTTTTTCTTTTTTTTTTCATTCATTCACTTGACCCTCTCCATGAAGTGTAAGGATGCGATAGTGATGCAAAATCACCAAAACACAATCTGCTTCTCTAATTCTCTCTCTTTTGGGTTCATTCTGTTTCAATGGAAAGATATCAGATCAAACAATCATCTGTTTTGTCTGGTTTCTTTTTTCCAATACTCCAAAAAGTTCGAAACAAACTTATTGGAAACAAAAAAAAATTAGAAACCAAAACATAATCCGATTATCATCAATCAGAAAAGTCACGAACAACAACTATTGATTACTTCTGAAGACAACACAAAAAAGTGTAGTCAATATGATTTTCTACCTATTTTGCATTTTGTGCTCAAACTGTGATTGATTGATTGACTTCAACGTCAATAAATAATCCTCTTTTTTGGTTTCTTATCAGCTTTCGAATCCCCACTGATTTTCACTGAATTTTCCAAACCCTCCTGTGCTAGGAGCCATATTAGTTGATAAGACCTTCATCACTCTCCGACTGTGTCACACTTTTCCCCGTGTCTCGAAATGAGCCGAATTTTATTTATTGCCAATTAACTTGATTTTTAGAATTGTTACTGAAAGTTAGTGTTTTCAGGGTAAATTATTTTGGATCATGTCGATCAGCTGGCTGCATTTTTGATAGAAAGGGAAGTTGAAAGAGAAAGGTATGGAGTACGGTATTGATGATTACGGTAGTTTTTAGAAAGGGGGAAGAAATCCTTGACGAGGAAAGTTGAAGTTTTGTTAGGAAGGGAAAGAGATGCCTAGAAAATAGCGGATTGTAACCTATTGGCCAAACTAAAAAGTGTCAATTTGAAGAAGCAAATTCTGACGTCATATTTTTTAGAACTTTCTGATTCAATTATATTTCAACTACCCTAAAACCTGTATTAGGAGGGCCGGCTTTTTTGTAGGTATTCTAGGTTGACACTCCAATTAGAGGGGCCCTTCAATTAGAGGACCCTCCTTCATTTTTCCTGAAGTCGCAGAGTACAACACTTATAATAGAAGGAAATATTTTCTCGGTGAAATTTTTTGTTTTTTTTTTAAGTTGCCGTAAAACCTGTATAAGAAAGGCCCCTTTAAAAGTAGGGTCCCCTCTAATAGAAGAGCTCTCTTCAAACTGTGTTATCCAAAATTAAAAATTTCAGTATGTTTTCAGTGAAAAAATTTCTGAAAATTCCACAATTTCATAGAAATTTGTTTGGAAAATATATCAAATTCAAAAACTTGCTCAAATTTTGGTGAAATCGAAATATTTTCAATAATTTTGAGCGCGACTTTACTGAATTTTTGCTGAAAAAGTTACTGGAAAAAATAGAAGGGCCCCTGTAATAGACGGGCCCTCTGGACGTGCCTTGAAACAATAGAAGGGCCGGCCTTTCTAATACAGGTTTTACCGTAACCACACTAATTGATATGTCGCTAACAGTAATTCAGCAAAAGAGTACTTTAATTATAGGGGGTACTTTGAATAGAGGAACCCTTCAATTACGGGAAGCATTTCTATTTGTCGCGGGGAATCTAGGGAGGCACTTCAATTAGGGGGACCCTTTTAATACAGGTTTTAAGGTATCTAGGTCACAGAAAAATTGTACGAACATCTGCTTTAAAATGTGCTCTCTTTGAATTGTGAGCACAAAAAATGCTGTTCCTTAGAACTTTGTCAATAGAGCGCGTTGTCACCACCTCCGCCTATCGAAAAACAACTAGTAGGTCAAAAGTTCATAGTGCGCTCCACTGAATGCGTATGACCGAACTGTATTATGTAGGAAAGAGAGTAATGTCCTGTTGTTATCAAGAGCAAGAGCACAACTGACGATACACACAGACAATCTTTTTCCTCCAACACACTATTCCCCACTCTTTCGGTCCAAAATTTCTAATCAGTACCTAACCATCGAAATGCTTCGTTTCTCTCTACTTCAGACCTTTTTTTTCTGCTTCTTATGTCTTCCTTTTTTTCTTGGAATATCACATCATTTTTATGATGACCATGTCTTGTTAGTGATAGCTGATTATACCATATTTCATTCAGAAAAAGTTATCATTTCGGTTCATTGACCACTACAATTGTATTTTTGTTTGTTTTGAGTGCAGCCGCGGTTACCGTAACTCACTATCAAAATTTTCATGAAAAGTCAGTACAGTTTCGAAACGTTAGAATCATTTCAGTGTACAACTTTTTCGAGTTTTCCGAACCCATAAAATTATTCTTTTTCAGTAAATAAATCGAAATGCAGCCCTCGTACGATGCGGATGACTTCATGCGTCGTGGATTCTTTGGATCCATAATCGGATTCCGAAAACGATCATCCAGCAAACCAGGTGAGCTTTTTTTTGCAAAACCAAAGTCACTTATCATTTATCATATTCCATCAATTTATCACCCGATTTGATTGATTTCTGCAGCTATCACCAACCGATTTTCAGTGTTCTTTGCACGTAATTCTAGGTAGTTGATGTTTTATTCAAAAATGAACATATTGGTATCTGGGATTATAAACTCAGAAAAAAACCGCAACAGTTGTGCATCACTTGCGCAACAGGCGCCCGTCGACCCTGAAAATGTTGCGCAAATGCTGTGGAACTGTAGGGGAAAAGTGTTACAGATGCTGCGCAAGTGCTGTATCGTACCTAGCGGCGGCCGCGCGGATCCTCGCTTTTTACTATTTTTATCTGATAAAGAACGACTTTGGTACAATTTAATATCACAATATTTATTAAGACAACAATTATTTACATTTAAAAATATAACAAAAAATTAGAAATTAATATATTTTCGAGGAGTCCTGTCGAGCACAATTCAAAAATTTGGTAAATTTCGTTGATGGGCGTGTGTCGTAGTCTTCATAGATGGAACGCAATCTGAAATTTAGCTAATTCAAAAGATGTAGGAGACTACAAAAATTTTTGTAAGAAATTACATAAGAAAAGAAAAAAACATAACGTACCTCTTTACTTTTTTTCTCCTGATTTTTCGTCCGACTTCTAACCATGAATCTGCTGAACTCGCCTTCAGACAACTTTCGAATCAGGGGAGCACTGAAATTTCTATTACGATTGAAAAATTGGAAAAATATTACAAAATTTACCTAAGTTATTGGTCCCAATTCGTTCACTCAAAGTCGAGAGGGTTGTCGCACAGCGAATTCGGCGCATTTGCTCGAAGCTCTGAATCATAAAATAGCTTACTAATAAACGAGAACGCTGTCAAAAACATGAAAACGAATCGAAATAGGACCGAAAATAATTTCGAAAATCAAAAATAAAATTCTGCTAAACCGGGCGCAGTATGGGATTCGGAGTGTCGTTGTGCTGCTAAGTTGCTGCATACCTGTAGGAGAACGCACAGATGCTGTGCAACTGCTGCGGGCGCGAACTCCTCTACAGCTGAGCGAGGGTGAACGGTATACATATGCTGGTTCAGTGCTGTATCATTGTTGCACTCCAACAATTTGCTCAACTTGCTGCATAACTGTAGCGATAACTGTTGTCAGTGGTGCAAATGATGCACAACTGTTGCGGTTTTTTGCTGAGAATATAGAAACTTGAAAAAAATCAATTTGAATTTTGCAAAATATTGGAAAAAAACCCTCCCTTTTTGTTCATGCTGTGACAACGATAAGCCGTATTTCCTGCAATAGAATCCCGCCCAAACCGTCAATTCGGAGTTTAATCATCTCTATTCCTGTGGAAGATATAGTAAATTTTGTAACTGATAAAATATTTTTCATAATATATTCAATGTTGACAGCGGATCCTCAGTCAGTCGAGACCGATCCTACGTCCTAACCCGAGAGTGTCTGCAACCTGAAATGACCCCCAATTCCCCCCAAATGTGTAAGATAAGCGGTGCAAAGGAAATAACAGTACACAAAGTATTCAAATCCAAGTTTATTAACGGAAGGGGATTTGAATAAACGGCAAAGACAACGGAATTGGGAAAAGAAAGCAAGAACAGAAAAGAAGTAAAGGTGTAGGGCTAAAACCTCCTGGGAGCTACCGGAGGAAACCTTGCTGCCTTCTAAAACTGGTGCTAACAAACCAAAACGATGCCAAACGTAGAAAACTAGCTGAAAGGCTAAAAAGGGTTAAACGGGACCGCATAGCGGTCAGCTCTTGGTGAGATTCGAACACTCGCTTTGCCGCAGCGAAGACTGAGTAACGACGGGCGGCGGACGCCAGTGCCGAGTGGCGCGGCGCGGCCGCTGCGACGCGGTCGTTGGCGCGTATTCAAATAATATTAATATTATTTGAGTGAAGCAATGCACTTGAAATTAGAAAACGAAGAGAGATAAGAAGAGGAACGAACATGACCCGATTAAAGCGGATAATCCAGAGGGATTTTATGGGGAAAATCGGGAGACTCTGGGTTATCTCGCTTTCAGGTTGTATTGTTCCCAGACAATGGGAAAAATTGTCAACATTCAATGTTTTGTTAGTTGACACTTTTTTATATCACTTACAGGAATTGAGATAATGGAACTCTAAGTTTACGGTTTGGGTGGGTTTCTGTTGCAGGAAAGACGATAACTGATTTATTTTCTTTGTTCATGCTAGAGTAAAATTGATAAGAAGCTGTCAGAAACCTTAATGGGACAGGATACTGTAATTCATTGCCTTCAATACCAAACGAAAATATGTTCAGTTTTGATTGTTTAGTAAACAACTGATTTTGAGTTCTAGAACTTTGAGTTCTAATGGATTTTGGAGATTTTCGTTCAGTCTGAAGTTCTTTATGAATAATCGTTGACTACTTTTTGATATCTTTCCCAGGGACCAAGATAACTTGGCTCAAAGAAAAAAAAATTACAAAAAAGTTGAAATCTTTTGAATTAATCATTATTAAAAGTTTGTCAGCTGAGCCCTGCTTTGTTTTCCTTGAAAACAAATTGTCTTCCGTTATTTATAATAATTTCAATCTAAAATGTTTCCTAGGAAGCTACAGTAATCCAACCATTTGTATCATTATTACTTCAAATACTCCTCCCATCCACCTAAATTCATTTTTTCTTGTTCCACCCTTCCTTTAGTTTCTTTTCCTATTCATTTATCCAAATTCGAAATCTGTGTCTTATTCTTTCTCGTCTTCTTCTTACCTTTTACGTCATCTGTTCTATTCAAAAACTATCTTTACGTTTTTTTTTTGTAGAGTGACCATCGAGAATAAGAAGAAAAGAGAATCGTCCTTGGCGGTCTTTCTTTTCACAAATTTTGTATCTGACTTCGAACGGTTCGGTACTAATTGAATGCAAAATTTTTGGTTTTAAAGGGCATTCAATTAGTTTTCTACAGCTTCAAAACTGAAGGATCGTAAAAGTTCATAATAGAATATTGGATTCTCGAACCTTGACCAATTTCCATGAGCAAAACGAATGCAACGGATTCCAACCCGATTAATTAAAATTTTTTTAAGGAGCGGGGACGGTAGATTTATTTGGATGTTTTTTGAAGTTAGGGTATGCATTCTGGCGTAACTACAGTGACGAACGTTAGTGAGTGTCACTCTATACTTTTGTTCATAACTTCGCTCAAACTTGTCCGATCATTGAAAACTTTTTTGTTAAATGTAGCTGGGTATTCAGCAAAACGTTGTATAAATGTTTTAAAACTCAATCACTTTTTGTGTTTTCTGAATCTTCACAGACGTGGCGATAACTCCAGATGAAAAAAAAATTCCGTCAGATTTTTTTAAAGATTGGCTTTGTAATGAGAAATGTTCGGTGTAGATCGAATATATACAGAGAAAAATTTGAAGCGGTTTGGAACACTTTCTGTTGAGATGTGCTCACTGCAGCATAAAAGCTATGACTCTGAAGTTTGGCTATAACTCAGCTCAAAATGATCCGAATTTGCTCAAATTTTGAGAAAATGTGTGTCTTACAAGGGAGTTACTTGAGGGAGCAGGTTTAACTTTTTTGAAATTTTGGGAGCAGATAGAAGAGCTTATGATTCCAAATCTGTTAAAAAAACAGCAAAACGCTCACGTGAGCTGAGTTATGACCTAGAAAAGTTTCCCTATGATTAAGCAATTTCTCGTGAAATTTTTTTCACGGAATAGTGTATTTCTTTTCAAACAATATATTTCAATCAGCAGTGTGCTAAAGTGGTAAAATGGCAAGTTCAGAGGAGGAAGGTTGTAGGTTCGATTCTCCCCATCCCAAAAAATTTGCAAAATTTTTTTGTTTTATTTTAAGCTGCCATAACTGGCTCTGGAATAAAATTTATCTTATTTTTATTTCATTTTCCATTGTAAACATTCTTCTGATTCCTAATTTGATATATTTTTCGAAAATTGACTAATTTGAAGCACATGTTCTTGACCAATCGAAACATACACCGTTCTGACGAAACACCGAACTTGTCCCTCTAAAAAATCATGTGCACCGTGAGGCTTGGAATAGATAGTTTACATCTGCGTCTCTTCATCTTCCACACCATTTCCCTCTTACTTTTTCTCTTTTTCGTTTCTTCGATCACTCAACACAAACAGAAAGTTATCATTCAATGCATCGCTGACACACACACACACTTACATACACCTTAGACCAAATAAATTGCATCATATTATGTTTGCTGACACCTTTGAGAGATGACTTATAAACATTTTGTTTCATTCTTGCAGAGCCACCACTTCCACCCAAATTCGTCGCGGCGCCGCCACCACCACAACCACCGGTTCATTCAACGAATTTCCAGTCTTCTAGCTCTTCTGTACTTCTTCCAGTACCTGTACCAGATCAACAACACTTTGGTGTACCCCAGAATCGAACAGAGTACGATATTTATAGAGAAATAGTGTCAGAGGCTGAGTACATCGAGCGATCGTCACCGGTAAGTTTCCCACAATTTTGAATTCTTTTGAACAAGTTTTTTTCAGACAACTCCCGATTTCTCCTGTCCCACAACTCCGCAACCATCCAATTACTACACTCCACTCCCGTTGCCACCACAACATCCACTTGTTGATCCGAATCTGTTGATGCCAACTCCTCCACAATCAGAAATGATGCATCATCCATCCCAATACCATATGGTTATGAGTCCACTCGCACCACATCCGATTCCAGTGGATCCCAATGGAATACCCCTTGGAACTCGTAAGTTATTTACCGTAAAACCTGTATTAGAAGGGCACCTTTAATACAAGGGCCCTCCGAGAGGGGCTTGGAAAAATAAGACCTTCTTCAAAATATGTTGTCTGAAATTAAACATTTCCGAGCATTTTCAGTGAAAAGATTTCCGAAAATTCCACAGCTTCATAGGAATTTGCTGAGTGAATTTTTTTGTTCAAAAACTAGCTTAAATTTTTGTGAAATCGGGAGATTTTCATGAAGTTTGAGCAAGAATTCACTGAATTTTTTGCTGAAAAATTTTGAAAAAATAAACCGGAAAAATAGAAGGGTCCCCTCTAATTGAAGGGCCTCTATAATAGAAGGGCTTTCCGGAGGTATCTTAAAACAATCGAAGGGCCGGCCCTCCAAATGCAGGTTTTACGGTAGTTTGAAGAAATCTTTTTTTAAAAAATACATAAAACCTGCAATAGAAGGGCACAAACTATCAAGTTTGAGACAATTCATCTCAGTTCCCGTCAAAGATGTAAAAACATTGTTAACTAATAAATTGTTCCTCATATTATCCCAAAAATGTTATCAGTTGACAAAATTTTTGATATATTTCACAGGAAACAAGATAATTGAGCTCAAAGTTGACGGTCTGTGTGGGCTTCCATTAGAGGGAATACGGTAGGTCAAACCGTTTTCCAACGAAACCGTATTATACATAGCTATAAAATTAGATGAAATTTTAGAAACTAAGTCTTCAACTTTCAAAAAAAAGTTTTAGAATGTCCAATGGCTCCACCACCATATTCTTCATTTGCTCCACAATCTTCATCTGGAATGCAACAACCACCATCCATTCCACAAATGGCCAACATTCCATTCGACGTGAAGAAAGAAATTCACGAGCATTTGGTGGTAAGCTCCTTCAATATTTCTTTATATCTGAAAAAACTGAAGTTTTCAGTTGAACAACGGAAAACAGCAAATGTCGATTGAAGACATCGTGAAACTCGTTGTCGTTGCCCTCAAAGATTCTCAAATCGAAGAAGGAAAAGAGGAAGAAGAGACACCTGAAGAGATCCTCCGACGAAAGAGGATTCAGAATAATTTGGCAGCCGCCAGATATCGTAAGAGACAACGCGAGGCTCGCGAGAGTGCTGAGCAAGAGCTGGGTGATCTTACGAAGAGGAACGATGAGCTCCGCGAGCAAGTTTATAGAATGGAGAGAGAGATCAGCCAACTGAAGCAGGCTGTTCTTGGAAGACAGTAATCAGTTAACCTAATAGAGTTTCGAATATATATGATGTGCCAAACTTTGTCCCCGTGACGGTCTATTCCACACCTACATTTCACTTCCAATTCGCTCAGTTTATATTTTGTAATTTTGTTTTTTGTATGTACAAATTCGGTGATTATGTTTTTTTTGTAATTCCAAAATGAACTTTATTTTTTATTCTAATAACAACTAAATCCAAGAAGCATTCAACTGTTTAAAATATTGATCAGTTTCCTTTTGACACTCGACATCTCTTCCTGGTAATACCATAGTTACCGTAGTCTTGTGGTCTGGAGAAATTTTCAACGTAAGCTTAAAAAACTTGAAGTTTTTCCAAGATGTGACGGAATAGATTAACGTAGGACCAATGAGCAATGGACCTCTGAAATGGAGAGAGTAAAAAGAATACCGTAAAACCTGTGATAGAATGGTTCCCTAATTTGGTGCCAATTTATCTCGGTACATGTCAAAGATAAGAAAAAGTTGCCCACAGATAAATTTTTCATCATAATATAAGCAACATTTTATCAGTTGACAAAAATATTATATCTTTCACAGGAAACGAGATTATTGACTCAAAGTTGAGTGGGCTTCTACTACGGAAAATAGGAAATTAAACTCACAAACTTAAGGATGCCTCAAATAGGAAGTTAATGGAAGTTGCATAATCGGGAAGAATTCCAAAATATATAAAAATCGCACTTGTACAGGACACCAAAATCATACCGATTCCAGCAAAAATCACTTTTCTAATCATCGCAAAACATCTGACATTTTCTTTTGCTTGATACCTCGCCGCTAGAGTATAAGTATTGGGATTTGAAAAGTTTTCTATGTTTTTTGTCACTTTTTGGTTGTAGTTTTCAGTTACAGCAAATATCTGAAACTTTTGGGTTTTTGCCATATTCAAAGTAATTATCATTTCCCGTAAAACCTCTGATAGAAGGGCTCCCACACTGTCAAGTTTGAGCTAATTTTTCTTGGCTCATATGCGAGATATCAAAAATGTGTCAACCGACAAAACACTTCTAATAATAAGACAAACAATTTGTCAGTTGACACATTTTTTATATCTTCGGGAAGAAACGAGAAAAATTGGCCTAATGTTGAAAGTCAGGGGCCCTTCTATTACAGGTTTTACGGTAACTCACCACAGATGATAAAACATTTGGAATAAGTGCCAAAATGATCATATAAACAAGATTTGGGAGAACGAGAAAGAAATGCAAAATTGTACTGATTAAACTGATAAGTTGATGACTAGCTATCAAAATCACAACTAGATAAATTCTCGGTTTTTTTTCATAATCCGTCAGAAAATAACATGCGAAAGTTCGTTCGACTGCTAGTGTGAATCCAGTCATTCCCATTGATAAAATGTAGTGAAATTTCAGAAAAGCTCCGAGAAAAAATACATTATAAATACTGGAAACACGAACCATTCCAGATTCATCATCGGTCCATCCTTGTTGAACTGTTGTGTTGGAATCTGAAATAATGTTATGATGCCATTTTGAAATTACAAAAATTTTAGATCTTTAAATGACCAAACTATGGATAATTTTTCAAAAAAGCGATAAATTAATGAAGCTGTCAGGATTCCTGTCACAGGAAGTACACATTCGTGAAGGTACTTTTTGTGCACCTGCCGTTTAATGATGTGTGATTTTGAAAAATGCATCGGGGAATTTAATAATCGATTGAGTAAACACGAATTAGAACAATAGCAAGAAATTAACTAGGTCAAGGAAACTTTGTTTAGAAAAAAAAGCAAGCACATTTATAGGGACTGTAAAATGGTTTCTGAATGTTTTTGAGTATTTTTCAAGTTGCTAATGTTTACTGATTTTATCAAACCATTGAAAATATTTCCAGACTTTCAGAAAACCATTAAATGTACATCAAACAATTGTATACACTCATTGAATGATAATTCTCAAAGATATCAAAGATGTGTCAACTGATAGAACACTTCTGATATTATGATAATCACTTTATCAGTTTACAACTTTTTTGTAACTTTGACAGGAATTGAGATAAATTGGCTCAAAGTTGAAAGCTAGGGTGCTCGTCTATTACAGGTTCCCCCAAAATACCCAGAAATCCATACCTCCAAGTGTCCAATACCCAGTTTCATAAGGTAGAATCATCAAACTACCGAGCATAGTTTCAAACCATTGAACAGAACAACTAAAAATCAAACAGGTCAAATTCCAATGGAAAACTCGAATTTTCAGACAAACATAAGCGCATTTCACAACATAGTAGATAATTATAATGTGCAGAATTGCGTAAACCAGAAGATACGAATTCATTGGAAAACTTCGAAGACGATGATCATGAAGAATAGTAGTAGGAGTGACGATTCGATAATTATTTGTTAAATTCCCAATTCGGAAAATCATTTGAAACAGAAAAGACGGATGAAATAATTTTTAGGAATATTTAGAGAGATCAACAAGTTTCACCTGTTTTCGAATATGAGACAACGGAGGTGGACTGACAATTTTCATTGGAAAATAAATTATAACTTTTTTTATGCTTCTTGCTGCTGGTGTTGGGTGTCTTAATGATAAATTTAGGCATTTCAAAGGGGATAATTTGATGATTTTTTGGAGCATAGATACCATCGTCATCTGATGTAATCACAAGAGACTGTACTATAAATTTCTAATTGTAAGGAAAAAAAAACTAATTTCATCTGTACGAAGTCTAGATGTGATTAATGGAAATAACACAAACTCCAAAATAGTTTGGAAGGATTTGTGATTTCTGGTAATTCTGAAAAGGTTTATGTCGAAATACGATGATATTACTGAATAATTGGGAAACCATCAAATAAAAAAAAATCAAGTTTTGGCTCCAGCCGATTATTGTTGTCCTTATAATTAGAGTTTTTTTTCGAAAATTTTAAAATTCTAGAAATCAGAAATTTCAAGTTTTTTTTGAATTTTAGAATTTCTGACATTCCAAGAACTTCTCAAGCGCCAAAAAATCTAAAGCTTTTTTGAAGACCTATTTCATTATATTTCATACTATTTTGAAACTCCGAACACTTTGGCTCTGATGTTTCTCTGCTCATCCTACTATTCCAATGCTCCCTTCACCCATTCAAAGCATCTTCGTCTCGTCCTGCCATTCAAAAAACGGAATATACGATGTCCCGTCTGGTTGCGTAGCACCGCCCGAATGGTTTCTATGGACCACTCACATGCTCTCCCATCCCGAGTTTCCATTCTTCTTTGTTTCGTATACTTTTTTGATCGAAAATGTCGAAACAACCCAAAACGTTTCGAAGTCGATCTTCGGATCATGTACCTGTTGTTCCGACAATGGTCAGCAATTCGAATGCAGCAGGTGTCAAGAGGATTCATGTTTGGAGGAATGCAGATGTATTCTTTCCAGGGATTCAGGTTAGTTTTACATGTTTAAGAGAAAAAACTTGTAGAAAGACCAAAGATTCAAAGATGTCTAGTGTGTCATTCGGGAGTACTTGTAGTTGAAATACATATTCACAGCAAAAATTCATAGAAGGGTCCCCTGTAATAAAAGAGAAATGTGGGCTCTTTTCTAGTTTAGAGGTCCCAATAAAATTTAGAGGTCCCAAAATAAAATAGAGGTCCCAAAAAAATTAGAGGTCCCAAAAAAGTTTAGAGGTCCCAAGTAAAAAAAGAGGTCCAAAATACGAAAAACGCGCAGATGTTGGAATAATGTACTAGTATTTGAACTGTGCGAGTAGTTTGAGTTTTAGGGTCTTATAGGATGACATGACTACTCATAACAATTTTAGCTCCAATTCTCTCGCATCTTGCCGATGAACCCAATTTACATATGAGGAAAATTTGGGCAATACAGTAATCACTCCGTGATTATGCTGTCTCTCAGGCTTAGATAACTGTCAGAAATATGCATTCCTAAGCCTATTAGAAGTATAAAATATATCATAAACAATTATTTTGCTATAAGACCTCAAAACTTTAAATTCTTACACAATTCAAATTTTAGTACATCATTCCGGTATCTGTGCATTTTTAAGTTTTGGGCCACTATTTTTTCTTGGGACCACTAAACTTTTTTGGGACCTCTAATTTTTTTTTGGGACCTCTATTTTATCTTGGGACCTCTAATTTTTTTTCGGACCTCTATTCTTTTTTGGGACCTCTATTCTTTTTTGGGACCTCTAAACTACAAAAGAGCCGAAATGTGTTGTTTGAAATCAAAAATATCCGTACTTTTCAGTGAAAACTATTCCAGAAGTTTCATAATTTCACAGAAATTTCTTAAAACACAATTTTTGCTCAAAAACGGGCTCAATTATGGTAAAATTGACAGATTTTAATACGTTTTCAACAAGAATTCACCGTTTTTTTAAATGTAAAATTTTGGAAAAAATGGCTGGAAAAAAAGAACGCCCCCTGTGATATAAAAGTCCCCTTCAAAATATGTTATGTGAAATCAAAAATATCCGTACGTTTTCAGAGTTAAATATTCCGAAAACTTCACAATTTCTTATTAAAAAGTCTTGAGGTTGTGGTAAACACCCATCGTGTCCCGTCCATCGACGTTCTTCTCGATGTTGTGAGTGAAAGAATCGGATTGATAAATGGTGCCAAAAAACTCTACACCACCAGTGGTACTCTTATCAAAGATATCAATAAAATCAAAGATGGAGAGGTACGTTTCCATGAAATTCACTTTTTATGATACCTTTTTCTCAGAACTATGTGGCTTCGAGTTCTCATTTTACTCCAGCGGCTTATGGTGGACAACAACAACAACAGAAAGAAGTGAAAAAGAAGAAAAAGAAACGATCGAAGACAGTTCAAGGACGGAAATCGGATCATCTTGATCATCTGGAGCTAGGTGAAGAAGTTAAGATTCCATTGAATGAACCCATTGAGCATGAGAAAAAGAAGAAAAAGAAGAAGAAGGTGGTGAAGAAAAAAGTGGATGACCATCATCTTCATCCACATCATTTGGATCGTCGTGGATCTGATGAGACATTGACGGGAACTGCTGAAGTTGAATTGCCAAGTGAGATTGAAGATTCAGAAGAAGAGGACGAGGAGCATAGAGAGTTGAATCATAGAGGTGAGTTTTGGAATATATAGGTTTGAACGAGTTAAGTTCTTTTGCAGATTCCCCAGATCACCACCATCGTCCATCCACAAAACACAGTGTTGCTCCTTCAAGATCCGTGAGTCGCCGAGAAAGTCGTAGAGAAAGTCATGATCACGTGGACCATAAAGAAGAAGAAGTGGAGAAGAAAAAGAAAGATGAGAAGAGAAGAAAATCAGTGAGTTCTTTTTTGACCTGACTTCCATATTAGTTCTTGACCCAACCAAAAGCATTTCAGCGAGTCTGTACCATATCATAGAAAAGAAGTGTATCGTCGCTCATAAGGTACTAGCACCTAAGTGCGCTCTACTGAACTTCCACTCCCCCTTCAGAAAGTGCGCTCTACTGAACTTTGCGCTGTAGAGATAGTTCAGTAGAGCGCACTTGTCAGTTTACAACAAATCTAATTTTCAATTTTCAGGTCAGTCGTCGTAAATCTCAATCACATCCACACCATTCTGGCCAACAACCCAACTGGGGAGACTTGTCAAGTTTCACTAAAAATATTGACTCTCTTCTTCGTAATTAATATTGTGTTCTCGTTTTTTGTATCTAAACTTTAGGAATTGTAGACGATTATTGGGTTGGGATTTGATTTTTTGAAAAATAATAAATAGAATTCTCATTTATTTAATTCCTTTTTTTAGTTATCCAACTTTTCCCATCGCCTGGCGTGCTCGATGAGAAATGAGCATTTTTGGGTGTTTTCTCCACGGTAGTTCGTCTTCATCTGCCGCCTTCTTCGCATCCTAAACCTGCCAATTTGTCTTTTTGAAGAAGTGGCGAAGAGGCTCTATGGAAACACAATGATTAATGGCTCTGTGGGATGGATATATCCCATCCCCCACTAAACAGGAGAGAAGGTGTTGGTGGTTGATGTGAAGAGGAAGAAAACACATAAATGCTATTTTAATTGGCATGTTTATGTGACATTTTTCTTTTTCTGGGGCGGTGGTTGGTATGGATACGACTATAGTAGGCGGAGAATCTCGAGAAGTGGTCAGCAGAATTCGACATTTTGAGTTTTGAAATGTCAGCTTTGGATACGGAAAATATATTTGGGTTCGACAAAATTTTAGTCTCTTTTAGAAACTTTCACTGAAAGGATACTGTAGGGGTGAAGTCATACCTTTCATAGGAAACTTTTTTATCTCAAACATCCTGTGATGGTAAATATCAAAAATGTGTCATCTGAAAAAGTGATTTTAGTGTTATGATAAACAATTTATCAGTTAAAAACGTTTTCATATATTTGACCAGAACCAAGATTAATGGGTTCAAAGTTCAAAATCAGGGGGTCCTTCATTGAAGGCTATACGGTATACATAGTCTTTACGCGATATTATCATCAAGAACTCTTTTATAGAAACCAGGAATGTTCGGAATGTCGGAAATTGCGATTTTGAAAGTTTTGGAAAATCGGAATTTCGGGAAAATCCGATTTTCAAAACTTGGGGAACAATTATACTGTATAATAAAAATCTTATTTTCCCATCATAAAAGCGCCTAAAATTGATGAAAAATTAACAAGAAGACTTCGAAAATTCAAAAAGAAAATTTCATAGAACAGTAATAGATGGTCCCTCACACTTTAAAGTTTGAGCTCCGCTACTTTCATTCCTATAAGAGATATGAAAATGTGTCAACTGATAAATTATTGGGATATTTTATTAAACAATTTATGAGTTGACAACTTTTTGATATTTTTTTTGACCTGCCGTTGTCCAAAAAACACTAATTCCCAAAAAAAACCTTCGAAGTTTTCGAAATTTCAAAACAGTTCCGAACATACCCGACAGAAACATGTCGACGGAATTCTTCGAGAAACAGAGCATCCAGTCTTTTTTGAATTCATGACGTTAGAAAATTATCTGAAACTGGTATTTGTATCCTTATGCAGAACATCATAGGATGTCCCCAGATGTCTTTTTATTGCTTTTTTATCTCTACAACACTATCTCGAAACTTTTCCCATGTTGGAAATTCCCAAGTATAAGATCACCTAGGTAACTAGAATTTCGAACTAGACATTTATTTGTTGTTGTTACCAGATTCACAACCACAAATAAACACACAATTTCTCACATTTTCCCAGCAATTCGTCTCCTCTTTCTTGCCGTTTTTCCACTTCTTCCCACCCACCAGAGAGAGCTCCTCCTTTTTTTCTACCACTATAATATTAGCTCCTAATCGGTTAGCTCCGTTTTCTCCAGCAGATGTCAAACGCTCTTTTCCTCTCTCTGAATATCTCTCTTTATTTTTTCTATTTGACTTTGAAAGCATGGACGGGCCTCCAGAAGAAGAGAAATTTTAATTAGACGGGCGGTCCCATCAAGAAAAAAGTGTTTAGTTGGGAGCATTCTACAACCTGTCCAACTTTTTCTGGAAAGTTTAGCCTTTTTTAGGGATGTCGTTGACGGAAAAGCTGTCATTTACACTTAGATATATTGAGAGTCAGAAAAAGAGCAACACATCTCTAACTCTTTTTTTTGTCTATTTTAGCCCTCTCTGCCTCTCTATCTCCAGCGATTTCCGGTTTTCGTGGATTGCAGAATCATCATGAGGAAGTGGAATAGTTGAATTCTTCTGTTTTGATTGTGCAGAATTTGTTGTATGTGCGCGAAACGTTTTATTGCTTCCAAAATTTTGGCTCCGCGTCTCTTCGAAACTGTGACACTTCGAAACCAGTCATTACGGAACCGGACTTTTCGAAACCGTGGTGATACAGGCGAATGGATAAATTTCAGATTGAAAAAATTTTAGGGTTTTCAATTATGCCTTTTCTGATAGAACACATTCTGCAATTCGAAAAAATATTACCAAAACTTAATTTTTCAAAAAGAATTGTTTTTGGAATCTGTCGATTTTCAGAAAGTGTTCCATCAGCAAACTCATATTTGAAAACCCTAAAATTGTTTTTGTTGTCTGAAATTTATCCATTCTCCTGTATTACTAGGATTTGGAAGTTACTGATTTCGAAGTGTCGCAGTTTCAAAGTGACTCGGAGCCAAAGTTTTCGGCGAACAAAGGAATATTCGAAAGCAAGTATTACCCATATTACGGGCGGAATTTCGCCAACTCTGTTTATCACAATTCAGAATATTCTGTCAAAATTGAAGCCAATTTTTTTCGGTAAAACACTTTTTATGATTCATTTTTGATCCAGTTTCAATTCTTTTTTTATAACAATTACTTAAAATTCGAAGATCACTATAAAGACATCATTTCGTAGACAATTACTTTGAACTTCTGACTTCCCCATACAATTCACTTCGGATATTTCCACCCTGTTCTTACACCTGATAGTTTTTTGTCTATTTTTCTTTAACGGAGGGAGGACAGGAAATTTTTCGGATTTTTAATGAATTATTTTATGCAACATGGGTAAAAATTATGTCTAAGTTAAGATTTTTCGATTTTTTCAAGTTTTGCCACTGTTTTTATGAAAATTTCGTACTTTGCGTTTGTTTCCATAAAAATGAATAACTTCAAAAAAAGTTCATTTTATGTCGTTTTTTTTTCCATGAACAACACTGTTTTTGCTGTTGTAACTGTGTAATTTCATTTTATTAGGCTAATAGTTGATTAATTTAGGCTTAGGAACAAAATAATTATACAAAAAAGTATAAAAAATGACATTGACTGAAAATTTCAAAAAATGATGAAAAATGTTCAAATCACAAAATTTTAGTGGAAACAACCACAAAACTTGAAAAAAGCTGAAAATCTTGTGTCATAAAGAGCCCAATGCTCAGTGTTCACTCTCCGTACCAGCTTTCATGTATACCACTTTAGCTTCGCCCCCGTGGCTCAGTCGGTAGCGACGCCGCACCTCCAATAATCGTCCCATGAGTTCAATCTCTCGAGGGGCTTATATGAACAAAATTTCGACACGGTTTTTTTTCTGCTCTCTCCTCCTCCCCTCCTTTAAGAAAATCCATCGAAAAATATCCACTTTTTTCTCATACGTTAACATGAGAGAGATTTGATAACCGGAAATGACCGGAAAACGGCAAAACTTCTCTTTATCCCACAGAGACACTTTTTCTTTCTGCCTTTTTTGTTACTTGCCCTCCCCGTGAGAGAGTAGTTTGATCATTTTCTTCAAAGTGCACCTACTAATTAAGATTTCGTGAGTTTGATATCTGACAATTTTTGATTTATTATCCATTTTGATTTATAACTTTTTCCTTTTCTTTTGCGCAACCCTATAACTTTCTTTTCCCATTTTCTCATAGAAGGTGACATACCTTAAGAATTTAACCTTAAGAACATACCTTAAGAAAACTGAAAATCTCCTCTCAATCGATTTTTCGTTATCCACAAACAACAAATTATATAGAGAAATGTAGTATGTCTAGTAAATATGTGTCCCAGAGAGACACCCCTCCGCCTTCAAGAATTCATCGTTATAATTCGCTTTTCAGCTCCAAAAACTCTATGTGTGTGTGTGTATTTTTCTATTCATTCCCATTCTAAATTGGACATGGAATTCAAGAGAAAAAAGGGGAGGAGGATGTTGTAGGCGTGGAGAGGGGAACCTAATATGATTATTATAATTATTTGTAGTTGTAGGAAAAAAGGAAGAGCTGTATGAGAGATTCTTTCTGGATTTGTATGTTTATACTAGTTTCTCTTTTATTTGGAAATTGAGATGACAAGAGAGGGAGTTGAGTTTCAATATTTGGGTTAAGTTTTACATAACGCCTAGTTTTTTTTGGTGAGAGTTAATATTTAAAAATAGGTCGGAATTCCGAAAGTTCCAACCGGAATATTCCAGGATTTTATGGAGCGAGCTTCCTACTTTGAAATTTTAAGGCTAAAAATTTCCGAAAACTCCGAAATTCCGAAGTTTCGAAACTCGGACTTTTCGACATTCAGAAAATCCCAGGTGTACTCTATTCTGGAATGACAGGTTCACTGGTTTCTATTTGAAAAAAATTCCAGTTTCATTCTATCAAATCTAGTCATTTCTCCTTGTAAAGGGCATGGGACCTACAATTGTTTATTTTTTTTTTCAAAATGTTTATATTTTTGGAAGAAAAACTAAAAAACTCAAAAAAAATTGTAAGCGAAAGTATTGTCAAGATTCTTGACTCAAAAACAACGAAGAGATTATGTTTTTAATTTTTCGGTTTCCACGACTACAGGAAATTCTAGGATATTTAAAAACGGTCGTAAAGTTCCTGTATAGGTTTACATGATTACCGTAAAACCGGTAATAGAAGGGTCCTCACACTGTCCAGTTTGAGATAACTTTTCTTGGCTCCTATGCAAAATATCAAAAATGTATCAATTGATAAAAAACTTCTGATATTATGATAAACAAATTAACAGTTGACAACTTTTTTGTATCTTCAACAGCAACCGAGATAAATAGGCTCAAACGTGACAGTGGGGGTCCCTTCTATTACAGCTCTTACGGTAATTTACATTATTTTCCCATTTTCTCCTGCTCTATTTTCAAATATAACATCACTTTTCGAGGTTCAAAACATCTCGAGAATCGCAAAACAGCTGATAGACATCTAACCCTATCTATTCAGACGTATCAGGTTTCACTTGTCCTTAGTCTTCTTTTCATGTCTCTGATTATTTTGATCAGTAGCTTTAACTTGGCTCACAATTATATTTTTTAGTTTCATAACCCAGCTAGTTTTTTTAAATGATATTATGTAAATTTTCCTGAACCCTCCGTTTTCTTGGTTTGATTTCCATTACCCGTTTCATTCATGTACTTTTTAACCTTTCTAATCCTTCTTGGCCTTCAGAAGCACAATAAAAAGGTTTTGCCTTCACTTCCAATTACCGGTTGCATGCTCTAAAACCGCGCCGTCATAAATGAGACATTGGGACACAAGAATTAGCATTTTCCGCTTCTTTTTTCCTGCTCTTCACATCTTCTTCTTCAACTACGCCTTCTTCTCCTTAGTTGTCTTCTCTTGATTCTCGGATTACATTTTCGCGCCTTCTTCTTCTTCTTCTACGTCCCATCCTCTCCTTTTTCTTCCACTCTGCTTTTTCAGGCACCCCTAATTAGACGCCTTTGTGGTTTTGAGAGTAACGGAAGAAAAATGGAAGAGTGAAATATGGGAGAAAAAACGGAATAGGAGAGAAAAAAATAGAAAAAGAAAGTAATGCAAGAATAGGATCAGCTTGGTTTTTTTATTTCAAGAACGTTTTCCATGAGTTCTCCTTTTTTGAAACTAAATTTCTTACCAATCCAGAATCCTAGGTCCCCATTCACATGGGTATCTGCACTGGTAGTGTTCGGAACGTTCTTTCCATTTTTGATCAGTTGTTTTCAAACTTTTTTCAAAAACGATAAAAGCTATCGTTTTATCACTCAGCTGACGTTTTACTGGTGGAGTCTAGTAGTGTCAAGAGATATGCCCAACGTTTTTGTCACTGACAATTTACATTATCGGAATTTGATTTTATTTGTATTTCTATGGACGTTCACAATGAAAATGAACTCTTTCGAACTACCCACACAACTTCATCAATTTGAAAAAAACTGGAAATGTATGACTACAATTAGCGAAATGCCAAGTGGGTTGTACTCAAACACCAGACGTCCCGAAACATGAAATTCATGACAAAATTGGGATGTTGTCGGTATCGTGGTCTACCAAGGAGTGAGCTGTTAGATGATACTATTACCAAAACGTATTCTTGTTAGATCACAAAACTTTATGTGGATCTCGATTGGAGAGAAACACAAAGTTTTATTTTCAAAATTGCAATCTGCGACCTTATGCTGAAAGGAAGACCCAGGCCTATCTCGATGGATATGGCTGGACAATTCTCCCTTATCCACCGCATAGCTCAAACTTTGTTCGGACTACTACCTATCCAGCCATTGTCATCTTCATTTACAAAAGTTCACTTGAAAACAAAAAATGGTTTGACTTGATTTTTTCAATTCGCTGAGTTTTTCTGTTCTGAAATTCCAAAATTTCGAAAATTTGAAATTCAGAATATTTCGAAATTTTCAAGATCGGAATAATTCGAAATTTTGAAATTGTGAAAATCGGAACATTCTGAAATTCCGAAATTATAGAATTTTGAAATTGGGATATTCGGAAGTTCTGAAACTTCAGAATTTTTGAAATATTCTGAAATTTTGAAATCCGGAGTTTTGAAAATCAGAAAATCCAAAATTCCAAAAATGTCATTTCGAACATCTCTGTTCCGTTGGATCATCTCTTCTCTTACTTTTTCTCCTCATAGAAATCTGAAATCTGAGCATTCCTCCCTCCTTGACTCCGCCCACTTCGTGCCCCTTGCCTCCCATTCTCAATATTTTAAAATATCAGTTTTCCACTCTCTCTTTCTCTTTTCATTTAAAGAAGAAGTAGTAGAAGCATGTGTGTGTGTGTCACTCGATCGTTTTGACTCGTGTTTCTGGCTTGTCTCAACACAGATAAATAAATATGATGACTCGGAAAAATGAGAGCAGTAAAGATATATTAGAGCAAGAGGAGAAGGAGAAGATCTGGAATAGATAGAGAAGCAGAGAGAGTAATATCATTCATTCAATTTATTGACGACGGCATTTTTTCTTATGTTTTTCTCTTAGATATCATGGATCTTCTTGTTTCCGTTTGACCTACTTTCCACTCCAGCCATACCCGGCCCTTGGCGGGCCTTCGTGTGCCCTGACAGAGTTTCTTTTGGAAACAGTATTTTTGGATCAGCTAAACATGATAGAGCTATAATCAAATATGATAGAGCTTGACGAGTACTTCAAAATGATACTATTCGGAGTACTGCATATTGTTTATGAGCAAAGTTATAGACGAAATGGGCCGAAAACACAGGCAGAGCACGGATCAGCCATTTTATGGCCTATAAATTGGTTCATAGACTAGATACAGTTCTCCAAATAATAACATTTTGTAGTACTCGTCGAATCTTATCATATTTAGTTTAGTTGGTTTAAAAATATTGAACCTGAAGGAAACTATGGCAAGGCCCGCCAGGGCCCGGTTTACAACTATGACTCCAACTCAATCTTTCAATGTTTTAGATCCCCATATCTCTACTCAAATGCAATGAATGATCCGACCGATGACGTTCCACACCATCTTCTCATCAAAATTTCTGATTCTACTTCTAATCAACCTCTCAACGCCTTCAATCGAATCTACTGCAGCCGGTTACCGTCAAACTAGCCATAATCGATGTTACAGTTGTATGTCGGAAATGTACGAGGGCTTTTTGAATAATGGAATGGAAAGGTGAGTATTCTGAATTTTTAAATGGAAAATTACTCGAAAGTACGTACAAAAATTTTGGGGTCATTGGGGTACAAAACCCTCAATTCAGGGGTGCAAAATACCGAAAAAATGTTGTCGAATTTTTATTTGTGTGTCTTTTTAAATAAATCTGACTAATATTTCAGGTACTTCAATCGTCCTCGAAACTTTAGTTCACAATGTGATGGGGAAATGGATGTGACGAATATGCACACGGTTCCATGTAGGACAATTTGTCTGACGATTCAGCAGGATTTGGTTGTGATGGGTGAGTAGCTGAAATTTGGAGCCAGACGGAGATCTGAAAACTTCCAGGCCAACCTACTGGACACCGTCTCTACATGAGAGGCTGTGCATTGACGATAGCTAGAAGAGGACTAAATAATCACACGCTAAGCATGTTTGATAGATATGATATATGCAGGTGGGATTTTTTGAAACCGGTTAAATCAGATACCATCTAGCCCAAATATGAAAACCTTTTTTATCCAGAATATTCATACCTACAGTACCAGTCATTAAGATATACAAAAACATAATTTTCAGTTGATTTTCGACCATTTTCAGTAGTCTGGAGCTCGGCTGTTAAGTTTCCGACCACATAAATTTTGGAGAGTGTAAAACAGACCAAGACTGAAAACTTTGAGCTCACAAAGTTTTTCGAGAAATCCCAGTAAACTAGGTCAGTTTCACACCCTCCAGCGTTTGCAAAGTGATCGGAAAACTGACAACCGAGCTCCAGACTCCGTAAAATGTTCAAAATCAACTGAAAAGAACATAAAAAATAAAAATTATGGAAAATAACAAGTTTCAATAGTGTACTGATCAGCCAGACTTTCGTCTGTTGACCCCTCTCGCCACGTAGAGGCTCAGTACATGAAAGGGTCCCCCCGCCCATGGTCTCCGAGGACCATTGTTGGTAAAATTCCAAAGTTCCTTTTCCCTGCTAAGAAGCCATGCATACACTTTTTATTGTCATTTTATTTCTTTAAATCTTTAATTGAATCTTTTGCAAAAGGGGGACGTTCAGTGAAAAACACCTAGCCATGAACCCCAAAACATGGCGACCCTTAGGGCCTTCTAGTACTTTTTTCGCATTCGACCAATCGAAAGAAAAAAAGAGAATGAACAACAGTAAGCAGCGTAATGCATAGAGCTTCAGACCAGAAAGAAAGTGCTTGTGAAAATTATCCAACAATAAAATTCAAAGAGTGTGATTTCACAGAGAACTGATTCTTTTGCAATATGTGGATTATTTAAACGTAGGAGGGGGCATGACCTAATATCGACTAGTTGTTTGCGTAACGTTAATAAAAAATTTTAAAAATTAATAAGTCGGATTTTCGAAAAGCTTGAAAATTAATGTGACCTCCTTTTAAGAAAGAGTGAGGAGCGGAGCAACAAACAGTAAAAGAAATAGGTCAAATAGCTCCGAAGGCGCACCAGCTAGCTATTTGAAGTGCCGGAGGCCCGGCAAACTGGCTGGTGAAGCAATAAAAATTCCACCGTACTCAACCTTTGAGATGGAACATGTTATCAAAAATAATGTATTTTGAGGTCATCTGAAAAGTTTCATTCATTACAATATATATTTCTTAAAAATTCAATCATGCAACTATTTCCAGGGACATGTCAGCATCTGACCTTTTCCGCCACGAACAAGCCGACTCTCAACGTATTCGGGTATGCAGTTGTCTCGGCGATCGGTGCAATTCAGCCATCTCCACGAGCAACGGACAATCGCTTTCGATTCTAGCCATTCTAGTTCTTTTCTCTTCATTTCTTTTTATCTAATGGCCTATTCTTTTTCTTTCCTACCTGCTCTATCAATCTCTTTTCTCACATATCTTCTTTTCCCCCTGTCCCCTTTCCTCAGTTTTTTGTGCATTTTCCACTTTTTTAAATGTTCATTCTTCCTTTCAAAGTTCTATTAAAAAGCTTTATTATCAAAGACAGTTCATTAATTAGGACTAGCTGAGCCAACTTGGCGATGCGAAAACTGTAAACATTGCTCCGGTTGACTCAATTGCTGGAGACAATGCATATGGAGACAAGAACAGTCCCGAGATATATTGTGGTGATAATACTTGAGGTGATAGAACGAAAGGTGATAAAATGATAGGAGACAAAGCCAATGGATTCAGAATAAGAGGAGTTAGAGCAAATGGGGAAAGAATTAGAGGAGTCATGACTTGAGGAGATAGAACAAAAGGACACATTACCAGAGGGGACAGAACGAAGGGATTGAATACTCCAGGTGACAGTACTACTGGATCAAGTACCACAGGTGATAGAATGATAGGTACGAACATGAATGGATCTAGGATAACCGGGCTTAAAATACGAGGGGACAGTATAAGAGGAACAAATAGCCAAGGTGATAGGATGACGGATCCAAAAACAGCAGGAGAGTTGACAAGAGCAACCATGACAGCTGGAGAGAGGATAAGAGCTTGGGAAGCTGTTTTGGGGTCGTTTATCAGAGCTGTATTAACTACTGGAGATAGGACAATGTCTTTTTGACGAACCTGAAAATTTGAGAAATCTATTTTAGGTGGTGTTTCTGAATTATCTCACCTCGAATTTTAATTTTTCATCAGCCACATCCTTAATAGTTCTATGGATTGCTAGGTGAATCTCAGCTGTCGTCATATTTTTGTATGCTCTCAAAAGTCTTGAATTCTTAAAAGGCGACTTCTTTCCATACATCATCTGCATTTGTTTTGGATTCAGTACCGTGTATCCAGTTTGATTCATATCTTTCAACTGTTCAATTGAATAGGTTTTATCCAATTCCTCGAATAATTCAATCTTTTTCGCTTCCGATGGGAATCTCTCTGTGATATTCTCTTTAGTGAAATACAATGGTTGTCCATCTGGTCCTCTTCCTATTGCATCATCCTTCTTCCGTTGTGCATCTATCATTTTCTGTTCGGCATCTTCCACAGCTTCAGCTACTCCGGTGGCTTCAACTAAGAAATCTAAAAGATTCTGAGAATCTGTTGAACCTCCAGCAGCTGCTAGAATAGATTTCAACGACGTCTTCTTTTCAATTTCGGTTCCAGAATCATGAAGAGAGAATAGGGACGGAGAGAGGATGTCAATCTGAAAATTTTTAACTGTAGAAGTATTAGAATAAAGCTAATCTTACAGTTTTATTTTGCTCATCCTTTTTACTATCAGACAATATACTCATGAATCTTGGACTGAGCAATTTCACAGTCTTCTTATCCATATCAGTGGTATTTTGTCCAGCGAGTCCCAATCCGATCTTTGCTACTTGACGGATCAAATCAATCGGAACCATAAACATTTTCTCTTCTTCTATCATATTAGATGATTTTCGATGGATCATTTCTTTCAGCTCCTCGTCTTCAATGTCTTTTTCGATATCAGAGTATCTCTGTGACAATACTGTTTATGAATCGTACGATTTCTAAACTCACCGTCAATAATCCATCTCGTTTCTTTCCTGTCTTGATATTTTACGCTTCTTGAAACACTCGAATCCTTTTTCTGTACATATTCTCAGCCTGCTTTCTTTTCTTCAATAAGCCACTTTTTCGTTGGATTCTTTCAATTATTTCTTGCCATTTCGACAGCTTTTCCTTTTTCTTTAGAGATTTTACAGAGTTGGATAAGTGTTTTGTGATTATCGCAAATGGGGATCTGAATTTAATTTATCAAAGTTTGTAAAACTATTTAAAGATCTCACTTATCGTAATCCGATTTAAGCACATAGCTTTCTGCATTTCTAACTTTCGTTGATCGCTTTGAGCGGACAGTTTTGAAAGATCCAATCCAGTTACGGTCTTGTGGTTTTTCAATCTCAACCTTCCTCATATTTCTGTGGGTTCTTATGATTTTAGCGGATTTATAGTTTTCCATACTCTTCAACTTCCAAAGCTTTTCCGATTGTCTGGAATCTTGGTTCAGATTCTTTTTAGATGCTTTTCGGGCTTCTGAAAAACGTCGGTTTAAAACCTTTCAGCCCATGAAACCTACTTTTATCAAAATATTTCTTCCTCTTGAGCAATCGATTTGACAACACATCTTCTTCCAAAGAAACCAGACATTTTGCATGACTCTTGATATCATGAGCATTCGAAGAACACTTTTCATGCTTCTTTTGGCTATATTCTTCAACTAGACGCAGTCTGAAAATGAAAACTTGGAAAATAGAATACCATATTTCTTCTGATAGAAGCCCACTCAACTTTGAGCTCAATTATCTCGATTCCCGTAAAAGATATCAATGTTTTGTCAACAAATTAGTTCAACTAATTATTATAATAAAAAATAGGTGATATTACGATAAATAATTTATCAGTTGACAAAATTTTGATATCTGTTACAGAAATTGAGATAATTGAGCTCAAAATTGAGGGCTTATATTAGAGCTTTTCTCACCTTCTAGTAGAAATAGCTGAAATGAGTCCTGAAAACGCTTGATCCGTCCAGCGCTGCCATAGTTCGGTACCAGACTTTTTTGAAATCGGAAGCGAGAGAACTTTGTCTTTATAGAAAGGAGAAGCCTTTACATCTGTTGTATCCAAGGTAACTTTCAATTCTTTCTCAAACTTTGATTCCCCACGGATCTCTGGAAAAGGAAAACAATTTGGTATATTTGTTTCTAAATCGAGTCATGTTGCGGTTTTTCTCTCATCAATCTGTCTGCCACCATTAAATGTTTACGATCCTCCGTTTTTATGAGTGTATTTACATATACAGGCAAAGCGAGATTTCTCTCAATAAATCAGAACACAGCGGGTGGATCATTTTGATTGGAGAATTACGGTAAATTCGAACCGATACATGAAGTTGGATGGAGATATGTAGGAATTGAAAGCAACAAATTATTTCGGTGTGATCATTTTGGATCCTGATTCAATAGTACGCATTTAAAGGCGGCCCAAATTGTCAGATTTGAGCTCAATCATCTTGATTTCTGTAAGAGATATCAGAAAATTGTCAACTGATAAAATATGTATTGGTGATATTATGATAAATAATTTATCAGTTGCGATTGTTTTGATATCGTCTATAGGAATCGCGATAATTAAGCTGAATGGTGACGGTCTGGGGGCTTCTTTTAGAGGAAATACAGTGACCAATATATTCCGTTCACTGTACCAAAATATTCTTTGAAAGTCAAACTGTTGGGATAAAGAGCTCAAAAAACAAAAAAAGATAATCTTTTTACAGCTTTAGGTTTTTTAGTATTTTCTTTTAGAGTGTAATAAGAATGAATTATCGGGCGTCGCCGGAAACTTCTGATCGGAGGATGGTCAGATTCAGAATGAGACTGTTACTAAAGTCGACCTCACTACCGACAAGCTTATGACAAAGCTCCGACCTAGTAGTATTTCAACTCTTGATTTCAAAATCTGACCATGGCCCGCTATACAGCCGTTTTTGGGCAAATTCCAGTTTCTGGCCAGAACCTGGACAATATCCGTCAAAAAGCAGTGTAACTTTAAGCTCAATTATCTCGATTCCTGTGAAAGGTATCAAAAACTTGTCAACTGATAAAATATTTTTGGTGTTATGAAAATAATTAATCAGTGAACAAATTTTTTATTTCTTTCAGAGGAATCGAGATATATGGGCTCCAAGTTGGCGGTTTGAGTGGGCTTCTATTAGAGGAAATGCGGTGTCCATTCCGGTTTCATAGAAAGAAAAAGTTATAAGGTTCCTCATAGAAAACATTTTTCTCGTTCGGTTTCCTGACAATCTCGCAGACGGCGCTTATGTCGAATATCGAGTCCGCGCCCCGAAAACAATACTGCATGAGGCGAAATTAATTTTTTGTAAATTCAGTACGGTTTTTGCTCCCTCTATAACTCACCTACTATCAAAACTATCAACACAATCCACGCTGTTTGATAACATCCTGCAGCCAGCATTTACTTTTATGAACCAAATTCAGGAATCCGAGATGGTATTAGAAGATCTAGGAACCAACTCCAGGACGAAAGAAGAAAAAAAAATCGAATGACGATTCAAATTCTTCCGGGAGAAAGATAAAACGAGGATCATCGTTTCTCTAAACTTCCTAAGCCCAAACGGCGTGGAAGCGCACGCCTTCGGTGTGACATAAAACCCGAGAAGAATCTATTTGAATTCACGGCAATTAGTGAATTTGATACTTCTGCCCCTCTTCGCTGATTTCTGATTCACAAAGCACGAAGAGAAACGTACTGAACGCACGGGGGAAGTACATCATAATGATTTCAAAGGGAACAATACATCAAAACTTAATTTATTTAAAAAACAATCAAACTTAACTTATAAAACTGAATATAATATGGGTGATCTCAATTATCAAAACGTTTACTTTGGATTCTGGATTTTGATGACTTCCATTTTCAGAATCCATTCAGGAATACGGGAAAATTGGTTTTCACAAGGGGAGTGTTTTTTCAGACAGTGGTTGAGAATTTCTTGAAAATTGATACACATATACTTTCGGACATGGTGAATAACGAGAAAACTTTTTTTCGTGCCCCTCGGTACCTAGAATCTGAAAAAACGCGTCTGAAATTTCACCTATGTTTAAGCATTATAAGCGTGAGCGCGATCTCCCCCTTTCTTATGCAAATTTTGGGAGCAGTGAGGAACAGCGAAGTGTGGTGTAGTGGTGGCACAGGTGATTCGTGATTGACCAATTACAGAAGAAGGGCTATAATCGACCAATTACTTATCTACCGCGAACGAGAGGTTCTACAATTGACCATTCGCGAGCAAAATGTTCTTACTAACTGGCCCTATAAAAGGTCCACAATTGAACGTTGAAGCTTATGGAATTCCTTGAAAAGTTGGATATCATCTTCTTTCGGTTCACGAATTTTTCCAGCTCCCAGAATGCCTCCGGGCGCCATATTCTTCTCCCCCGTACACCTTGGTATGTCCGTTTTTGTCCAAATCATAAGTAGATCCTCCCGAATCGTTCTCCATTTTCAGACGATCTGGAAGGTCATCATATTTTTCAAATCTGCGGATGAGACCTGATTGATAAGTGGTTTCGTTGACTGTGAATTTCATTTTATCAAATAAGAGATAACGGATTTGAAGAGGAGTTGCCTTTTCAGCTGTTCGGAGATTGGGGCATTTGTTGGAGATGCGGAATCTGGAAAATGAAAATTTTCATTTAGTTTCGGTTTTTGAAAAAAAAAACTCACCTCTTATTGGCATCCATGAATTGTAAAACCGCTTTTGAACTGCAGTAGGAAAGTGACACAGGCATTATTCAAGTTGGTGATTACTGAAAATAAAAACTAATGAGTTTGTAGTTTTCATTCACAAGATTGATGTTTGAGATTTCTGGAGTTCTGAATGACTGAAATTAAATGACTGAAAAAAATCGATCACAAAAAACCGATTATAAATAAAATTTAATTTGATGGCAGAGTTTGAAAATGTAACCGACAAAAATCAATAGTTCAGGTCTTATGTCACATTAGGGCGGCTTTTTAGTAGATCAAAAATACTTGTTTGCCTCCAATTTTTTCCACAAGAGAAGCTCGAACATATATGTAGATCAAATTTGATCTATCATAAAAAAAAGTTTGAGGCTAGCAGGTTCAAAGTACAGTGTCATAAAGATTGTAGACAATTTACCAGTGTATTTGGAGCAGATCGAAATACTTTTTGATTCTTTTCCGTGAGAATTTCTTTCTCGATGATTTGGTTTGCTGACGGGATACAGAAAACATATCACCCGAATTTCAAAATTTTGAAAATTTTTTATTAAACCTATGATCAATTAGCTGAGCCAACTCGGAGAGGCAAATACGGTTACCAACTTTCCATTTGACTCAATAGCTGGAGAAAGGGCATATGGAGACAGAATGATACCTGTTACGAATTGAGGGGACATTACTTGTGGAGATAAAACAAACGGGGATAGAACAATTGGAGATAAAGCCAGTGGTGTCAGAATCAATGGCGTCAAAGCAAACGGGGAAAGAATTAGAGGAGTCATGACTTGAGGAGATAATACAAATGGGCAGAGAACGAGAGGGGATAAAATGAACGGGTTGAAGACACCGGGAGCTAAAATGACAGGGACAAGAGCGAGTGGAGACAAAACTATAGGAGCAAAAAGAAACGGTGTTAAAACGACTGGACTCAATAAACGAGGAGATAGAATCACAGGAACGAAGAGCCATGGGGATAGAATAACTGCTCCGAATACAGCTGGAGATTGGATGAGAGGTACCATTACTGCAGGAGAAAGAATTAGAGGTTGGGAAGTTAGAACGGGATTGTTGATGATGGGAGTGGCAAGGATTGGGGAGAGGACGATATCTTTCTGACGGACCTGAAAGAATTTGAATTGAAAAAAATCGCTTTTCAGTTATAATCAAACCTCAAACTTCAACTTCTCATCAGCCACGTCCTTAATAGTATTATGAATTGATCGGTGGATCTCAGCTGTCGTCATATTTTTGTATTTTCTCAAAAGTCTTGAATTCTTAAAAGGCGACTTCTTTCCATACATCATCTGCATTTGTTTTGGATTGAGTACCGTATATCCAGTCTGATTCATATCCTTCAATTGATCCACTGAAAATGTTTTATCCAATTCCTCGAATAATTCAATCTTTTTCGCTTCCGATGGGAATCTCTCTGTGATATTCTCTTTTGTGAAATACAATGGTTGTCCGTCTGGTCCTCTTCCCATTGCATCATCCTTCTTCCGTTGTGCATCTATCATTTTCTGTTCTGCATCTTCTACAGCTTCAGCTACTCCAGTTGCTTCTACCAATAAATCCAAAAAGTTTTGAGAATCTGCAGAATCCATTGCAGATCCCAGAAGAAATTTCAACGACGTCTTCTTTTCAATTTCGGTTCCAGAATCATGAAGAGAGAACAGGGACGGAGATAGGATATCTATCTGAAAGTAGTAGTTGAAAGCTTGCAAATCATTGTCCAACCTACTTCATTTGCCTTTGTTTCTTGATCTTCCGGTAACACACTCATGAACCTTGGACTGAGAAGTTTCAGATTCTTTTTACCCATAAAAGTAGTATTTTGTCCAGTGAGTCCCAATCCGATCTTTGCTGCTTGCCGGATCAAATCAATCGGAACCATCATCATTTTCCCTTCTTCTGTCATATTCGATGATTGTTGATGAATCATTTCTTTCAGCTCCTCGTCTTCAATATGGTTCTCAATGCTTGCAAAATTCTAAAAAGTGTAATTCAAAAAGTTGCCAAGAATTTTAAAGCTCACCAGCAGATATCCATCTCTTTGTTTCTGCTTCTTCACAAAACTGTTTCCGGATGATTTTATTCGTTTCGCTTCTTGAAAAACCTGGATCCTTTTTTTTGTAGGTTCTCCACTTGTTTTCTTTTCCGCATCAATTTACTCTCATTTTGTATCCTTTGAATTATTTCCTGCCATTTCGATAGTTTGTTTTTCTTCTTGATTATCTTCACAGCAGTGGTGAGATGCTTTATGATCGTAGAGAATGGAGATCTTTAAACAACACATGAAAATTATAGTTTAGATTTCTAAACTGACCTATCGAGTTCGGATTTTAAGGTGTAGGTATCAGCTTGTTTAATAGATCGTCTTGCTCTTCTGACTGTTCTAAATGTTCCCGTCCAATAATTTTCAGTCGTGTTGACATTTACTGAATCTTCAGATGACGTTATCAGAATTCTTCTTCTTTTAGTTTTATTTACAGTACTTTTTGAAGCCTCGTAACTTTCCATACTTCTCAACCTAGACAGCTTCTCCGAACTGCTCTTCCGCAATTTTTTAGAATTTTTCTCGATTCTATTCCTGCTTTCTGAAAATGTGAATATACGATTTTCCAACTAAATTCAATTTCTTACTCTGATCAAAATACTTCTTCCTCTTCAGCAATCGATTTGTCAATCCATCTCCTTCCAAAGCAACAAGACATTTTGCATGACTCGCAACGTCATGAGCCTTTGCGGAACACTTTTCATGCTTCTTCTTGTCGTATTTCTCAACTAAATTCAGTCTGAAATCGATGGATTTTGTCTGAAATTAAAGAGATCCTTACCTTCTAGTAGCAATAGCTGAAATGAGTCCAGAAAATGCTTGATCCGTCCAGTGCTGCCATAGTTCTTCACCAGCTTCTTCAGAAATCGGAATGGATAAAACTTTGTCTTTGTAGTATGGAGATGCTTTCACATTCTCTAATGTCATCGCCACTCCTAGCTCTTTCTCAAATTTCAAATCTGCTGAGCAATCTGAAAAATAATATACGGTACAACCTGTAGAGAAATCTCTAACTTTTAACATTGAGACAGTCCTTTTATTACAGGTTTAGATGAATAATTTCCTATTTAAGAAAGGTTTTAAAATTTTTTCTTACCTACAACACGCATCATAAGAAAGATCGATAATGTCCACATCTTCGCGAAAGTTGTCATTCCAACTCCTGAACCGAATAATCATCAGAATGAACTCTGTGAACCAAAATCGTTCCATTTTTATACATTCAGTGATGTAGTTTGTATTCAAATTTTGTCATTCTACAGTCCCCGTTTCTTTAAACAATCACCTGCTAATTAATGAAAGCCTTCCCCTTTGATGATTTTAATTTGAACCGGGATTTCGGGAAAATTCCCATAAGAAAAAGAGAGGAAAAGGCAACATTATAATGAGCTTAAAACAATTCGGAAGATAAAAAGAAATCGGAAAGGATGAAGATAATCCATTTGTTCCACCTGAAAAGTCGATGGACAAGAAAACTGTCTAGCGGAAGGTGTCTGTATGAAGAATCGCCACGCCTTCTATTTTTTGAAGAACACTGAATAGTACTTTGGGTTTGGGTTATTCTTTTTGGAACTGAAAGACACACCGTAAGAACCATACGATAAAAATGTCATCTTTACTTTTTCCTAGCTTGTTGAGAATGCCATAACATTCATGTTACTATAACAGAGTCTATCTTCAAAGCGACATTTCGATCTTGTTCTATACCGGCATCCATAAATCTTCTGTTCCATCATTATATGATGTAGAAGTGACAGAAGACAGGTGCCTCTCCTTTTGATAACGAATGTCTGGCGACCCATCAAGAAGAAAATGGAAAAGGAAGAAAAATTCCGTTTATTATTATCAAATCTATTATCACATTTCGATTCTACCCATAGCAAGAAGAATAAGAAAAAATAAAGGGAATATTAACTGAGCCAACTTGGAGAAGCAAATACGGTTACCAACTTTCCATTTGACTCAATAGCTGGAGAAAGGGCATATGGAGATAGGATAATTCCAGTCAGGAATTGAGGAGAAAGTACTTGTGGAGACAATACAAAGGGCGATAACACCAATGGAGACATGAGAAGGGGATTCAGAATCAGAGGGGTCAGAGCAAATGGGGAAAGAATTAGAGGAGTCATGACTTGAGGGGAAAGAATGAAGGGGCACATGAGGAGTGGAGAGAGCACGAATGGATTGAAGACTCCAGGTGACAAGACTACAGGAACCAGAGCAAGAGGGGATAGGATGATGGGGACGAACATGAAAGGATCGAGGATTACAGGACTTAAAATACGAGGAGATAGGATGACGGGAACGAAAAGCCATGGAGAGAGGACTACGGTTCCGAATATTGCAGGAGATTGAATCAGTGGAACCATCACAGCTGGAGAAAGGATCAAGGCTTGGGATGCCAGTGCAGGGTTATTGATGATTGCAGTTCCGACAATTGGGGAAAGGACGATATCTTTTTGACGAACCTGGAGAGACGAATTTGATTTTGGATATTCATAAGAATTTTCCCTTACCTCAAACTTCAGTTTTTTATCGGCTACATCTTTGATAGTATTATGAATTGATCGGTGGATCTCAGCTGTCGTCATATTTTTGTATGTTCTCAAAAGTCTTGAATTCTTAAAAGGCGACTTCTTTCCATACATCATCTGCATTTGTTTTGGATTGAGTACCGTATATCCAGTCTGATTCATATCCTTCAATTGATCCACTGAAAATGTTTTATCCAATTCCTCGAATAATTCAATCTTTTTCGCTTCCGATGGGAATCTCTCTGTGATATTCTCTTTTGTGAAATACAATGGTTGTCCGTCTGGTCCTCTTCCCATTGCATCATCCTTCTTCCGTTGTGCATCTATCATTTTCTGTTCTGCATCTTCTACAGCTTCAGCTACTCCTGTTGCTTCCACCAATAAATCCAAAAAGTTTTGAGAATCTGCTGAATCCATTGCAGACCCCAGAAGAGATTTCAATGACGTCTTCTGTTCAGTATCAGATCCCAAGTCATGGAGCGCAAATAGAGATGGAGAGAGGATATCCACCTGGAATACAATATTCGGAATTATTTAAAAATTGCTCCACCCACCTCATTGTTTTTACTCTCCTGATCTTCTGGTAGCACACTCATGAACCGAGGACTGAAAAGCTTTATAGTCTTTCCATCCATATCAGTGGTATTCTTTCCAGTAAGTCCCAATCCGATCTTCGCAGCTTGCCGGATCAAATCAATCGGAATCATCATCATTTCATCTTCCTCTGTCATATTGCTCATTTTTTTGTGATACAAATCCTTCAACTCCTCGTCATCAATATACTTTTCGACATTAGCAAAATTCTGAAATTTTCGGGAATTAAAAATCTACAGATATGATTTCGAGGCTCACCATAACTGATCCTTCTCGACGCTTCATCTTTTTTCTCATTTCCAAAGAACTATTTTCATTTGATTTGATTCTTTTTGCTTCTTGAAATACTCGCATCCTCTTTCGTTGTAGGTTTTCCACTTGTTTTCGTTTTTTCAACAACGAACTTTCCTTCTGAATCCGCTCGATAACATCTTGCCATTTGCTCAGTTTATCCTTCTTCTTGAATACCTTAACAGTGTTGGACAACTGTTTCGTGATAGCGGCAAATGGAGATCTGAATATTTTTTGACTTTAAGCTGTTACAGAATTGAAAACTAACGTGTCGTATTCTGATTTCAAAGTGTAGCTATCAGCATTCTTGACTTTTATTGATCTTTTTGCTCTTCGGGCAGTTTTAAATGATCCAACCCAGTCGTCCCCAACCGCGGAGCTTTCAGAAGATTTTTTAAGAATCCTTCTCCTTCTTTTAGTTTTGCTTTCAGCACTTTTCGAAGCCTCATAACTTTCCATGCTTCTCAATTTGGCCAGCTTCTCTGAACTGCTCTTTCGCATTTTTTTCGACTTTTTCTCGATTCTCTTCCTGCTTTCTAAAAATATAAATATACGATTTTCCAAATGAATTCTCTTTTCCTACTCTGATCGAAATACTTCTTCCTCTTCAACAATCGATTTGTCAATCCATCTCCTTCCAAAGCAACCAGACATTTTGCATGACTCGCAACATCATGAGCCTTTGCGGAACACTTTTCATGCTTCTTTTTATCGTATTTTTCCACTAAATTCAGTCTGAAACTGATAGATTTTGTCTGGAATCAAAGAGATTCTTACCTTCTAGTAGCAATAGCTGAAATTAGTCCAGAAAATGCTTGATCCGTCCAGTGCTGCCATAATTCCGTTCCAGCATCCTTTGAGATGGGTAGGGAGAGAACTTTGTCTTTGTAGTATGGAGAAGCTTGGACGTCTTTTGTGTCAAGAGCCACTTTCAGCTCCTTTTCGAATTTCAGCTCTCCATAAGTTACTGAAAATTGAACTGTTGGATTGATACTGTAGCTGGCAGCATACTTGTCGACAGGCCGACTCCGGGCCTTCTGATAACTCTCTTCAAAATTGAAATTTCAAGCTAACATACCAGATGATAGAGCTCGGTGAGCTATACAACCTCCAATGAGACCCGAACCGGCAATTTTCAGCCGAGCCGACGATTTTTGTTCTGTCTGGCTATTAAATGTCGTCCACCTGATTACTGATTTAAATGCTGATCGGTTCTTATTGAAGGCTGGAGAGCTCGGCGAGCTCTATTATCTGTTACGTTGCTTGGTTCGAAATTTCAATTTTGAAGAGAGTTATCAGCCGACCTGTGAATCGGCTTGTCAACAAGTATGGCTAGCAGTAGTTCGTTATCTGGGAGACATTTTTTAATATAATTAATACATCTAGAAAAGAAGAAGTTGCTAGTTATGAAGCTGAAAATTAATACAGAAAGGAATGTGATCATTTTCAGGTCGGGTGTATTTCCGGAAGTGTAATTTATCTTTAAAAAACTCACCTGCCAGACATGAAAATAATAGAAAAGTGGTCAAAAGACCATGTGTAGAACTCATTTCGAATCAAAAGTCCACTCCTCCTCCCGTCCTCTTTTATATCGAATTCATTCTGGGGTACGGGCGTCCGAAAAGGTGCTATCCAGAAGATTAGGCCAATATATTTTTGACACACAACGTGTGTACGAACGGTTAATTAGGCTTAAAACAAATTTTTCTGTTGTCGAGAAACATGTAGATAGTGCATATACTCGAGAGATGACATGTTCAGACACCTTGTGAATTCAATTAGCTGTTGAAACTTCCTAATAGGTGTCCTCCGGAGAGAATCTGGAGACGCGCCTCTCTTATCCTTTTCTTCATTCCAGTGATCAGCTTCTAGAAAAAAGAGGAGATAGTGTGAGAAAATGAGAGAGTAACATCTCGTTCAACTGATAACATTTTGATCGCTAATTGACTTGCACACACCTGAATGACTCTGCTTTTTCTTCTTTTCCGTCCTGTCCCCGTCCCGTCCGTCTTAATCCTTCTTGTTTGAACTTTCGGTTTTCATTTGAACTTGATAAAAGGATTGGGATAAATTGTTTGCTGTGTACTCAAGATCATCCTGTTATATAGATGATTTCATGGATTGGCGAAGCAATCAAATAAAATGGATTCATGACGATTTGGAAGAAGGAGGATACGATTTTGGTATGAGACACTTTGAGTGGGCTGCGCGGGAGTTTGGACTACACTCAATTTTTGAAATCCGGCCAGTCTATGAAAACTGCCGACCGCCCCAAAGTGTTTTATTTCCTGTTTATAATGAAACAGTGAAATCATAACGGTCCAGGTTTTACCCATATTTCAAATGTGTTTTAATCAGAAAAAAATCAGAACATTTCCGAATCTTTTTTTTTTGGAATCAATTTCTGATCGAAATTTTTCCGAAACCTATTTTGGAGAAAATAATTACTTTTATTATTTTTTGAGGCCTTCGAAATTGGTTTGCCAATTTTTCTCGCTTTTGTGTTGGAAAAGTGGGATTTGGAAAATTCCGAAACTACGAACTCTTTGAAATTGACATGTGCGGAAATTCGAAAATTTTTAAAATCGAAATACTCCGAAATTCAGAAACTTTCAAAATGTTGAAAAATTCTGAAAAGGCCATTTCGAATATCCCTGAATTATGATTTCATCATAATTTTCTGAAAACTGAAAAAATTATGTTTTATCAAAAATTTGAACAAAGACGAAAAGGATTCACCGTAGAACCTGTAATGGAACATGTCAAGTTTGAGCTCAATTATCTCAATTCCTGTGAAAGATATCAAAGTTATGTCAACTAATAAAATGTTGGTTGTTTTATAACAAACAATTTATCAGTTGTCAACTTTTTCATATCTTTGACAGGAATCGAGATAAATAAGCTTAAACTTGAAAGTTCAGGGGCCCTTCTATTGCAGGTTTTACAGTATTATCTTTTTTGCATTTTGATAGATTTTCGTAAGACAGAAGGGAGAACATCTCCGAATGTAATTGATCTTCCGATTCCGATTTTCTGCAACACATAAATAACCTCACGAGGTTAATTGATCATGTGTCTGATTGTTCAGAAAAATCAGAAATCACTGTGTTTTGTTCTGGAAGAAAATTTTAGCCCTGAAATTAACCCATAATATATTTTAACTTCTTTGAGTCCTTTATTTAAAACCCTGTTCATGAAACCATATCGTCACTGATCCAGATTATGAAATGAGATTATGAAAAAAGAAAACATTCCGATGAAAAATCCATAAGAACTTCCTAGAAGAAATTCGTCAAACTGTTGAGAAAACAAGTGATGTTTTTGGGGAGATAATTGAATTTTGAGAGAGTTTGAGACGGTGAGAAAAAACACTTATATGGCAGAGAGGGGTGGCTGATTCGATACCACTTTTGACTGGTCTTTTATTCCCCTTTTACTGTCCTTAGTCACTGTTTTTTCTCTTCTTTTTTTTCCATCCCTGTCTTCATTTTCAAATTTCAATTCGAATTGACCACCTTCAATCTAAAAATGCGCTCGATTTTTGTGGTTCTTCTTTTTGCCGCCGTTGTTCAGACACAGTTTGTAAGTTTAAAATCTTCGAAAGAAATTTGATTCAAGATTCAAATATCAAATCAAATTAATCCCATAAAAATTGAAAGATCTAGGAGCTGTCGGCAGCGTCAACACGAGCCGCAACCAGACGTCCATCATGGATTCGGTCAAAAGTGGCAAGGGTTCAGGAGTGGGCGGGGTGGAGGAGAAGAGAATCAACGACTCCTAGAATTAGGTCAACTACAGTAGCCCCCAGTAGTCGTAGTTTTGTAGATAAAGTTAGAGATAGGTTCAAAGGATCTACTTCACCAAGTCCAGGATTTCTGGACAGAATGAAAAATCGATTTAGAGGAAATATCCAATCAAGCACAGTTAGTCCGCACGATGCTCCAGATCTAGGCTTTCTGAATAGAATGAAATCAAAATTTGGAATCAAATCTGGGAGCACTACCGCTTCTCCGATGGATCCGCCAGGTCCAGGGTTCGGAAGTAGTACTGTACCTCATCACCAAGCATCTTCGGATACAAGTTTTCTGGATAAAATTAAAGCAAAACTAGGTGGAAGAATTATTATTCCAGTTCCTCTTCCCATACCACATCATGATCAACCTGACCCAAGTTTTCTTGACAAAATAAAAGCAAAACTAGGGATTGGTCATCAAAATCTGGAATTTCCAACTTCAACAACACCTCTGGTAGAATCTACTACACCATATATAGTTACTACCTCTTCTTCTCCTCCAACTACACCTCTACCATCCGAACCCGGCTTTTTTGGAAAAGCATTCGCAAAACTGAAATCCATGTTGAACATTGACTCGACAGACCCGACTAAACCCAACTTGGTTATTAAATACGGCGAGAAAGCTGTTGAAAAACTTGGTCCCAAACTTTTGGAAAAAATCAAAAAGGTTTCCATTCCTAGATCTTTCAAAAAATATTTCTTTCTTATCCTCGCACTTCACCTTCTCTTTTCATGAAAAATTTCAGAACTTCCATGGAATGAACAGTTTCTTTTCGACGGACGAAGAATTTCCCACGCAACTTCAGAATTTCGAAGGTCGAACACAAACCGAAATTAGAACATTGAGAGAAAAAGTGGAGAGATTGGAGAAATTAGTTGAAGGACTTCAAAGTATTCTGATGAAAGAATGGAATGTAACGGAGAGTGGATCCAAGTACAGATTTTTCGAGGAAAGGAAGAATTGGGATAATGCGGAGAAACATTGTCAAGGATTTGGAGCACATTTGGCAATTATTGATAACGAGGCGAAGAACACTTTTGTCACCAGTAAGTGATTGTTCTAGAAGTTTCGTTACCGTTATCACTCTAATAGAAGGGCACTCTAGATTGGCACTTTGAACCAATTTATCTTGTATCCTGTGAAAGATATCAAAAACTAATCAACTGACAAAATGTTTTTGATAACATAATTAACATTCTGTCAGTTGACCATTTTTTGATATCTGTTACAGGAACTGAGATATATGGGCTCAAAGTTGCCAGTTCGGGTGGCCTTCTATTTGAGTGTTTACAGCTATGCTTTTTGAATTATTGTTACATTAAGTTTTCAATTTAGTTCTTTTCACAACTAGAAAAGTAATTTCAGATTAATTAATTAATTTTTCAATTAACTTTCCAGATCTGATCAATTCAAGTGAAACTTCGGACTTTGCCTGGATCGGAATGAAAACCAAAACCTCCACTCAAACTTCCACTCCATTCACCAATTTCGATTCCGAGTCCCCTATCGATGGATGTGCTGTAGTGGATTCCAAAGGTGTCTGGTCCATTAGATCATGCATTCAACTCCGTCCATTTGTGTGTCAAATCATTAAAACTGATGTGAATATCTGATTTCTGAGTGTGTGTTTTGAACTGTAATATAAACTATGAATAATTGTTTTTCGTTTTCCAATAAAAATTTGTTGATATAAACTGATTCATCTGAAATTAAAGGAGAGCAAAAGTCAAAAAAAATTGTTGATTTCTGGCTCGTTTATAAACTAACTGAAATCAAATTTTTTTCAAATCGAGGAGACTCAAAAAATGCGAACGAATCTAACTTTTTTCTTTTTGCTTCTGACTTCATTCTTGATAGTAGTGGTGAGCTTTTAGAAAAGGACCTTGACTAAAAATGTTTAACTTAATGTATTTTCCTAATATTATTGGCGGCGGGACACCTTTATACACAGGGTAACGGCTGCGCATGGTATATGCGTTGGCGCGGCGCCTCATATGGACGACATAGGCACACCGTTTGCGCGCACGCGCCATCGCCATTAGCAGATAGAATGCGCACGCTATATGCGTGCATATTACGTGCATATCCGTGTCATTTATGTTCCATATCCTAGGCATTTGTTTTTGTTTGCTTTTAGAAACTTTGATAGAAAACAATTAGCTTTTATTTTTTTAATCTTAAAAACAACATAAAAACGATAGAAGGGATGAACAAGAAACTGAACCAAAGTATTAGTAGTTCATCGGGAAAAAGCAACAGAGATCATCGGGGAAAAGCAACAGAGATGTGGCTGAAAACATTTGAAGACACGTTGACGAGAGGAGATCAATAATTTCCAGAAGACGTCGATGCTAGGTCGTACTCATCATGTTCCGGATAGAATTCGATTCTGTAAGCTATTATTACGGTATATGTGATCACATGGAAAAACTCACGTATTTGGGACATTTCCGTGTTTTGCGAGCAAAGACTTTAGCTCAATTGCGAGCTGCTCGGCATTGGTCTCTGGATGAAGAACAACGAATTGTCTCCGGACCCGATCTCTAAAACGTGGAATATAAAAACAGTAACATTTCAAAAATTACATAAGATTGCCTACAGCGTCTCTGCACATTCGGATAGTGTAGATCTCAACTTCATCACTATGTTCTTGATTGAATCCGTTGATCAGGAAATCTGAAAGTTTCATTATGATTTGTGTGTGGTTTACTCATAACCTACTTGTAACTTTTGTGAAAAAAGTGGATCCCAATGAACAATACGCATGGCTATTTTCAGAGGCACTATAGGCTGGGAAGAATGGGTCTTTCTTAGAAACCTAAATTAGAGGACTACACGACTCCGTAAATAAGAAACACTCACAACACTGAATACTCGTCGAATGATCGATTTCCCATGAGTTTTATACTCTGATGATGTAAAATTGCTAGCTTCGTAATTGCTGAGAACCTGAGACATGTAGAACTGGCATCCAGAAGGAAGTGAAATGAGCGATTCGTTTCTTTTGGCACTAGTTAAATTGAATCCGATATTTCTGATAATGAATGGTTTCAAACTTGAAGACCCTGCATTTTTATTTGAGTTGCTGCATCCAGAGTTGAACTGCAAAAAACTTGAAAACTGAACGTAGAAATGACAACCACTACCGCTTCAGTCATTACTGCGAGTCCGATGGATAAACTTTCCAGAAGAGGCGAATTTCCGTGAAATTCTGATGCTATTTCTAGAAATTCAGAAGAATCGAACGGCTTCTTGTGCTTTATTAATTTTTTCGTTGCTACCTAGAAAAATTAATGGTGTAAAATCGAACAGATGGAAACATACTTCGATATTAGCCTTGCACAGAGGTACACCTTGTATGGAATCATACATGTACATTCGACCAAAGGAAATCGGATTCCATTTCTTATTAGTTGACGCCTCATAACTCGGGGATCCCGGAAACTCGATAGCATCGGATTTTATAGAGCTGTTATGTCGTTCTCTTTCTCTCCTTGTTTTCTCGTTTTTCATATTTTTTATGTAAGATGGTTCAAATTGTGAATGTTTAAAAGATTCATCCATCGCCGCATCTTTTCCAATTTCCGTTTCAAAAACGATTCCATTCTTCTTTTCAGTTTTATGATATAGATGTGCCTGTGGAATCCTCGCAGTCGATAGCGGCTCATTTTTGATTTTCTTTTTTAGCTTCAAATTAGGAAGTGAATGAATGGCATGGCAAAAATAGTACTCACGGGCTCGTGAAAATCGTCATCTGATTCTGATAGAGACTCGGCATTACGATGAGATGACACCGTCTTCTTCGAAATCTCACTGACCTTCAAAATAGAAAGTAAATGAATGTTATGGCAATAATAGTATCTACCTCCACTCCAGTGTAGATTCGGTTCACAAGAAGTGATAATCCTATTAAAACAATCCGAGCCTCTGGTGATAATAGGTCAGAAACTATAGCAAGAGAACAGAGCATCAGACAAAAATACTAAAAATACAGACAATTGATAGTGAACAATATAATCAGTTTTACATTAAGCTTATCTGTTGCGTTCCGTCTTTTGCTTATATTCTGGTAACTTGAGGGGACGACAACTTTAGCGAGTTCTTCCAGTAATTCATCTTGATCATTGACATAGAATAAATCCGATTTAGACATAAATCCTCGCTTTGGAAACAATTCTAGAATAATATGACAACATAAAATATGATAAGTTTCTGCACCTTTATGAATTCTGTCAAAAATCCCTTCGGCGAAATTGTGGAGAACATCAACCGGAGTCTCATATGGGAGGAACAATTGTAAGAAGTGAGAAGCCACATCATTGAACCCATTAACACCTTCTAGACTATCTTTGAAAGTTTGTTCCCTGCCAAGCTTTTCGCGAAAATCCCCGCCGAGTTTGAAAAAAGTACCGTCAGACACACAGTAAGCGCAGGACTTTGACGACTGATGACTTCTTAATCCAAGGAAACTCCGTTTTGCCTGAAACACAAGATTTCCTAAATTAAACATAGCTATTTACAGGTCGATCAGCAGATAATGTAGCACAAAACAACTTAAAGTGCATATTTCTGACAGATCCTTTTACTTCGTAACAATCGGTTTTGATAAGAGGATATAACGAATTCCATAATGTCGTGGCCGGATTCACACTACACTCAACAATTCCTTCCAAAAGAACGTTTGTAGAGGCTTGCATGTCCGCTGTGGGCAAGTCCACTAGAACCAGACTTACTGGCCATATTTTCCTTAAATCATTATTTTCTAGAATAGTCTTTATTTCAAACCTTGTATTTCCAGATATGGAGACGCCATCAACGCTTAGAACTGCTGATAGAAAAAAAACTTCTGTCTGGTTCTGATTGCCATAAAGGACTATAAAATTGACTGGATAAATTATGTTGCTTCGCTTCATCCTTTTTCAGTTTCTTTCTCAAATTCAAAATTGCATTCCAATGATGTTCGAGAAGCTTCAGAAGTTGAGCATATATTCCCACACGGACAAATTTTGCTACTGGACCACAGCTAAAGTTTTTTCTTACGATAGAGCTTTTTGCAATAATCTACCACAATTCTTCCTTCTTACAAGCCTTGCCACAACAATTACAGTAGTAGTGAACACTTAATGAGCTTTTCTGACAATTCCATAACGATTTCACATTTCTCACAAAACAAGGATCATCGTAAGTTGTGAGCAAACGATCCAAATCCTTCTGTGAAAATCTGCCAATGCATGCTGTCAAAACTAGTTGCAACTCTTTATCGGAAGCATTCCGGACATTTGTTGCCAGTTCTAAAAGGTACAGTTGAAGGTGTGATTGTATAATTTTTAGAAAATTACTTGATAAGCACTCAACACTGTTTGTTGATTCGTCTATGTCTAACGAGTGGTTCTGGGATAAAGTTTCTTGCTGCTCCACATCTGAATCCCAGTTATCTTCTAATTCTTCCTGGCTGTCTCCCCGTGAGGTGTCTTCAGCGATATGGACAACCTCTGAACCTCCTCCTCACTTTTGTTTATAAGAAACTTTCAAAGCATACCTCTGTTTCTTCTTCTTTTCTTCTTCTCAGCATCGAAGTCATCCAAAAATGTGCGTCCCATCTTTTACACAATATAGACACTTCCAATAAACGAAAAATTTATATAATAAAAATAAAATTCCAATAAATAAAATAACAAACAGCAATCTTGATGGAGATTGAAAAGCTTTCACATCAGAATCCACGAACCTTCATAGGTGGTTCCCCACGACGACCTAACCCTCACCCGATTCCCCCTATATGTGTCCTAAATGGATGCATATTCCCGACTCTTTTCGTGCCCACTGCCGAAGCACATAGTGCGCACGCGCCACCCACGGAATTATTATGGGCGCACATAGCATCCTATATGCGCGCCTAGGCATATACCATGCGCAGCCGTTACCCTGTGTAGAAGCCCACCCGAATAGTCAACTTTGAGCTCTATTAGCTCCATTTTTTTACGGGAAACTACAGGAAAAATTGACCTGAAAATCCGTAGCAAAAATATTAGGTCGGCCTTTAATCTAAAATAAATTTCAAAAATTCAGATCGAGTCCCGAAAAGTGACTCAAAAAGCCAAGCCTGCTCCTCCCCCTCCACCTCCTCCTCCGAAAAAGGATAAATCATGGGTGAGATCGAAAATTGATTCGGCAAAGGAAAAATATGAAGCTGGAAAGCAAAAAATTAAAACGAAAGTCGAGCATGCGAAGGAAAAAGTCAAGTCAAAATTCTCAAAATCTGATGATACCAAAAACACATTTGTTCAAAAAACAACACCTCGGATAAACACGGATTTCAATTTGAAAACTACAAAACATTATGGATGGAATCCGAATGTTCACTATGGCGGAGACTCCATCTTGACAACGAAAAAACCACTATTCGATAGAATTAAAGAAAAGGTAAAAGGATCCGAAAAATATGTTGGGATGGCTGTTGGATGGGCCAAGAAAGACTTGGGAATCGGAGTTGAAGGACCGAAGAAGCCATCGAAAATTTTGAAATTCGGAAAAAAAGCTGTGGAGTTTGTATTCAAAAAGAAAGCCAAGAAGACGACGCAAGTTGGGTTCTCAACAGGAGGCTCCTCTGGTGGCGTTGGTTATTCTGGAGGATCCTACTCAGGCGGATCATATTCTCAAGGATACAGCAACCCAGAATCTTCGGATCTTCACCAAAAAGTGGAATATTTGAGAAGTCGTTTGGAAGTGATGCAAAATAAGATTCAAGGAACATGGAATACCAGTGAAGCCGGAACCAAATATAAGTTATTCGAGGAGAGAAAGAACTGGAATGATGCACAGGTAACTTTTTAGGCAGACTTTGTAATCTGGAATCTGGAATCCGGAGAATCTGAATTTCTGAATTTCTGAATTTCTGAGTTTCTGAATTTCTGAATTTCTGAATTTCTGAATTTCTAATTTTCTGAATTTCTGAACTTCTGATTTTCTGAATTTCGGAATTTCTGAATTTCTAAATTTCTGGAATCTGGAATCTGGAATCTGGAATCTGGACATCTGGACATCTTTGATTTTCATCCATTCTCCTTTGAATTATTCAGCTCCACTGTGAGGAACTCGGAAGTAACCTTGCTTATTTGGACAGCGAATCAAAGAACAACTACGCAAAAATTCTTCTAAAAAAATCTCAAAATACCACAATGGTCTGGTTCGGGCTGAGAACAGAAATTGGATTAGAATCGGCTTCTCAACCTCAGTTTTCAAACTTTGCTCATCTCGACGGATGTGGAGCAGTGGATGGAAATGGAACCTGGACGATTTCTGCATGCACAATCGAACTACCGTATCTTTGTCAGGCTTTTCGTTTTGATGTTCTTGTGGAGATACCGTAATCTGTTCATGACAAGCAATTAACTTTATTTTTCTAAAACCCGTAATACAAAAAATTTAATAAATCAGATCGTAATCATCAAAATGAAACCAGCTAGTGCTAAATATGGTCTCAAATATTCTCCAAACACTGGAATCCATAGAAGATACTCTGTTATGTACCAGTATAACTTGAATTGTAGTCGTCCCCAAGACGGAAGGGTTTTTGTCATCTGAACTTCAACAGTCCCATTTTCCATTCGAGACTTGGCGGATGTTATCTGAAAATTTCCTCTGTAAACGGTCACTAATAGAGAAAATGCACCTTTTGATTATTACAAGTTCCATCAGGATTGACAAAATGGAATCCGTATCTGCCAAGTTGCATTAGTTTCGTTCCTCCGTTGGTCTCACAATCCAGTTGGAGAAGATACGGTGGATTTGATTGATCACTGAACATCCATTCCCACGAATAGGTCACACTGCAAAAAAAAGTACATACCGTATACTGATCAATGAGATCAATTTTTGATCAAATATTGTTACTCTGGTTTGATTTAATGTTCCTTGCGGCCGAAAACTCGAGGGTGGGCGTAGCTTACTATTAGGAAACGGTAACAGAATTCTTAAAGGCGCATTTAAATGAGCATGTATTTCTTGTAAAAAAATCAAAAAAAAACTGACTTGTATGGAATATAAGCACACTTCGGTTTGTCCCAAGTGTTACACTGATGAATCATAATGCCTACATCAGGTGTATACCAATGTGCCAACTTCGCCGATAGTCTCTCAAAAAAGAACTGGGTATCATTGTTGGCTCGAATAAACCAGTTTGCTCCATTGACCCATTCCTTCCTCAAAGAATTGTCTCCATCTCCCAATTGGTCAAAAATCGCGTCGTAGGACATATCGTCTTCAAAGTTTAGATCAAAAATACTCTTTCGCCAGAACGTATCCTGTTGCATCATCCAGAATGATATTCTTCTGCAGAAAAAGGCCTGATAAAAACGAGTATATCTTTAGACATAGGTATCTTGAAAGCAAGAAAATTGGTAGAAATAAAATTTCAAATTTGATTTAAAGCTTCAAAAATTTTTCAAATTGAAAAGTGTTTCAAAGCAATTCCTCAAGTCTAGGTATTGTTATAATTGTCCAAAGATGAACCGTCGTGATTTTCATGAGATGAAACAACTTTGACAAATGATAATTCAGCTCAAAACTGATAAAAAACATTTGAAATTTGGCCAGTTTACTGAGGAATTGTTGGAATTTTTGTACTGAAAATTTGAACCTAGTGCAACGATTTACTCAAGTTTTATGCTAGTACAAACTTTAGTGCGGGTAATTATGCGCCAGAGGCACGCCAGATTGACCTACTTTTTGATGAGTGCCAGTGCCAGATTGGATCTCAATAGATAGATAGTTTGATATGCACCTTCTGCGAATGAGAATGGCTTCTGAAAGTTTGCAACTATTATTCTGGTACGAAAAAAAATCGAGGAATGTCCGACAACGACAACTACCGTAACCTAAAGATATGATTTTTCTGGATTTCTTTTCTCGTTTTTTATTGCTTTTCGCCTGTTATTCTTTTCCGGAAAAAAGTAGGTACATATAAATTTTTGATAGCGAAAACTAGATCGAAAACGAAGAAAAATCGAGGTGAAAAATCCGGAAAATAAATTGATTTTTTCTTCGATTTTTTTGTGAAATTTTTAGTCCTTTCTTGGTTTTTCAGCTATTTGTAAAACCTCTTTTTCAATTTTTCCGGTGTTTTGGTCGGAAGTTTGACGAGATGGTGTTTTGACCACTGAGGATTACTGTAGATTACTGTAGAAAACCTTGTAGTTTGTAGTTTTTGCAAGAGAAATTTATCTGCATTTGACACGATTGTGTTTGCCAAAAAAAAATAAAAAAGAAATTCGTTTTCTACAGTAGTCTTCAGTAATCTAAACAACGTTCCGTCAAATTTCAGACAATAAAAACTGAAAAAAACTGAAAAACAATCTTTGAAAAAACTTAAAAACCTTAAAAAGTCTAAAAATTTTGCAGAAAATCAAATTTGCAGAAAATTTTGCAGAAAATCAATCAATTTTTTTTTTTGAAAAATCGCAAAATTTTTAGTTTACTGTAGTTGTCGTTGTGGGACCTTCGGCCACTTACATAAAGCGACGGAGTAGGCCAATGGAAAATCTGAATCTCTGGCCAACGCCTTCTGATTGTATCCCTCGCCACTTCATCCAATGTCACAAACACGAATCTCTCATGAGCACCTTGCAACGTGGCAGTGTTGCATAGAAAATTATCAGTCATGTTAAGAGCAAACTGATTTAGAAGAAAAAATGCAGGAGGTCTTGGATACTTTTCTTCTAAAATGTCCAGAAGCTTCTCGAATTCTGGAGACGATTCAATGAAACTCAACGAGACAGAATCACTATTCGCTTTGACGTATTGGACAGCAGAAAGGGCATTTTGGGACTTCCGGAGTGCTAGAATCCCAACGAGAAACCAGAAAGAATAGAATAGAATTAGAGAGAGTCTGTTAAAAAATATCATATCCAGAATGTTGGAGAGGACATTCCGATTCTTCATGATTCCGTATGATTCTCTGATCGTTCCCCTTCGGAATTTATACACTTTTGAAGATGTGTCACAAAGATCAGTGGGAGGGAAATGCAAAAGAAAGAACACATCGGTTTGCACTTCTGCAAAACCCCTACCCGATCCGGTGTAGCTGCGCGCGAAACCTTGAACCGTTGATACATAGGGAAATGTACTTTCTATTAGATGGGAGGGGAGAGGAAGGAGGGGGTACTGTAGGTGGTGGTCATTATTATTATTACTTCATTTTGAGACAAACACAAGAAAAGAAAATTGAAAAGGAAAAGGGAAGAATGAGAGGGAGATCCAAAAAAAATCAAGATTTCAATTGTGTGGCTCAAAAGAAAATCATATGGTATTTAGGGATGATCTGTCAGGATAGTATTATGAGACAATAAATGTTTGGTTTGGTACCATGATACAACGAAAAAATGGGGAATGAATCAGAATTAGGCGTCGAAGTGCGGTTTCTTTTTCACTACTCGACCAGTTCTTGTCACTGTTGGTTCATCGTCTTCTTCTTGTTCCTCCTCTTCCTCTCCTCCTTCTTCTTGTACTTCTTGCTCCTCCATATGCTGGTCCACCTCCCCAACAGTTTCTTCGACGACTCCTTCTTCAACAACCTCTTCGCCCACAACATCATCAATGGTATGCTCAATAACTTCTTCGACCATCGGATATTCGTCGTCCTCGACCGCGACAATCGCTCTCTGTAGTTCCATATCACCTTCTTCGTCTTCGTGATGAATATATCCAACCTCTTCTTCAGCGACAACATCGTGGAGATTCAGATGCTCGCTATACTCTTCCTCATCGATTCCAACAACGTCTATCTCATCGATAGGACCTCCTTGTCTGCCTCTTTCGATATTCTTCGCTTCCTCCTCCATCATTTTCATGTACGAAGAAACTCGATTCGGAATTGTTTGTTCACGTCTTGGATTCAATAGCTGATCCTCAATCTTATTCAAGAAGGTGTACACCTTTTTCAACTTCATCAACGTTGCTTCAGATGGAACGAGTTGACGATAATGAAGATTCTTCATGATTTCTTGGGAGCTGGACAGCCGGTGGATGAATGAATCGAAGAGAGCCCTGAATTTAAAAAAATAAATTCAAATTTTAAATATATTTTCTCACTTTTTATCCTGCTCCACTCTCGTTCTCTCGTTCAATTTGGCCATGATTTCCTCGCGATTGCTATCGAACAAGTCCAAATAGCGAAGTTCCTGAAGAGACAGAGCGCATCGATCGATTTTCCCTTGCGATCGGATATCAGGCCACGGTCTATTCGGATCTTCTTCGCCAGTCGACGTGATAGTCATGTTTGGGTCGAATAATGGAGCTTCTCCACGGGACAAACGAGCTGAAAATAAGGAAATTGGGATTTTATTCTGATGGAAATGTTACTTTTCTCAGATCGGTTGTTTCCAGCCAACACTTGACGGATATCTTGAGTCTTCATGTCTTGAATACGACGATCGTTGGCCGAGTTTCTCTCACAATATTTGAAGCGCTCATCTGAATTCCAGTTTATTTAAAATTAAATTTCAAAGATAAACAAAATACCTTTCACAATCATCAAAATTACTACATGCGGCAAATTCTTGCGAGCCAACTCGATGACTCGCATTCTCACTGCCTCCGGAAGTCGCAACTTCTCATCGTCGTGTAAATGATGATCACAGAATCGAACTTCGATAATTCTGAAAACTAATAAAATCCAACATATTCACAATTTTGATAACCTACCCATTGTCTAAATAGGCCTTGTTGTAGAATGCAGTGCAAGAGTTTTCAGTACGAATGACTTGTTTGGCACTTTGCGCGCGAAGCTCTTGCTGATGAAGACGTCCACGCTTGCGATTCGAAGGAAGATCTTCGGTAGTCGGATTATCGACAGGACGAAACGTTTGATTACGGGAGAGGGTTTGGAGGCGATTACAGCGGAAGTATTGGACGACTCCTTTCTGTAATAAAACTAAGTAATTTGAAATATTGAACGAATCATTTATCAATAAACCTTGCTTTTCTTGTTTCCTCTTGCCATTCTAAAATTGCCTCCCTTTCCTTCAAGCTCAATGCGGAATTGTTTGAAATCCTCTTCATTTGTGAAAGTCATTGTTTTGATTTGAGTTGGCGCTTGATGTATTTGTTCCATATGCTGACACAGCTTCTCCAGAGTTCCTATACGAGCATCACACTGGGTGCACGGGAACCTTTGTGGTGTGTAGAGATTGCATGCGCCTTTTTCACGAATCATTCGTGCATGATGATAGAAAACACTCCGTCTAAGCGTCATTCCACAACCCTGACAAGTTCTATCGCCTTGCACATTTTTTGGCGCCGCGTAGACTGGAAACTCTCGAAATTCATCTCCAGGATAATTAAAATCAGCCGAAGATTCACGGGGTACTGTAGCACCATGTCCATAGACTACTGCAAACGCTTGCTCGTCGATTGTGGGTCGCTTCTCTTGTTTCGACTCTTCCATGTATAGCTTGCCATCCAGAACATCATACAAATTCATTTTCCTATAAATAAGAACGTTTAAAAAGTCACGAAATGGGACATTTCTCTTACTTATCCTGCTTCCAATGTGCTGGATAATCGGTTTCCTCTGTGACTACGACCTCTTCTTCCATATGATGATGGTGATGTGAATCGTCAGCTTCCTCCTCGTATGTGTATTCATATTGATACCCCTCTTCGTCCGCTTCAACAAATGTCTGAAAAAAAAAAAAAAAATATATATATATATATATTCAACGGAATATTCATTAAAACTCACTCTTTCGATTCCATCTCCAGACATAACAACTTCTGTGGCCGCTGTGGGAATCATGTTTGCGTCTAGAAGATCCCCGGATTCCGGATATGCGTCTGGAAATTGAATTTTTTATATATATATATATATATATATATATATATATATATATATATATATATACACTTACCTAGTTCTTCCATTTCTTGCAGCGACATTTTGGTCTGAAAATATTTGTTATAAATTTGAGATAAAAAGGAAGAATTGTAAGACAGATTCGGATATCAACCTTGAACCCAGAATAAAGATAACTTGTTCGAAATATGATATTTAACATTTTTCAGAGAAAAATGTTAAGATAGTGTAAAGACTAAATTCAAATTGGTGCGAATTTGTGAAAGAAAATTGAGGAAGAATGGCAACGGAGCGCAGATAAAAGTGACTCGAGGGGGTAGGGGCGAAGAAAGAGTGTGAGAAAGTGAGAGAGTGCAGAGAAAACGAAACGCGGCCTCCAGAGGACGATGTGTGTCGTGCGACTGCGCTGCGTCGAAAAGTGATCGATAGAGCATGATTGGTCAACTGTGGAGACGCAGAGGTCTGCGCGAGAGAGAAGAGACAGCAGAGAATGTCCCACCCGTGAGAGAATGATTCAGAATATTTTTCAAAATTCAGAATTTCATAATCTGATTTTTCTAATTCCATAAAAATTGGCGGCATTAATGAACTAGAACTTTGAAACCTTGGTTGCAACAAGAAAAAGAATTTCAGATATATTTTTTGCTAGTTATGCCATTTTTTGTAGAAAAATCGCTTTATTCTTAAAATACCGATGTTGAAAAGCATCCGAAACAAAAAAAAACCACAAAATTAAATTTCGTTGCGAGACCTTCTACGGTAGTCTAAGGAGTCACATCACAAACTTTGTTTTAGGTTTCACCACGAAAACCGTACCTTTCTTCTAAATTTTTTGCTTTCACAAAAATCCGGTCGGATATTCGTCTAAAAGCTTGATAATTCATTAATTTTTTCAGATGGTGTTTCGCAAATACCGCGCCGTCAAACAATGGGGTAAAATGGACACACGAATCTTCAAAGAGATCTATAATTCGCGGAACAAAAGGAAGATGCCGGCGTTCGAGGTTCCAGAAGCAGTAAAAGCTCTCGGTGTTCCGATATTCGAACCAAATGAGGTTTTCACATTCAGCAATCGTAAGAATCTTGTCGAACAGGCGAGAGAGGAAGCGGATTTTGAAGTTCGAGTGAGTTTTTCAAGTAAAAAGGAAAACATCTAAATTTTCATCGTTTCAGTTCTTAGAACAGCTACATCCACTGCAGAAAAATCATCCAGCGTACATTTTTGAAGGAGCCGAGCCGATGAGCGATGGAATTTCGCAAGCAGCTCTTTTGACTCGAAGCGTTGTTCGAAATGGACTGCCAGAGACCATTCTTCATAATTCTGCAGCCAAATTGGAAATCGACGAGGAAATGGTCCGCGACTCTATTCTTCATGGAGAACGATATAATCCTACATTGGAAAAACTGCCAGAACGATTTGATCCTGTAATGTTCTGGATTCGTCATCATCGTCTACATGGTACTCCGGTGATAAAAAGAAAGTGAGCGAATTGATACTTATTGTAAAATGCGAAATTCCAAATTTTCAGCAATATCATTCTCAACAATCTTCTAAGGCACGTCATCCTCGGTGGTCTTCGTACACAAGCACTGGAGCACAGCTTCCAGTAAGTTCCACATTCAAATCTTCACCTATGTAAGTTGCGATTTCAGAGTAAACCGTGATTCTCCACTATCTGTATACCTCTCCGGTGGTCAATACTTCTCCAAAACGCCGCTTGTTTTACGAGCTCAACCACATCTGACAGTACAGTCGCTAAATTCCACGGTTACTATGCCATGGGCGGGTCCGATTGATGTTCAATCGGCTAGGTAAGGATGAATCTCAGAAAATAAGGATACATGCTCATAATTGTTTTATTTTAGCGCAGAGCCATTGCCCGATATTTATCCAATCTCACCGGTTATCGACTTTGAAACCGATACAATTTACAATGACGATCTTTTGCTAACCAGAAGTGAACAGCAAACACATGTTCATTCGGTTCTCTGGTCTCGCGAACAGGACCAAAAATATCCATGGACAAGGTAATTTTTTTTAATTGAATATAAAATTCAAATTTGGGGTTTTTAGTGAACAAAACATGGCTAATGCGATTCTAACGACATACGCTGCCGCTGTTGCCGAAGCTACGAGAAATGGAGCAACAGAGATGAAGAAACCAATTGTGAGTTAACATTATATTGTCTATTCAAAATAATCGCACGAGTGAACGAGTAAAAATGTCTGCGTCTCTACAGCGCCTCTACAGGTTTGAGGGCTCTCTACATGTTTTTTTACTCGTTCACTCGTGCGATTGATTTGAATAGACAATAATACAGTTATTACCGTAAAACCTGTAATAGAAGGGCCGGCCCTTCTATTGTTCCGAGGTACCTCTGGAGGGCCCTTCTATTAGAGAGGCCCTTCAATTACAGGGGCCCTCCCTTTTTCGGTCTTCTTTCCGAAAATTTTCATTTCAAAAATCAGGCGAATTTTCTTTTAAATTGCATGAAAATGCAAGAAAATCCACCACTTTCACCGAAATTAAGAACTTTTTTATGCGAAAAATTTTAAAAAAGGGCCCTTCTATTAAAGGGGCTTTTCTAATACAGGTTTTACAGTATCAAATTCTAAATTTTCAGCTAGTCCGTGGAGTGCAGCTCGTCAACGGACGTCTCGATCTGGTCGCCATGCAGTTGAACACTCTGAAACCCACGGAAAACGGAGATAATGCGGAGAAGAATATTGTGTGGATTGAGAAAGGTCTCCGTCTCTACAAACCAAAACCATATTATGATCAAATGGAGGTCGTCGAGAAGCTGGACATGAACGTCTTCCACAAGTTCGTGGCGTTGATGGTCGGGTTTGGCGCTCCACATGCTCACTAATAAATCTATTTTTTCATATTAGAAATTTTCTAGGTAGTTTCTATTGATGTCGATTTGTTTTGTTTGCTATTTTATTGTTTTTTCCTGTTTTTTCAAGAAAGTACTTTAAACATATTTTATGCTTTTTTCTGGTTGTTATCCTGGGTTTGAATTCCCAATTATTTTTATTTTCTCTTGCAAGGCCTTGCTAGTCTCTCAAAAACACTCCAGGTTCCAGCTACTTTCTATTGCCTAAATGTGCGACGTCAGCACAGAAGAGCAATTGCTAGAATACGCCAAGAAAGGTTAGTATTCTTAAATTTGACAAAAACCTTTTTTTTTTAATAATTTCAGCCGCTGAGACAGGAGTTCCATTGAAATTCGAATACAAAAAGCATATCGGTTTCTTGATTCGACATCTCAACGTTTTCCCCGAACCCTACAATACACTAGAAACTAGTCGGTGAGTCATTGATAATTAGGGATTTTCTAAACGAAATTTCTAAAATTCCGGAAAAAATTGGAATATTCCCGATTAATTTCGGAATTAGAGCTTTTTGGACTACCGTATGTCAAAGGCGCGCGCCAAAAGGTTGCATGTAGGTGTTGAGCGGAATCGCTGTGAAAGTTGAAAAAAATCGCTGTGAAAGTAGAAAAAAATTTGGAAAATCGAAATCTTCCGATATTTTGAAACACGAAACTATCCGAAAATTTCTGGAAAGACCGTTTCGAACATCCCTGGAATAAAAAAGTTGAATTTGAAAAGAACTTTTTTGTTTTTCAGAAACACCATCTTCCTATTCGCAATCTCTGCGTTGGACTTGCTCGGCGAGCTAGACAATCTTTTGACTCCAGAACGTCGTCAAGGGTACATTGATTGGATTTACGACCTCCAGCTTACAAACGGTATCGCCGATTTTGATTAGTTCTTTTTTGTATTTTTTGAACGCATCGAAATCTTTGTTTATTCTTCTTCTTTCTTGAATTTTCAATTTTCTCTCATTATGACCTCTTTTCCTTCCACTTCATCGTCCCCTATTCCTTGTCCCGCCCTTTTCCTTGAACCTAGACCCCGTGATTTTGGTCAACGTTTTTTTGGACAACGTGGATTTGGAGGCCTATTAGAAGACTTTCATCGTCCGAAATCAGATGGCACCACCAGATGGATTCCACAATATAATCTACAGAATTTTTGGAGGTAATTCGAAAGGGAATTTTTTTTCCTATTTTCCAAATTCCAGACGACGAATACCACCGCTACCTTCTGGTCTTATTGAACCGCTCATCCCGCCGAGAATGAAAAATGCGGATGACTTTCATCGTCTACCTGGTCATTTTCCGTACCAAACCAACGAATTTGAACTGTACAATCGAAATTTGTTGGCTACTCGATATTTTGCTTACGATAATTCAAATGATGAAGCCGGAATTCTGAAAGTGTGGACTGTGAATGAGAGATCAAAACGGAGATTACTCGAGACTTTCTCTGTTGAGGTAATCGGAGTTTTTGAATGCAAAAAAAGTTACAAAATGATTTCAGATTTCCTCGGATGGTATTCCGATTCATGATTCACTTCAATCTGTTTCCGAGCTCAAGTTGAAGATGTTACCACCAGTGAAAAACGAACAACGACCTCCCAAGACAAAAGAACAATTGCTCGAGTTGAGAACGTCCATATGGAGCCCTCGTTCTTTCACTCGATTGTTTCTTCGAAGTCCAACACTCCTGCAAATGATTCAACTGGCTGAAGAAGACGATTCAGAAGAAGAAGAAAGTTCTACTGAAATTCTAGGAAAACATATTCCCATATTTCACAGTGCCGTCAAAAGTTTCTCTGAATCTCATTTACTGGAAGGAACACTGGCGGTTGTAGACTATGGAGGACGTGTATGGATTCATGATTACACTTCTGAAAGTCAACCTGTGAAACTTGCGGCAAACGACCAAGAAATTTATCAATTCGCCACTTTTTGTGATCATCCGAAAATGATTGCAGTAGCTGGAAGTTACCATTTTGAAACTGTGGATATGAGAGTCTCTAACACATCTAGAGCATGCAAAGAACTCTGGAGAAGTCCGCTTTTTGAAACTCGCAGACGCGATGAAGCCCTTTATGTTCAAAGTGTGCCTCCGGTGTCTTCTGCGATTCGACATGTGGCAAGAGTTTCTGAAACTGCGAACAACTATTTAGTGATGACCGATAGAGCGTTGCATTTGATTGATGATCGATTCCCAGGAAGAACCCTTTTGAGTGTTGAACATCCATTTTCAACGGGAGCTCATAAAATGATAGTGTCGGAAAAGATGAAGGATTCGATTGATGGTGGAAATGTGAGTTTTTTTTAAATCGAAAACTTCAGTTTTATATCAACTTTTTTCAGGTTTACTCAATCTTCTGCCTTGATCAGCTTCAAGTCCTCAATTCTTCGATTTCAATGACCAAACTTTACTCCCATCCATCGGGAGTATGGTCATCAGTCGACGCGTTTCATGCAGTAGGAGAACCAGAAAACTTCAATCAAGTCGTTCGACGTGGGAAATATGCGGGGCCGGAAGTCCTCTCGGAACCAACGCGTGCAATGGCTTTGGTAGAACATCGAAACTGGAAGTCATCCTTGTTACTGCGACAAACAGACGATGGAGCGATTTGGTGGCAGAAGTTTTCGAATGAAGTTTCATCGGAACAGCAGATTGTTGAAGAAGAGAGAAAGAGTTTAGGAAGGATCATAGAGAAGAGGAACGCGGATCCTGATTCATGGAAAAGAGAAGAATTTAGACCTGTCTATTCGGATGGAATGGGTGAAACAGCGAAGGAGACTCCAGCGGATCTTAGGTACCTTTGCAAATCCCTTGAAACCTCTCTTAAATCGGGTTATTTCAGGCATGTAATCCACGTGGGTTCTCCATCTATCGACCGTCGTGTCATATCGAAATTCTATCACCGAGCTGCAAATTTACAACGGCAAGCCGCCCGTTTTAATATCACTCAACATTCAAACCATATAGGTGTTCTTCCACTTGATGATGTGAACAGTGTCCTGTCTAAAATTACATTAGACACGTGGCAAGCATTCGAAACTTTGACCAATGAGAATAGTTCCCAATTAGATAAGATAGATTAGATACTATTTTTTTCCCAATCATGCACCGTTAATCATGTTCTCGATACTTCTTAATTGTTATATGTTCTTGTTGCACCTTCTGTTGTTGTTGTTGTTTTCATTGTATATCTCGTTTTCTTGTTTCAAATACTCGAGATTTTCCGATGCGTTCAAATTAGTCATTAATTCTGTTGGGTATTAATTTCCCAAAGGTTTTCTTCTCAAAAAAGAAGCAAATAAAAAATAACAGCTCATCTTACTTTTCCAGGAAATGTCTGTGGATTCCGAGGATCTCATTCGTGTGAAGGCAGTGAGTATGACGAAGCAAATCTGGCTCAAACCTACAGTGCACTCTTATCATTGGCTATCTTGGGAGACGATTTGAAGCGAGTTGATCGGAAGGCAATACTGAAAACTGTCAAGGAGTCTCAAAGGGATAATGGATGGTTAGTATAGGAAGGATTTACAAAATGAAATTTTAAAAGAAGCAAATTTTGCAGCTTCTGGAGCCAAGGAGTTGGTTCAGAATCGGATATGAGATTCGTGTTCTGTGCAGTGGCGATATGTAAGATTCTGGATGGAGAGAAAGAGGATATCATCGATTGGGAACGATTATCATTGTTTCTAAAGAAAAGTCTCAACATTGACGGAGGTATCGGACAGGCGCCCGGAGATGAAAGTCATGGTGGATCCACGTTCTGTGCTGTTGCTTCGCTAGCTCTTGCTAATCGCCTGTGGACAGAAGAAGTGCTTAGTCGTCGAGACATTGATCGTCTCATCCGATGGGCTATTCAGAAGCAAAACGTTGGATTTCACGGAAGAGCTCATAAGCCAGATGACAGTTGTTATGCGTTTTGGATTGGTGCCACTTTGAAAGTAAGTTTATGATACACTCACAGTTGTAGTAATTTTTAATTGTTTTCAGATTCTCAATGCTTATCACTTGATCTCCAAACCTCATCTTCGTGAGTTCCTCATGATCTCCCAGCACATGCACATTGGTGGATTCTGCAAGTATCCGGAACCTGGTGGTTATTCAGGTAATTTTTAAACATGATTTTTCTTTATTACGAATCCTGAATTTCCAGATATTCTGCACACCTACTTCTCCATTGCTGCTCTCTCCTTGCTCGGAGAGCCAGCTCTCAACCCTGTCCACCCGTCGTTAAATGTATCAATGAGAGCTGCAGATCATATCGCCAGAATCCGCTTCAAATGAAATATAATTGTACATTTATGGCTCACTATATATTTTATCTTTTTCCTATGCATCCGCCAAACAAAGACTTGTATTTTCTCTGTTTTGTATTTCAATATCAAGTTTCCTTTTTTCATAAATTATTAATTTCAATTTTTTAAAGTTTAAAAACTTGTTCACTGGCAATCTGAATATTTTTCCCTTACATTCAAACAAAGCTCAAATTCTACGAGTATCCAGATTCTCGGCGCTTCTCCAATCACCAAATGTACCATGTTCCGTTGGTACCGCGTGATGCCGGACGCGAGGAGACAATGTTTAGAATTGATCAATCGCTCACAAAGTTGATGCAGGTTTCTGATGACGTCTTCAACAAAGTTGAGCAGAGGATCGTGAGGATTCAGCAGAAAGCTGAAAGAATCAATCAGAGAACGGAGACATTGGAGAGAAAGTTGCAGAAGTTACAGGAGGTATTTACTGAATTGCATCATCATTCTTCTGTAACTAATATGCTTCAATTTCAGTCTGACAACATCATCACTTTCTTATTGCCTCGCCAACTTCCAGACATTCCGAAATCAGAACGAACACCATCAATATCTCTTTTTCGAGTCAATGTTGATTCCGGACAAATGGCAAAGTCGGAAGATCTTCCAGCATTTCAAAGGGCAGATGATCATATTCTTCGCCCTTGTGAGCCCATTGATTTCACTTATGAACTCAAAAAAACTGACAAATTCTACCTGACAAGTCAAGTTATGCGAGAATACGAGCATAAAAAATGGGAAAAATTCAAGAAGAAGTTGATAGGAGGTCTCCGAGAGCTTCCTCTCTGTCGAGACGACTTCAACATCGCCGAGTTGTTCTACGCGGGTACTTCTATTCCTGCCTATGAAGGTGTTGGTGGAGACTTCCTGCAGAGACATCTAGATTCTGACGATGGGACATCGACAAGAAGAAGTGGACGGAACGAAGAGGCTATCCAGTCGAGACTCCATGAGCAGCTTTTGGAGGATACTGCCTTGAGTAGGCTGAGTTGAACGATGATGTGGATGACAATCATCCACTGGCGTTCCGAATGGAGCAAAGTGATACGAAACCATTGGTAGAGATGCCCAATAGTTTGCCAAATCTCAAAGGTTAGTTTTGTTGATTCAAAATTAGTTTCAAAAAACTGAATAATCCGAAATTTTGAAAATCGGAATTTTCGGCTCCGAGACAAATTATTATACTAAAAAATCTATTTCAATTTTGAAAGGTCGTATTTTAACTGAAAAATTGATTCTAAAACCAAGATTTTTGTCTGAAATATTGATTGATTTAAAGCCCAAAAGTGCCTATTATTAGTTAAATTTTTTGATTTTCGGTTTTTTTTCATTTTTTATCACTAAAAATTGGAAAATTTCGAGGAAAATTAGCAAATTTTCGAAGAAAAAAGTGATTTTTCTTCGTCTTTTTGCGAAATTTTTAGACCTTTTAAAGTTTTTCAGCTATTTTTGAAAATCCTTTTTCGATCTTTCTGAGTTTTTTTTTGAAATTGATGAAATGGAGCTCTCGAAGATTACTGTAGGTTACTGTAGATGCTAATTTACTTTTGTAGGTTTTTTAGCTGAAAAAACACAATCCACGTAAAAATGTAGACAAAAAAGAAAAGCAAAAAAAGCTACAAAAGACATACAAATTAGCTTCTACAGTTATCTACAGCAATCTTCACGAACATCCATCAAAATTCTGACAGCAAAAACCGGATAGAACGAAAAAACAACTTCAAAAATGGCTGAAAAATCTAAAAAGGTCTAAAAATTTTGCGAAAATTTGAAGGAAAAATCAATTTTGTCTCTCGAAAATTCGCAGAAAAAGTTGCTAATTTTTCTCGAATTTTCAACGTTTGAAAATCGGAATATTCCGGAAATTCCGAAAATTCCAAACATCTTTGATTCATAATAATATTCAGGTCATGCTCAGGATTTCACACTTCGAGACCTAGGAATCGATGAGGATCTTCTTCCTGACCTCACCGAAGATATCGTCGTGGAAATCAGTGAAACCCCAGAACCGACCACTGCATTTGTTCCAGTGGTAGTCGCTGAAACAATAGAACAACCCGTTCCTCCACCCGTTGCTGTCGTTATGGTGCCTGCAGCGATAACGATTCCTTCCATCGGATCCCCTCCACCTCCACCGCCGCCGCCACCTCCACCGCCTCCACCGCCTCCTCCTCCTTCAGCGATTCCTCAAACTCCTACCCAATCCACTGCATCATCGGTAACCTTCAGCCCAACAAAGTCAGTCGATGGTGGCCGTTCAGACTTGATGGCAGCGATTCGAGCAGCTGGTGGAGCAAGTAACGCAAAGTTGAGCAAAATGACTGATAGGCAAACTCCGAAACGGAAAGGAAGATTCGATGGGATTCTAGAGTCCTCTGCTCTAGGATCAGAGGCATCTCTAGCACGGAATGCTCCTTCTTCTGCAGGAGGTGGAGATTTGATGAGTGCTTTATCGAAAGCTTTGGATGCCAGACGAAAAGCTATCAGCGGAAGGAATGATCGAGCATCAACGTCGTCTGTGAATCCCACGTCATCTGTTCCTGCCCCACCGGATTTCAATGACGATGATTGGAATTGAGAATTCAAATGAATTTGTAATTATTAGTAACGCTCTTCTAGGAATCTATTATCGTTTCTCTGTGATATAGTCTTCATACGTTGTGATTCTTTTTCCAATTAAACTTGCCCGATGGATTTTTTCCTTATCAGTTGTGAATACGGATTGTGATTTTGGTTTTAAATTTCGTGTTGCTTTGTTTCATAAAATATTTAATTTTATTAACTGCTAGCTCAATTTATTATGTTGTCTCAAGTGTTCTTATCGTTGTTATGCTTATTTAAATATTTCCGGCCATGAATCCAAAATAATATTTGTTATTGAGATCTGTCTCGGCGGATGACCTCTACGCAAGTGGTCTCAGATTCATTGACTGAAACTCCTAAGAGCAGCAGAAATCCACCACTTCCTTCTGAAGAAATCCATCTGCCTGGACCTCATCCGGCCCGTGGAATCTACGGATTTGCTTTATATATTGTCTCCTGGAGTCTGCTTGTCGTCTACTTGATTTGGGCGATCACTCCAGTCCCGATTTTGAATCGATTGGGTTGGTTTGATCTACGGCTCTTGGACGTTTCAGAACCCGATGGTTCAGAACAGAGTTGCACGGACAGCCCACTCGGACACACTCGGGCAGTTGTCCCTTGTTCGAATTTCGGACATTTCCCGTTGTCCAAAAGTGTCCGAGTGGCCTGTCCGTGCATCTCTGGTTCATAGCTGTTCTGCATTTTTGCATAGTGGTTTTTGCACACCAAATGAGTATTGCTCATTTCAATTTGCTGTCAGAAAAGTTCTGAAACGTCGGGTTCTGAACTGTCGAGTTCTGAAACTTCAAGGAGCCTGATCTGCTAATATTTTAAGAATCTCTTCTTTCAGGAATCACCTACATTCCATCCAAACTTTGGGCTCTTGCTATTGGAGCATTCTTCCCGTCAGCCGCCTGTCTCTACGTCACAATCATCTTTCTGATCAACTGCTGGAACTTTAGAGGATACGCGATTTTTGAAAATATAGAAGACGTTAAACACGATTTTGGTCAACGTTCCAAATCGAATTCCATCGATAGCATCAACGAGAAGCCACCAAATTCCACTCCCAGAAAGGCGGAAAGATGTTAAAGTCATTCAACCCAAACTATTTACGAGTGCTAACTAGAACCTACAGTACTACCCGACAGGAAATTCAGAAAACATTGAATGATGTGAAAAAGTTCAAAATCAATCGATCTGCACAAGTTGGAGAGATTCACAAAAGATGGGCGGAGCTTGAAAGAGAGCAAATGAACTCGATCGCAGAGAACAAGGAAGCGGGTCGATATTCAACGGAATCAATGCTGGGTGAGAAGATGTTGAGTCAGGAGCCAATGTATCAGAAGATTCTCGAAAAGAGATCTCCCAAAATTGAGAAATCCATCGAGTCAGAAAAATCTGTCACATTTCCACTTCAATCAATAAGAATGGATCAGTCTTCAACATCTTCTGATTCCTATGGCTTTAACCAATCAGCCAAGCAATCAACAAGTTCCGATGAAGACCGTGGATTCTACGTAGAAGCCGACGTCTTCGTAGATGAGTATGTTGCTGGAAGCTCATTGGACCTGGATCCGGGAGATCGGATGGTGGCGACCAGAGAGTATTACGGTAGTGATGACGCGGTGGAACGGATCTCTTTTCAAAATCCAGGACAAAGAATGGCAGGTGTTGAAGAGAATGAACAGAAAGGATTCTCAGACAATCTAGATGAGCATGAACCATCCACATTGACAGGAACTATCATTGAAGATATGCCAGCTAGCGCCAAAAAGTGCTCAGGATGTGGTGCCAATTTTCACTGTAAAGATAGCTCACTCCCTGGATTCGTTCCATTGGAAATCTTGGAGAAAATTGATAGAAAGTCTAGTTATCATCAGAAAACGGAGGCGCAATCACTCTGTAAACGATGTCATTTACTCCAAGAACACAATTTTCTACTGAATGTAAACGTATGTGATGTGGACTATGGTCGAATGATGAGCGAATTGAAAAAACAACCGGAATCTCTTGTGGTCCTTGTCGTCGATGTCACTGACTTGCCTGGAAGTATTTATCCAAAACTTGCGCAAATCGTGGGAGCCAGAAGACCTATGATTGTTGTTGGTTAGAATTTTTTGAATGCCTGTAATAAACCTGTAATAGAAGGGTCCCGAAATTTCAACTTTAAAGCAATTTTTCTCGGCTCGTGTCAAAGATACCAAAAAGTTGTCAACTGATAAATTGTTCATCAAAATATCGCAAACATTGTATCAGTTGACACATTTTCGATATCTCTTAAAGGAGCCGAGATAATTAAGCTCAAAATTGAAAGGTTTTACGGTACATGAATTTGAGAAACAAGTAATTTTTTTTTTAAATATTTTTTTTCAGGTAATAAAGTGGACCTTCTGCCTCCAGATGCCAAAACTGGATACATGTGGCGATTCAAAAAGACTGTCGAACGAGCTGTGGAGAAAGCTGGTCTTCTGGAACAGTCCGTTGTTTTTCTGAACAGAGATCTCAAAATTCGAAAGATCTCAAAATTCGAAAAAAATTAAAGAACTCCTCAAAAAAAAAAACCTCAAAAAATTAAAGAACTTTGAAAATTCCAAAAATGTAAAAGTTTTCAAAGAATCCCAAAAATTAGGAATTTTCAAAACATCAAAAATCCAAAAGGTTTGAGAATCTCGAAAATCTCTAAAATTCGAATTTCTCATAAATCACAAAAACTTGAAATTTCGAAAATCTCAAGAATTCGAAATTTCTAAAAAATCTCCAAAACCTGAAATGGTCAGAAATCGGAAAAATTTCTAATTTTCATAATAAAAAAAACGAAAATTTCGAAAATTCGACAAATAATACGGAATTTATGAAGCCTCAAGAATTCAACATTTCTAAAATTCTCCAAAATATGAAATTGTCAGAAATCGAAAAATTTCAAAAATTCGATATTTTCAAAACTTACAAAAATCCAAAAAACTGCATTAATTTCAGCTTCAACATTCTCCACACCGCACTTGTCAGTGCGAAAACTGGTTATGGAATCGAGGAACTAATCACTGAAATTTATCTAAAATATACAAATGTGAAGTTGGGAATGAGAGGAGATATCTTTCTGGTTGGTTGTACAAACGCTGGAAAATCGTGAGTCATAATTTTTTCAACATGAACGATTTTGATTGTTCCAGAACAATGTTCAATGCTCTTCTACAATCAGACTTATGTAAAGTGAGAGCTGTGGATCTTGTGGACCGGGCTACAACAAGTATTTGGCCAGGAACAACGGTAAATCAACTGTTTTATCGAATGTAGAGAAAATACATCTTTGTAGATCTCTCTCCTCAAGTTTCCTGTAATGAAGCCAGGACCATATCGTCTTGAGATGCGACGTCGTCGTCTTCTGACACATCGAGCTTGGACCAAAAAAGAGATGTATGCCAGGAAACTTCTTCTTGCTGAAACCGGAGACGATCGATATGCGATTCCTACGTCTGTAATCCAAAACACCTATAAGGATTCAGAAGAAGAGTTACAACCGATGGCTTTGAGAGAATTGCAAGGAGAAGAAGACGATCCGGAAGCTGACAGAAAAAGCGAGGAGAACAGAAAATATTCGTTAGATGATCCGATTTTTGCAAAAGGAAAATGGTGTTATGACACTCCTGGAACAGTCAACGAGAATCAGGTTCTATCACTTTTTACACTTGACGAACTGGTCAATGTCACTCCTCGAAGGGTTCTGAAACCCCGTACATGTCTCGTAAAAGCTGGAGAATCCCTACTGATCGGTGGAGTTGGTCGAATCGATATCGAATCAATAGCAGGATATTCAAACGTTCTTCTAACAACATTTACAAATGACCAACTACCTCTCAATGTGATGCCAACTCATGAAGTTGAAGAGTTTTATCGTAAATGGCTTGGTACTGCTGCTCTAGTGGTTCCTCAAGGAGATGTAACAAGAATGGCTTCGTGGCCAGGGCTGGAGAGTGGTAGAAGATTTGATATGAAAGGGCGGAGAGATGAGGGATGTTGTGATATCGTTCTATCCTCTATTGGATGGGTTATGGTAACTTCTGAAAAAGACGTTGCGTTGAATGCATTTGCACCTGCTAACAAGGGAATCACCGCTCGTGTGCAACCGATTCTACCGTATTCCGCATCGCTACGAGGCAAACGACTTCCTGGAAGTCAATTCTATAAAGTTCAGCCGATTGAATTCCCGGTGAATGTGAGAAGAAAGCGGGCAGAAGCTAGAAAACGTGCGGAGAAGAAGAAAGAAAGAGACGAGTTGCATAATTTATAGTTGTTGTTTTTTTTTAATATTTACTGTTACTTATTACTTCGGTTAGATTTTTTTGTTGGTTTCTCAAACAATAAACTTGCTGATTCTGATATTTTTTCTTTTAATCCAAGTTTGTCTGGTTCTAATGACCCATTTATTGATACTTTTGAAGATTTGCAGTTATTCTGAAGATTTCCAATTTTTGAGATTTTTGACAATTCTGAATTTTCGAAATTTTTAGATTTCAGAGAGTTTTGAAATTTTGGGATTTTTGAAAGTCTCTAAATTTTGAGATTTTTCAAAATTCCAAGTTTTTAAAAAGATTTTTGAATTTTTAAAGCTTTCGAAAATTTTGAATTTTCTGACTTTTGGAAATTTTGAATTTTTGGGATTTTTGAATTTTCGAGATGCTAGAAGATTTTGACTTTTTGGCAAAAATTTTGTCATTTTGAACCGAATTTTGAGCTCTCAATACAATTTTCTATATTTTTTTGTGCTTTTTGGATTGTTTGTCTGTTTGATCAAAAAATATTTTTAAAAAAACGGAAAACATTTTTTGATCGAAAAAAATCACATAAGGGTACCCCTTAGGTGTTTTTTGAAATTTTCAAATCTTGTGGAATGACAGGCCCGCCGGGCCGGGCCTCCGAAATTCGGGAAAAAGCCCGGCCCGGCCCGTTACAAGTATGCTTTTTGGGATTTTCGAGATTTTTGAAAATTCCCAATTTTTCGGATTTTCGGAAGTTCCTAATTTTTCGGATTTTTTCAAAGTTTCAAAATTTTCGAGATTTTGGAAAATTCCTAATTTTCGTGATTTCTGGAAATTTCGAGTTTTCGCGCTTCTGAATTTTCGGGATTTTTACAATTAGGATTTTTGAATAAAAAACGATTCCTTTAGTTTTCCAGATGAACGCTGATATACAATGATCAAAGCTACTGATTCAAAACAACAGCAGAGGGTCCATGTGGCAGCCGCCGTGGGACTTCTGTCTATAATTTTCTATGCGGTTGGATTTAGATTCGTTGTCATCTTCTCAGTGGTTGGGTCGCTTCTCGGTGGAATTCTTTTCGCGAAATGGATTTTCGAGTGTTCCAATGGAGAATTACTTTATCAGTGGAAGGTTTGAACATTCTACGAATTACCAAATAATTTCAAACAATTTAGGACTTCTTCAATGTCAAATCTTCTACACCAGAATACGAAATTGAAGATGACGATGATGCCAAAGTAGACACAGCAAAAACACGTAGAATGCCTTGGCAGGGTCTAACTCTACCATCATCGCTAAACGAGTCTATAGAGAACTTGTTGAACGAAATCGTAGAACAGTATGTGAATGGATGGTACGGCGGGGCGATTAGCAGGGATCGAGCATTTATAAACGAAATCAAGTGAGTTGGTGTCAGGCTTGATGTCGAAATTGTCCATTATTTTCAGATACCAACTCCGTTACGCTTCTGCAAATCTCGTTCGTTGTATTCGTCGTGTCGACTTGTCCAAATTTGTAGCAGACGAGGCTCTTCCCATTGCAACATTTCATGCCACTCGACTAACAGAATTAGAACAAAAACTTCGTCTTTCAAACACGCCACCTAGATCTCTTCTAGAATCCCAAATAGCTGAGCAGCTAGACGATATCCACGTGGCACTGAGCGGAAGAGAAGAGGAAACTGCTTATGTTCGACAAATTTCTGATTTTCTAATTCCACGTCTTCTGGATGAGACTAGGCTGGCTGGAAGAGCTCATGACGATGACAGTCCTCTACGTTTGTTCGGAAGAGGAAAGAACGAACGACCGTGGCCATCGAAATCAGTGAGAGGATTTCTGAGGGAAATGTTGACGAATGCAGTGCTACTTCCAGTTTTTGATTTGTTAACTCAACCAGATACAATCAACAATTGGTTAATTTTGTTATTCGACGAGGATCGAAAAATCGAAATGATGCAAGAAGCTATAGATGTAAATTAGAATATTTTATTTATTATTTACAACATGATATTTTCAGCTGACTCCAATCCCAATACTGAAAGGACTGTGTGATGACTCAACGTCTTCATCCGATAATCTGCCAGATTCTCTCCTTCAGCTGAAACTCACCGAGATACTCCGTGATGCTCGTCTATACTCAATATTCCGAATGTATCTTCAAGATATCCGAGGACCAGTTCACGAGCTACAGTTTCTAGTAGAAGCCACACGAATATTAGATAGTATTCAAAGAAAGGTGAGAACCAAAAGTCGGCAAATAATTTGGAGAGTACCGAAATTTAGAGGTCATTAAAGTAGAAAACAATTTAGGGGTTCCAAAAATCTCGATTCGATAGTACAAATTCCTGAAAAATCCAAATTCTGTAGCCAGAATTATGGATTTTGTACCCCTAAATCACTTTGTACCACGTTGTACCCCCCGAATTGTTGTACCCTCCGAATTATGTGCCTCAAAAGTTTATCGAAATTTAATGAAACCTTCTATTTCAGTCAGAAACCGGAAGCCAAATTGCGTATGATATATGGCAGCTGTACGGGCAATTTGTACATGAAAGTGCTCAAGAGAGAATTCGACTAGATGAAAAACTTGTGGATCAGTACAAACTAGCTGTGGAAAGCAAAGATTTGATGGTTCTAGAAAGCATTATTGAATTGGTAAGACTTTAATACAATTGTTCTATTTTTTACAGAATATTTTACAGTCCTATCAAGAAGTCTATAACCGAACTCAGTTGACACACGTCGTCTCGTTTTGCCAATCTGAATGCTTCCTTGGATACCTATGCGGTTCCCCTCCAATTACTATCAACGAGCTGATTGACCAACAGGACAGACAACGAGTCGCAGCTCCTGTCGAACGAACATTTTCACTTTCACAACTCAGAGCTCGTGTCAGAAGAGCATTGACTACTGGAGGAGAAGAGGAAGGGGGAGGAGGAGGTGTTGAGACTCCAGAATCGCAAGGAGGTGGATCTTCCGCTTCTTCTTACGTGAATGTGGATGTTCCTGCGATCGATGTGATCAATGCTGAGGGGAATATTGAAGAGGAAGAGAAGGCGGTTCCGATGCCAACTACCCCTGGACTTGTAATGGATTCTGAACCTATTGACCTGAACTGCTGGAAAGTAAATGTTTCACAAGTATCTGGTTTGAGAGAGCGGCACACGGATCGACAAGTTTACGTTTTCATAATAGAAGTAGAGCGTCCAGATGCGAAGCCTCACGAAACGCAACGATGGTCGATCCATCGTACCTTCTCCGAATTCTATGTTCTCGAGGCTAAACTCAATGAGTTCCATGGAAACACTCTTCGATTTTCTCCACTTCCAACTCGGAAAACCTTTGCAACTAGAGATAAGCCATTTATGGAACAACATCGTCTTATCTTCTCAACATTCATCTCCACTCTCTGTAAACAGAAAGTCTTGAATCGATCCGAACTGCTCCTGGCGTTCCTCTCATCAAATGAAGAGTTTCGAGACACCCTCTCACTGGGAGATTTGAATCCATGGAAAGTGGTGAAAAAGACGTTACCAGTAAAATTGGTAGGAAGAGAAAAAGGTCAAAATTTGAAGCCATTCCTTCTAAAAACTCTTGCTCAAACGTTGGCTCCTCCGGATCGTGTACAACCAAAGTCGGATAAAGACATTGATGACGTCACACCAACGAATTCCGGAGCATCTTTGGCAACCAACGCAGTCTACTCTTCGATTTATGGAAACAATTTTGACAGTGTGTTCAGAGAATCTCACAAAAATTTAGATGATCCTCAATTATGGACAAAGTAATATTTATTAGTTTTTAAAAAATGTATACTCAAAACGAATTTCGACTTTTCAGTTCCGCATATGATTCAATTTTACTATTATTCTGGAAACCACTGAAATGTCGGTTCGAATGGACGGCTCCGATTTTCAGTGCGATTCGATCCCTCTGCCGTAAAACAATTGACTCTGTTATTCGTTCAGTTTTTACGACAGTCTTCCAAAAATCGTTATCAGTTGCCAATTTGAGCTACCTTGTACATCATATTCAGTGGTCCCTGTTCTGTAATGACGCTCCATGGCCAACTGAACAAGAAATGAAGATGCGAGAAGAATTGGCAATGCGAAGAACACTGGAGTACTTCCAAAACAATGTAAGCCTTATAATTAACAGTACTTCTCTAAATTTTATTCTTTTCCAGATTCCAATTCATGCTCAACGCCTAATCGGTCGTGACGACATCAAAAATCTTCTCGCTCGCATAATCGATGCTCTGCAGTATCCCCGTCTCAACAAACAACTTTTATACGTTCTCGTTGATAGTATCTTGGTACAAATCTTCCCAGAACTAGACGAGTCTAGCCAACATCCGCTACAATAGCCTTTCAATGTATTTTCCCCCAATCTTATGTGCCATTAGAACATTCCCTCCCCTCGCGCCTCGCTTTGAAATCTAATCAGTTACGATGAATTAGTATGGACCACTTTTTTAAATGTAAATATCTTTTATTGCATCCTTATAAAGAGATTTCATGTTGAATAAGTTAAGTTCAAGTTAAGTTCACTTTGCATCTTTCTCGCACAAATCTCTCATAGGGGGACTCTTCAAAGGATGCTTCTCATCAATTGGCTCCTCGGACATGTTGTATTGGAAGTCTTTTGAAATGGAGAACATAATCGACGCCATTTGACAGATAAGAGGATCAGGTATTGATAAGAAGTGGTACTGGAAAATCGTATTTTGATACACTGTGTTTTTCAGAAGACATTCTCCGGGTAATTTTCGAAAAACAAATTTCGGGGGTAATAGTCTGATTTTTATCTGGTGTGTTTTCTGGGTCATTTAACATGATGGCATAGAAAACTCAACTAGCAAAAGTTAGGCCACCATATTAAAATAGTCCAGAGAACTATCAACTACGACCATCAACTATGTGGCCTAGAAAATCATAATAACCTTGATGAAGTCTAGAACTGTAGCAATAGAATGAAGAAAATGGAGGCGTTGAGTCATGACTTGAGACTTTTGCTGACGCATTTGACGAAACAGCGAATCAAACTGGAAACAAGGCTACCATAAGACCTGTATTAGAAGGGCCCCCGCACTGCCAAGTTTGAGCTCCATTATCTCGATTCCTGTAAGAGATATCAAAAATAAGTCAACTTATAAATGTTCATTATATTATGACAAACAATTTATCAGTTGACTACTTTTTCATATCTCTGACGGGAAATGACATAAATTGGCTCAAAGTTGAAAGTTAGGGAGGCCCTTCTGTTACATTTTCAAAAGTTTTCCTCCAAACCTACATTAGCTTCAACTCCACTATCCAACATACTGCACACTGCATCCACGTAGATCACTTCAGCCGATTGATTGACTCCTGTCTCACACTGAACCACAACTGGCGAATTGGATTTCTTCTTTCTCAATTTCTTAACAATTTCCAAAACCACTTTCGTACTTGCTGGTACTGTATTTTTAACCCAATGCGGATAATGATAAAGACGAATTGTGCGCTTTTCCTCTTTTTCTGATTGTGCAACAAAATCGAATTTGTATTCGGTGAATCTGTATTTCATTTTCGGTGGAATCACAGAATTACAGTAGACGAAGAATTGTCCAAAGTTTCGAAATGTGGATGGTTTGTTTGGATAATAAATTGGGAAGCTTGCAGTTTTGGAATTGGTTAGGGATACTATGAATTCCACTTTTTGATCTGCTATCATCGCCCAAAAATCATTCAAAGTCCCAGGCAAAGGATGTTGAGTGGCAATGTAGGTTCTGGTGAGTCTATCGAATTTGATGTGGTTGGCGTGGATGTAGTACTCAATATTCGGATCCATGAGCTTCACACGTGTCTTATCAATACAGAAGACGTCAGGATTCCGATTCTTGAAAGTGTTCCGAGTGAAGGCGTCGTGCGTTTCAATGGACTGAGCCATGTTGAGCAGATGGGTCAAGTAGTAGGTGTTGAGAGATGGCCCAGTTTCAATGAATCCAATATGTTCAATAAACTTATGACTCATCCGATCAGCAGTCAATTCATCTTCCTCTGTCTCTGTGATGGTCTTCTTTCCCTTCTTATCCTTCGGTTTGTTTTCTTCTGGACGTGGCACAGGTGACTTCAGATGTTTCAACACCTCGTTCACTTTTTCCTCCTGAATCTTTTTGGCAACTGGTGAGAATGCAGCTGGACTCCTGGCAACTGGACTCGGAGCCACCACCACTGCATTCTTCTTCTTTTTGGATGCTTTTCTCAATGGAGTCCTAGCTAGTGGTTCCTTGGGTTCCGGTTGAGCTTTGCGTGTTCTGAAAATTTAAAGAATAGAGACTAGAAAACTGAAAGCTAGAACCTGGCCATCACCAAGTTCTTCTTTGTTTCTGCCTCATCAAAACCGTCCTCGGGGATTCTGAAATTTCAATTTCAAACAAGACAACTTGAAATTTCCGACTCACTTGTTGTTGTTGTTTTTGTCCGTAATTTGTTTTCGATTACTGCTTGACGTTTTCAGAGAAATAGAATTTAGAACAGTGGATTAGGAGCCGCCTAGACTCTGATTGGGACGCGTGGAGCTTCGTGTTGGAAGAAAAAAAAATCTAGTTTTGATTTCGTGACCCACAAATAATATACAAAAACATGTTTTTCAATTGATTTTTGGCCATTTTGACCAGTTTCTGGAGTCTAAGGCTCTGCTGTCAAGTTTCTCATCGCTTTGAAAATTTTGGAGAGTGTAAAACAAACTTAGATTGAAAACTTTTCATTCACAGAATTTTTTGAGAATTCCTAGTTTTCAGCTATTTGCTGATTTCGGAAGGACGTCTGTTTTTTCCCCATTTTCAGTACAAAACCGGGCCTAAAATGTTTGTCTTTCAGAAATCGGCAAGTAGCTGAAAAATAGGAATTAATAAAAGGTTTGTGGATGCAAAGTTTCCAATCTAGGTCTGTTTTACACCCTACAAAGATCGTACTGTATATGTGTTTGGTATTTTTATTTGGTTGCGAAAAAATTGAAATAACCTAAATAATTTCACAAAAAAAAACAATTAAGTCCACGATGCAGCCAACTGATCAAAATATGCATTTGTCTCCTTTGTCTTATCAATTCTCAGTCCTCCATCCGTTGAGCTCACTTTCGTTTTTCTTCTTCTCCGAACCTTCATTTTCACCTTCTTACAACAGCCGCTAGATAATGTGAACTTTCTCCAGGCATCCACTGATCCAATTAATGTAGGACAGATGATAACGGGATTCCTGAAAACGCAATTTTCTGAAGTTGTTTAGAAAAAAACAATTCCTAAGACTCACAAATTGATAGCACACTCGAAAATCAAATTCAATAAGGGATCTAATCTGGGAAGGAGTTCAAGATACAGTATCAGATTAACAAAACACGCAGTGAAAATAAGGCATAGAGCTGATATGATAACTCTGGTTATCATTTGAAAGCATCGAACGTTTTCTCTGGCTTGAAATCTAGCTGGAAGGCAGTAAATGGAGGGATTCGAAAAGTCTTCAATTGCTTTTGTCACTTGTTGATTTACGTTTTTCACATAGGAAAAGATCTGAAAAATTATGGATTTCACGTGTCTTGCTAATTCGAGAGAAACATCGAATTACCTTATTCTCTCTAATAGAAGCCCACCCAACTCTGAGCTAAATTATCTCGATTCTTGGGAAAGATATCAAAATTTTGACAACTGAGAAATTGTTAATCATAATATCAGGAGTGTATTATCAGCTGACACATTTTTTATATCTTTCATAGGAATCGAGATAATTAAGCTTCAATTTGACAGTGTGTGGGCTCCTGTGCTTCTATTAGAGAAAATACGATAGTCTAAAAAAGTGAAATTTACCCCCATTGCAATTACATTAGATGATAAAATGTATGCCAATCCGACAGCAAAATGAGAAATATTAAAGAAAAATGCAAATGCAGTTCCAATATTGAGACTGAATTGACTGAATACCAAAACAAAAAACAGTCCATTTCTCGATTTTTTCTCATAATCATTCAAAAAATAACAAGCGAAACATCTTTCGATTGCTACAAACAAAAGTGTTGTGATAAGTGATAAAATATAGTGCCACTTGATTAATCCGCCGAGAAAAAAGTAAGGTGATTCAACCATATTTGAGACTCGTGTCATTTTGGATTGATCATCTGTCCACCATTGTTTGATTGGTTCTGTGTATTCTGGAAGTCTTAATCTTGATTTACCGTGTAACCTGTATTTGAAGGGCCCCTTTAATAGAAGGACCTCTCTAATAGAAGGGACCTCCGAGAGAGGCTTGGAAAAATAGAAGGACCCTGTAATAGAAGGGCCACCGTATTAGAAAGGTCCTCTGTGAAGGAGGGGCACCTTCAAAATGTGTTTTAAATTTTGAAACATTCCGTATGTTTTCAATGAAAATGTTCAGGAAATTCCAAAGTTTAATAGAAATTTGTTGAAACATTACTTTTTGAAGAAAAACTTGCCCAATTTTGATAAAAAATGATAGATTTTTATGAATTTTGAACATACGGTATCTTTTTCATGGAAAACTGTTTTCAACTTCCGTTTTAAGCATACTTGCAACGGGCCGAGCCGGGCTTTTTTCATAATTTTTAGGGCCCCTGCCGTCCCGTCTAGGCCCGGGTTTTCAAAAAAAAATTGGGGTCAATAGAAAAAATGGACGATTTTTCTGTCAAGTAAAAAAAATGTCAAAATAAGAGTGTCTATAAAAAATTACTTTTTCACAAAAAAATTGAAAAAATTTCGGAAATTTCAGATTTTTTTTAATTTGGAGAACCCGGGCCCTGTTTTTGCAAGTATGGTTTCAAACAATTTCAATCAATCTTTGATTTTATAATGTTCCTGAAGTCTCATAGTTTCAAAGAATCCCATGGAAAACAAATCAGAATCATAGAATCAGAAATATGACCGAACAGTGACGTTTCGAGCCAAAAAAGTAAATCCAATTTGTCATAGAATTTCTGTCTGATCCCAAGTTCCACTTTTTGAGATCAATGTACTCACCCAACAAAGGCCAATAACCAACTTCATAGGGCTTAATCATAATGTTGGATGCCAAACCTTCAAACCATTGTAAACTATAAATGATCAATAAAGCAGTTAAATTCCGATGAAAAGTTCGAATTCTTGCAGCAACATACACACATTTGAGTACAAAATAAAAAGAAATTATAGTGAGAATTAGCTCGAAAAATATTAAAATTGCATAGGGAAATTGAATGGCTCTTTTGTCTCCAATCATGAAAACAGGATAGCAAATCGAATAATTGAAAGTGTTATTTCCAATCAGGAATATCATATAAAAGACTATACGGGGCCTGAAAACTTGATTTTGAATAGCCGAGTTTAGTGAAAATAAAGAAAGAAAATAAAAATCAGCTCTGGCCGGTTTCTTAGAATTGTTTTTTTTTAATTCTGAGAATATCATAAACCCGAAAAATCCAAAAAAATACACTTCAGAAAACATTTTTTTTTCTAAAAAATCCTCTCTTGCAATTTCAATTAAAAGTTTTTTTAGATATTCCTAAAATGTTTTGAAATTTTTGAGCTTTTTTTCGGAAAATTTGAATTCAATGAAGTTTTTGAACTTTCTAAAGTATCACATTTTTTTGAATTTTTTGGTTTTCTGGAATTTTAGATATCTACCGTTAAACCTGTAATAGAAGTGCCCACTAAAATTTAACTTTGAGTCAATTTATCTTGGTTCCTGTTAAAGACATAGAAAAGTTGTTAACTGATAAATTGTTAATCATAATATCGCAAGCAATTTATCAGTTGACAAGTTTTCGGTATCTCCGACAGGAATTGAGATGAACAGGTTCAAAGTCAAAAGTTAGAAGGCCATTCTGTTACAGGTTTTACGGTACCAGTTTTTTCGAGATGATCAGGTTTTTTTTTGGAATTTTGGATATCGAGATTGAAGTTTCCATTAACCTATAATTTTCCATCAAATACCAAAACTTGTTATTATCAAAAAATGGCGGAAAGTTTGAGAGAGAGAGAAAGGCTAGGAAAGAATGCCTTTTTCTAGCTATTTGCAGCTGCTTCAATTCGTTTTTTTTTTTTGGATATATTTTTCTCTAACCATTCTCTCAGTTGCTGTGCCTTCACTGATCAAATGGGCACTTGTTTCTCTTATTCTGACTTCTCATAATATAATTTCATGAAATTCAAAGATCAATTCAGTGTTATTGTTATTCTGGAATTGTCTGAAAAATTAATTCGAGCACTTTAAAAACCGAAAAACTTCATTTTCGAAATAACGAAAAAACGAGAACGAAAGAGTAGTAGTATGAGGATGACAAACAAAGCTCTAAATAAATACATTCAGATCTATTGATACTTTTTTGGAACCCAGACTTCACAGTGCTGCTTTGGAGCACTGTTCGATCCCAATGGACAGTTGAAAGCAGTTTGGAAAGCTGGGAAATTCTGAAAAAGTGTTTTTAAATTTAGATCAATTGGGTAATAGACATGCCTGAATAGTTCCGAAAACTCTGTACATGGACGGGGAATGTGGATCAACCATGATTTGAGTGTACAAATTCTCATCAGTACGACGGATTTCGCACCAGACTTGAGCGAAACTCATGAAGAAGAGTTGATCGTGGGTGAATTGTCCGAAGAGACGATCCGGAAGACGTGGGTCTGGTCCGTCGAGGGCTTGATGAGTTTTGTAGGCGTTGAAGGCGGCGTGGATTCCTGAAAATGGGAAAACTTCCGCTTTGAAAATCAAAACAACAAACAACTCTTAGACCAACGATACCACCTGGAGCCTGATTCAAAATTTTGCAGGAAAAGAATGCATGTGATAAAGTGGTTTAGAATATAGGATCTTACCTCCGTTATCAGCAATATTCTCTCCTTGAGTCTGAGTTCCCTTGACACAGTTCGGACTGTATTGAGTGGCATTCAATGGACAGAAACCGCTGTACTCATCAATAACACATTGCGCCATGCCCAAGAATCCAGTCTTCGATCCATCATCCATCCATCCGGCAAGATTTCCAGTTGGTCCCCACTGAACTCCTTGATCGTCGAAACCGTGAGTCAACTCGTGTCCAGCAACCAATCCCATTCCTCCGTAATTGATACTTGGTGGCCATTTTGGATGGAAGTATGGTGGAACAAGAATACCAGCTGGGAAGGTGATCGAGTTCAACTCTGGCTGATACCAAGCGTTGACCGTTCCAGGTTGTCCGAGGAAATCAGTTCTATCGGTTTGAGCGGCGTTGAGTTGGTTGTATTGAATTTCGATGTTGAATCTGACGAGCTTGGTGAGAATATCGTAGTAGTTGTCAGTGTCAGCAATCTGGAGATCGGCGTAGTAAGTGCTGAGAAGAGTATCATTCTTGATCCAGTCGGGGAAGGCAATGTTTTGTTCTGAAATAATTTTAATTCAACTTCGAGCTCTATGAATTTTTTGTCTTACGGATGTTCACAGTCTTATCGTAAGCCTTCTTCTTAGTGTCTGGAGACATCCAATCCAACTGGTCAATCATTCCTTGGAACGAACTGATCACGTTCTTGATTATTCCTCCAGCAGAAGCACGGATGTTGTCAACGTCTTTTTGTGTCGGGTACATATAATCGACGAAAACACGTCCATTGGCGAACTGCATCAAGTTATTGGCAACACTGGCGCACGATGGTCCGTTAGATTCAAGAGCAGCAGTACTTGGTGGAATATGATTTGGAATAGTCTTTCTTCTCGAGAGTCCAAGGAAAATGGATTCTTCAGTCATTCCCTGGAACGCCGTTGCGTAGTTTGGAACGTATTGGGCGTTTCCGAGAATGAGACGGACGTAGAGCAAGTTAACAAGCAGGGCTGGATCCTGAGCGGCATAGTCGGCGGAGAAATGGGTGAGTCTGTCGACTTCCATCACAGATACTTGATAATTGGCAGCAGTGACCTTATCCTTAACAGTGGATGGAGCATGTCCAAGATAGATCATCCAGTCCAAGAAAGAATATGTTTTTCCCAAGTCTCCGACATTGACAAGATTCCAGGAACGGTTGAATTGTCTTCGAGTGTCATCATTGGTACTGTACTTGATGGCAATTGTCTGTTCATAGTCCAACACTTTGGAAAGTGTGTCATTGAAAGTATTTGGTACAACAATGTTCTGCTCCTTAGCGTATCTTTGAAGCACATCATATGCCAAGGCGAAATATTTCGGCTTCTCGATCTTCCATGCATTTGGCTGGTAATAAGTCTTTGACAAATAGGCGGTGTTCTGATCAATGAACATTCTGTATCCCTTGCTGTTATCAATCCAGTTAGTATCCACAAGTGGACTAATCAATGTGTCGATTCCTTGATCAAACGATAGGTATCCAAGTCCATCACCCAATTGTTTAGCATTTGGAAGAGCAGCAGCTCCTCCAGCAACAAGTGTGAATGGAGTTCCAAGGAATCCTTGAAGAGCGGTTACTCGTTGTTGAATGTAGTTGGCGGCAATAAGCATCTGATCTTCAGTCTGCTTAGTGGCGGTGGCGACTAAGCAGGCATTGTACAGTTGCTTTTCCTTGGTGAGGGCTGGGCATCCAGTGATGTTTGCTTGGTATGTTGGATCCTCTAGTTTCTGAGCCATGTAGACGAGATTTTGGGCACGGGCGGTGGTGAAAGACACTGGCTGGTTGAATGCTCCACAAGCGTATCCGTAGAAGTCGTCGCATGGATCGATCTTGGTGTTGACCGACTTCTGGTAGTAGTTAACAGCCATTTGGTAGGCATTCATCTTGTCAACATCGGTAGCAGTGATTGGAGCTTCTGGAGCCACGTGCAGGTCTGTTTGAACATTTGGAAGTCCGTAGGCTGAAACAATTAATTACATAATACATACAACCAACCTTAAACTTACTGGTGTCAATATCAGAGACCCAAACGTTACAATGGTTGTCTGGAGCATATGTAGAAGCTGGACAATTGAACGCGGTCTTGAAGGCTGGGAAGTTTTGGATAGTTCCGAGAACACGGTAGATGGATGGGGAGTGTACATCAACAAGAATTTGACGGAGGAAATGGGCATCGTCGGCTGGAAGTTGGCACCAGACTTGAGCGAAACTCAAGAAGAAAAGTTGATCTGGATTGAAGTATTGGAAGGTGTCGTCTGGAAGAACTGGATCTGGTCCATAGAGATCGACGTAGTTCTTGTAGGCACGGAAAGCTGAGTGGATTCCTCCGTTATCAGCAATGTTTTCTCCTTGTGTTTGAGCTCCATCGATGCAGGCAGCTGCTCCGTACGTATTCTTGTCGAGTGGGCAGAATCCGCTGTACTCGTTGACGACGCATTGTGCCATGTTTGTGAAGGAGACCTTGGATTGATCGTCCATCCATCTGAATTCTAGTGATTAGTTCAAAATTTCTGATTTTTTTTTAATTACCCGCTGAGAGTTCCGACTCCATTCCATTGAACTCCTTGGTCATCGAATCCGTGAGTCAACTCGTGACCAGCAATCACTCCCATAGCTCCGAAATTAACAGACGCTGGCCAGTTGAAATCGTAGAATGGCTTCTTCAGAATACCAGCTGGGAATGTGATTGAGTTCAATTCTGGCTGATACCAAGCGTTAGTAATTCCTGGTGGTCCGTTGAACCCTGTACGGTCAGCGGCTCCCTGGACAAGTTGATCCCACATCGAGTAAAGGTTGAAGCTTTGAGCGTTGAAGTACATGGTGATGTAATCGTTGGTTTGGTTGAAGTTCATTTGCTGAAAAGTCGTTGTTATGATGGAAAGTTGAATGAAAAGCTTACAGTGTGGTATTGAGTGAGTTGGGCATCATCGGTGATCCAGTCTGGGTAAGCAATGTTCTTAACGAGATTCTCGATCTTGTTATAGGCTCCCTTCTTGGTGGAGCTGGTCATCCAGTTGAGTTGATCAATCATTGAACGGAATCCAATGACGATGCTGCTGGCAACTTTGGCGACGTGCTCACGGACATTCTTTCGGTCATCAGCAGTTGGATAGATCTTGTCGACGAAGATACGAGCATTGGCATACTGCATCTGGTCGATAGTCTCAGCAGCACAACTGTATTGGGCATCACTGATATCATCGATTTGCTTGATTTCGTATTTTCTCTCGTGTGGAAGAACGTGTCTTGGACGTCCAACTGGTTGCTTGGCGATCTTGGTGAATGGGCGAGCCAGTGTGGTCTGAAAATCAGATAATAAGATCCTTATTACTTGTTTTTTGAACTTACGGTCTTTGGCCATGGAAGGAAGTTGCTCAACGAGTCGACGAGACGGTAGTAAAGGTAGTTGACAACAGCTCGTGGAGTGATTCCGTATTTGTTTTGATCATTGAGAGCCTCGAAGAGCATATTGATCTTAACTGGCTCCATAACGATAAAGTAATTGTAGGCACTCTGCATGAGAAGTTTGTCTAAGACTTGTTCAGCCGATCCGACGGAAAGGGGAAGGAACATATTCCAGCTGAAATCTTGTATTAATTTTGGGATGAATATTATGAATATACCTGAAGATATCGTCGTGATATTGAGCGATAAGCTGCTTCAAAGTGTTTGGATTGTAACTTCTGTCATATTGACGGCGGGTGGTGTCATCAGTGGAGAAGTTGGTGGCGAGAACGTAGTCAAGGTGGATAATATCTTGAACATCCTTAGCGAGGATAGTCGGATCAAGAGTCTTGCCCTGCACTTTAGCCAAGAGAAGCATAGTTTTCGTGATCGAGTCCTGGAGGCTGAAATTTTACTATAAGCAAAATAGTTCTGAGTCGAAACTTACTTGGCGCTGAGATCATTCCAGTCCTTCAAGTAATAAGTGTTTGGAGCAAAAGTTGTTGGTTGATCGATCAAATAAGCGAATCCTTCTGGACCAGCAGGATCCTTCCAGTTGGTGTCAACTCGAGCCGAGACAAAAGTGCTGACTCCAGAAGCGGCCAAGGATCCAACAAGGTATCCGAGTCCAAAGTTTCCAGGGTAAGCGGTCACATCCTTATTCTGATCTAACATTGGGAATGGGAATTGAGTTTGTTTCTCGAATCTTTGAGTTCCGGCTGCGAGGGCATTGATGGCGTTGGTGACGACGGCTCCATCGGCGACGAGAGTGTTCCAGTTTTGACGAGCTTGAACGCATTGATCGAAATACCAACGAGTTTGTTTCACTGGCAATGGCTGAAAATTTTGAATGGTTTTCCGTTAGCTTCGGTGACAATTTTTCTGCTAGAAGTAAAAAACTAACCGCAGTCTGAATGTAATTATCGTTGGTGAGTTGTGCGACCATATCAGCAACGTTCGAATCATCCGAAACGTCGAAGCTCATGTCTCCTTTGAAGTTTCCACATGTGTAGGCGTAGAAGTCGTTGCAGGGATCAACGGACAGATTCACAGATGCCCTGAAATCAATTTTCTTATCATTTCCGTTTTTCTCTCTTCAAAAATTACTTGAACAACTGTACGACTTGTTGGTACGACTGGAACTTGTTGCTATCAGTTGTGATCTTTCTCGGCGGGGCAACATTGACGGCAGCGGCTGAAAACCATTTTTGTTCAATAAATCATATTTTTGGAACAGAAAGTCATCACTCTTCCCTAGTTGCATCACATAATTTAATGGCTCTTATCAAATAATCATTTTGCTGAAAAGCGTGATAAGCGCAGTCCTTGGAAGAAGAGAAAGCCATGCCTAAGTTCGTCATCTACTCACACTCTTTGTCTTGGTAGACGACTTGAACTACAGTTTGGTTGTAGGTGTTGGTATTGTTGAAGGTGGATGTGGAGTTGTAGACGAGTGTGTTGTTATAAACGACCGTCTCATTGTAGATCGTGTTCGTGTTGGTTCCATTTCCATTTCCGTAGTAGTTGTTGTTATTGGTACTGCTGGATTCGTTGACAAGAATTGCGATCACCACTCCAAGCACACCAGCGGTGAGAACCACTCCTAACACCTGGAAAAATAAGTATGAGGTTTGATATTATGGCGACAGGTTATCGATCTGAACTAAATCCAACAACTTAATCGAAATATCATAAGGTTTTGGTTCCAGATGAAGAGTATTTCCGTTTTTTTTTGTCAGAGTTGCCTAGCTTTCAACTTTGGGTCCATATATTTCATTCCCTGCAAAAGGTATCAAAAACTGGTCAACTGACAAAATTTTTACCATAGTATCGAAAATATTTTGTAAGTTGACAATTTTTGATATCTCTTACAGAAACCGATATACATGGTCAACGATTGGAATGATTAGCCGGACTAAAGTTTGTACGAGCATAAAATTCGATTAAAACGTTGTACTTGGCTCAAATTTGAAATGCAAAAACTCCAATAATTCATCAGTAAACTGGCCAAGTTTCAGATTATTTGATCAACTCTGAGCTGAGTTATCGCTTGTCAAAGTTGCTTCATCTCATGAAAGTCAAGAAAAATTAGACCCTTCATCTTTGAAAAATCATAACACTACCTAGACTTGAGAATTGCTTTGAAGATTTCAGAAGCTATGAATCAAACGTAAAATTATATTTCGACCAATTTTCGTGCTTCCAGGATACTTATGTCTAAAGATATACCCGTTTTTATCAGTTTGGGTATACACAGTGTAATTAATGATAGGGTCAAGCTCCTCTTTGAATGCTCATTCGTTCATAGATCCATGACAGAAAAACTAACGGAACTTGTCATTTCTCCATAAACTTTATGGTCAAACTTTATAGTCAGTTTATAGTCATGCAGTTCTAAAAATTTTTATTTGCAATTGTGGTTTGAGGAAACAGAAATTCCAAAAGTACACTTTGCCAGTTACCGTAACCTTCTACACTTGGTGTAACAATACATCTAGCTACAAACTTTATATAAACTGATTTTTAAAAATAATTTTAAAACTTACCAGGAGTAGGGTGTGTACGATATTACCGGAGCCACCAGAGCCTATGCTGCCGGCCATCGTTTCGAAAATGAAATCAAAACCGCCCCGCTTCCCATTATCACCTTCAACCTCCCCCTTTTCGATGTCCTTATCATTATCATTAATTTTGTCAGCGCCCTTGCGTTTAGAGAGACTCAAATGTATAGCACACTTGTATTTGGAATTAGTGACAGAAAGCGTTTAAGAATTCATAGGGGAATTTGGAATTAAGAAGAGATTAGTTGGTTGTTTGATTTTGTGCTGAAAACTGAAATTATATTTTCTCTGCCATGTGGGTATTGGGCATTCAGAACTATCTGCTTGTATTTGGAATTAGTGACAGAAAGCGTTTAAGAATTCATAGGGGAATTTGGAATGTAGAATTAAGAAGAGATTAGTTGGTTGTTTGATTTTGTGCTGAAAACTGAAATTATATTTTCTCTGCCATGTGGGTATTGGGCATTCAGAACTATATGATGTTATGGTCATAGTTCCGTTTAAAAATAGGTTGAGTGAAAGGACATTGGCACTTTATTATACAAATAAAAAAGTTGAAAGGGGGAAACAGAGACTAAAACTGTTGAAGGTTTCGAACTATTTCCTTTGCGATGTGGTAGTGAACAATTGTCGACGGATTCCAAAGGTCATGGTAGGCGTATTTGTATATCGCTTGAGGACTAAAATAGAGAAATTAGATTTAGAATTTTCTCGCAGTAATAGTACTTTTAGCGGCTCTTCTCTCATTCCAAGGTACCTCCGAAAGGCCGTTCTTTGAAAAGGGTCCTTCAATTAGAGGGGTCCTTCTTTTTTTTCTAGTCAATATTTCAAAAAATTTCATCGAAAAATGTAGTTAATTCACTTTCAAAGTTCATAATCTATCAATTTCACAAAATTAAGCTAGTTTTCGAGAAAAAAGTTCTGCTTCAACAAATTTCTGTGAAATTGTGGAACTTCGGGAATATTTTTACTGAAAACGTATGGAAATTTTCAACTTCAAACAACATATTTTGAAGGGGATTTTCTATTTTTCCAAGCCGCTCTCGGAGGGCCCTTCTAATACAGGGTTTACGGTAAAAATAGTTGAGATCAAAAATTAGAATACCGTAAAACTTAGAAGGGTCCCTTCAATAGAAGAGCCCCCTTCAAAAATTGTTATTCGAAATTAAAAGTATCCGTACGTTTTCAGTGGAAAATATTCTGAAAAATAAAAATTTCGCAAAACATGGGTGAACACTTTTTTGCTGAAAAATTTGCTCATTTTTGGTGGAATTGATGGATTTTTATAAATTTAGAACGAGAATTCATCGAACTTTTCAATGAAAAATTTTGGAAAGCATAGCCGGAAAAATAGAAGGGGTTCCTCTGAGTGAAAGACGCATGTAATAGAAAGGCCCTCCGGAGGTGCCTTGGAACAGTACACTTGACAATTTGAAGGCCCTTCTAATAGAGGTTTTACGGTACTTATTCAAAGTTTCTTGTTCGGGTTTCAGTGTTTTGTTTGTGTCCTCTGAAAGCTGATTACTTCCCAAGTCCTTAAACCTCTTCTAAAACGCAAACTCTTCTTAATTGTGAATTTTGACCCTCTATTACAAATTTATCATCAAATTTTATGCGATAAAATTTCTGGTTTTCCCTGCTGCATTTTTATTTGTTTAATGAGAAAAAATGGTAAAATAGAAACTGCTGAAATCGACACTTTCACTATTATAATCATTATTTTAGAAGGCAAAGTATCTTTCTTTTTCTTATCGGCGTTTTTGTTCCTGTTCCTCCCATTTCACCCAAATAATTAGCTTTAAAATCATACATGAGATCCGGTGAGTGATGAGTAAATGGTTCGGTTGTATTCAATGATTGCATAGCTGCCAGTGCCACTGTATTAATATCGATTAGACGAACACGAAGGAATGGATTCAGGCGACGGGTACCAAGATCAGAATCCAGAACTATGTGATGGAGTTGCTAAAACTTTCAAACTTTTGAAAAATGTTCTTCACTTATTCAATTCGGATTAATTACCCGATTAGTTTCAGAGATCAAATGTCCCAGCCTCTCCTGAAGGATCTCTGAATCCTCTGCTGCCTGAACGCCAGGACTATTGGAAACATCCAGAAGTGACAAAATGACAAGTGTTCCAGATGACATTGTCTGGAAGTTTACATTATTCTGGAATCTAAAAGAAACTCTAACCTGAGTGATATTCTGAATAGTCTGCTGAATATTCTCCACCACTTCGGTTGCATTGGTATCTCCACCGAAGAAATCAATGGTTCCACCTGTTTGGAGAATAACCAGTGGATCTGAAAACCAAAGTTTAAAACTGAGACACCCAAAATGTTGCTTACCATCCGACAAGAACTTATTGTTTGATAAAAACTGATTAATTTGCCATTGAATTCCAGAGAACGAGTCAAAGTAGAAGTTTCCAAGTCCAGACTTGGCTCCACTGTATGCATAGTTGACATACTGAACAATGAAAAAAAAATTGACAGGAATAAAAATTAACATACTCTGTCACATTCCAACATCGCATTTACATATTCAGGCCAAACTTTTCCGTTACAGTTCCGTAGAAATCCATGACTCTCTCCTTCTGCCTCAACTCCATCGTCTGATAAACTATCTCCGAATACAATCAGCCTACCACATCGGAAATCTCGGGGCTATAATGTTCAATATATTTTTTGAAACTAGATAATATTTTATTCAGCTAGAGTCGGGCTAGAATTTTTCAATAACCAAATACCGTATTTACTCTAAAATAGAAGCCCGCCCAATTCGTCAACTTTCAGCTCAATTATCTCGATTCGTGAGATATCTAAAATGTGTCAATTGATAAAATGTTTGTAATATTTTGACAAATGGTTTATCAGTTGACCACCTTTTGATATCTTTCACAGGAATCAAAATCATTGAGCTCAACGTTTCCGGTTTGGGTGGTCTTTTATTAGAGCAGTATGATATTCAATCTCAAACTGATAATGTAAAAAACTCACTCTGTGCAAAATCCTTGTTTCCAAAGTTGCAAGAAACGTTGAAAATAGAAACGAGATTAATAAAGACCGCATTATTCTGTACAGTTATTGCATGTGACACTGGTCAGATCTTGTTTGTATGGGAAATGGGTCAGTCGTCGTCGTCGAGCAGGTGTCCAAATTTTGGCGCATCTCTCTGTCTGTTTGTCTATTAATAGATTTGGAACACAAGGTGCCGCTCTTTTTCTTTTGTTTAATTGCGAAACAAGAAAGGGATTACTTTTTGGTTTCAAAATAGGTAAATGGACCCCGTCAAACAAACACCAGGTACAATTCTGAATTACAGTAAACACTCTAATAGAAATCCACTCTATACTTTCACTTTGAAGCCATATGTCTCGGTTCCTTTGAAAGATATCAAAGTTTTGTCAATAGACAAACTATTTTTTGATAATATTATTGTAATAAACATTTTGTTAGTTAACCACCTTTTAATATCTGTTACAGGAACCGAGATAAATTGGTTCAAAGTTAAAATGATCCTTCTATTAAAGGTGGGGGGACATGAAAAAAATAATGTTCTCGAAATTTCGTTTAAATATGCCCCTCGAGGAGTTGAACGTGTGGGGCGAGGATTGAGGGTGCGGCGCCGCTACCGACTGAGCTACACGGGCAAAGAGAAATCGGTCGCCCGATTGCATACATAAAGGCGAGGACGACAGCTGTACGCAGAGTGACATTAAGCGTTGTACACCGTCACGGTAGAATGCATACTCTGGCCCCAAAAATTCCCCGTAAAATCTCCTGTCCCCCCACCTTTTTTTACGATATGTTCCATATTTCGAACTTTTTCTTGAAGTGCTGAGCTATTCGTTGGATTTTATTATTAGCCGGCTGGTTTTCCGCGCTATCGGCCTTTCAAACAGCTGGCTGGTGTGCCTTCGGCGCGTTTTAACCTATTTATTGTACTGTTTGTCGCTCTGCTACTAACGTGTTGGGCTATCATTTTCAAAGTGATGGCAAACTTGATAGCTCCAGATTCCTGAAAATGATGAACATTGAAATTGACGAATATCCACTGAAACTATGTTTTTGTATATCTTACTGACCGGTATTGTAGTTTTGAATATTCTTTATAAAAAAGATCATTGTCCGCTTTTAAATCAGACATCTTCATGGCATCTTTTTGAAAATTCCCATGCCAAAGGAATCTAGACATCCTCGTTCATCAGAAATTCACGAATTCAGATTCTTTAAAGTTCCCTCTCGTTTCGGAACTTCAGAGGCCAATTTCGTCACCAAAAGAAGCCATATGAATAATTTATTGAAATGTTCACTTCATTTTTAGACATCACTTTTTTATATCTCCAACATTAAAAACTCCTGAATAACAATTCTAATCGTTGAGAGATCATTTTCAGAGGAAAAAAAACATTCACAGATAGAAATATTGAGGAAAGAAACTAAATAATTTTATACATCAAATTATTAAACCAGTTGAAGCACCGCATTGCACACATCACAGCGTAGTTGTGGACCAGGAGTTGAGCTGAAATGAAAATGGAATTAGTAAGAGAAATATTCTGGAAATACAGGAGGACAGTACAGAACTTTTGCACGGTCTTCTTGTTTGCAACACGCGAGTCGAAATTTTTCAAAAAATACATGATTTTTAAATGGTGAAAGAGAAGTGAACCGTGAAAAAGCAGAGGGAAGAGCACACACTACAGACAGGGGTAGAGACTAGAAGAATGAGAAGTGGAAGGAGAAGAAGATGCGGATTGATCTACACAAAAAGCACTTGAGCTGGCGAATCGTTGCTTTCCTCTTCCTGCTCTTCTGATTTTATCGACATTCGAATTCGTGCTTCGGCATTCCGTCGACTCAGACGACGCAGTGTGTGATAGGTACGGTAGACGAGAGCTGGTTCATGGGGTGCCGGGTCGAAATAGCAGAAGGCTACTGAAAATAGACAATGTATTTTAGGGAATTCAAATTTGGAGGGAATTCAGCTGATTTCAGCTGGCCATTTTTACCATTTTCAGGATTCTGGAGTTCGGCGGTTTTGATTCAAGAGTCTGGAGCTAGGCTGTCAAGTTTCTGATCTCTTTTAAATTTTTGAAAGGTATAAAACAGACCTAGATTCAAAACTTTGCATTCACAAAATTCTTTGAAAGATCCTAGTTTTTCAGTTATTTTCTGATTTCTGAAAGACACATTTTTCCGTTTACAGTAAAAAAGATAGCCAAGAAGGGGTGTCTTTCAGAAATCAAAAATAAACGGAATTTTCAAAGAATTCTGTGAATGCAAAGTTTTCAATATTGGTCTGTTTTACACCCTCCAAAGGTTTTAAAGTGATCGGACACTCGACAGTCTTGCTCCAGACTCCTGAAAATGGTCAAAATGGCCAAATATGTTTTTGTATATCTTTTTGACCGGTACTGTAATTCCGGAAACTTTATCTTCGATTTTATTTTACGACTCACATTATTTTGTATGTCTTTAGTCTTTTAAATATACAGTGCGCGTCATAATGATAGCACCACTCCATTTTTTGAGGTTTTCAGAAAAACTAAAAACTGGAGAAAAACGGCTAATGCCATCAGTTTCAGCGTTCCAAAAAACCAATGTGTTTCCAAAATCAAGTACCACTCAGGGAATTTTGGGCAAGCAAACGGCAAGTTGCGAGCCATTTGGCAAGTTACTGAGCAGAATCAGCAAGTTGCTGGACAAGTTAGCAAGTTGCTAGTGCTTGCTGACCATGTTCGAGGAGGGTCGTACATCAGCAAGTTGCCGCATGCATGAAACTTGCTTGCCGTTGCTTGCCGTGAAAAAAGCAAGTTGCCGTTCTCTTGCCGCGTTCAGATGGCATTCAAACGGCAAATTGCTCTATAAAATAGCAAGTTACTCTATAAAATAGCAAGTTAAATAGCAAGTTACGCTAACCCGAAAAAACGGCTTGCCGTTTGTCAGCGGCAAGCAAAATTTTCGGGTTAGCAACTTGCCGAAAAATTCCCTGAGCAGTCAAGTGTATTAGGGCTACAGTAACCAAAATTCTCTCTGCACACCGCATTATAATAATAGCACCACCCTGGAAAACGGAAAATCTCATGTTTATTTGAGAAATTAATTGAGAATAATTTGTTGGAATTTGTCAAAATAGTTTTTAAACAGTCTATTTTGACAGTCTGCACAAAAATTGATGTATCAATTGAAGTTTTAGAAAAAATTATTTTCAAACATTTTCGTCATTTTTTGGAAAAATCTTGAATAACCTGGTTCCTGGGTGAAATTTTGAGCTGAAATTCATAGGTGAAATTCGTTCAATGGTCCGGAGTGTCTGCTAGTAATTTTCATGCTATTCTGAGTCCTTGTTTGTAATTTGACAAAACCGAAATTTCGAAAACGAGCCTTGAATTTCGGTGGTACTCATTTTCTTTAAAAAACTGAAAGTGTCAGGTAAAAATTATTTTTCTGTACGAAATCATAATTTCAAAAACGATTTTGGTAACTTGGAACATCTTTTGAACGTTTTACACTTCTTTGAAAAATTTTCATTTTGGCATATTTTTATCCGAACTGCAAATTAATTTTTGATCTTCAGAAAAAAGTTTGGCGCGATCACAATTGCAGGTCTAAAACCATAATTTCAGAATTTTTTATCTGATTTTGTGGAGATTCAAGATGATTCAAATGATTCTTAAAAAAATTAATTAGTGGTTATAGATTCATGTATGGTCCTTTTCCGGAAGAAAAAAATGTCAAAAATGGTCATTTCGAAAGTTTTTTACAGAAAAAATATATCTCTTCTTTCAGTTTTTGACATTTCTAGGAGTTCTATAGCTCAAAAAACCGCAATTATTTTCTCTACATTTTCTATGGATGAATTTTTAATTCGTCTGGTAAAACTTTTTTTATAATTCAAAAACCTCATGAAATTGCACAAAATAGCATTTTTGCGTTGTTTTTTGATTATAAAAACACAGGTAGAATGCGAACGGATCCGTTTCGGTGTCCACTAGGTTTTCTATCCGTAACGGGTCCGTTACGGGCAGTTTCGCGAATCTGAGTTCGCGAACGGATCCGTTTTTTCAACATTCGCAATCGGACAGGATACGGAGTTCGCGAACGGACCGGATACGGATGCAGCTGGAGGTCGAAAGATAGCTCCCATGCCCAGTCGCGAACGGATCCGTTCCGGATGGCCGAGTTGTGAGGCAATTGGGCCGATTTCTGTCTATCAAAATTTTCGAAAGGCGATTCTACGATGAAAAAAGGTTCGTAACACAAAGGTAATTCTTCGAAACATAGGGTTTGTTATAGGTATTACTTAACCTCTCCGTGAGCAAAAGGAACAAAAAATATTGTTTTGATGCTCACTTTTGCAGAAAGCAAGTTGCTAGCTTAAGGTAAGTGCAAACCACATTAGTTTTCGAAATAGTGACTTTTCAAATTTTCAGCGATGGACATCTACTAAACATCTACCGACTAAAACGTTGGAAATGAGACAATTTTCAAAACCCGGAAAACAAAAAATATAACTAATAGGTAAACAGTATGCTGCATTTTCGGAAAATTTCCCAATTTTTTTTCAGATTGCTCTGGTTCCGGTTGGTCGTCCAACAAAAAAAAAGGATTTTCATAGTTTCTCGAACTTTCTTGTACGTTTGATTGTTGTTTCTTATATGTTTTCCTAATAAAGTTCCGAATACTAAGTCTACAACTATCATGAAAACTCAGCAAAAATTAAGAGAAACTGAAAAAAGGAGCGGCGGGGGTTTTCAAAGAATGAGTCGGAAACGGATCCGTTACGGATTCGCGTACGGTCCGTATATGATTCCTATTTCATCCGCGCGCGCGAATGGCGGAGAATCCGTAACGGATTGTTCGCGAATCACCTGTGAAAAGCGCCAAACTTTTTTCTGTAGATCAAAAATTAATTTGCAGTTCGGAATTGTTCTGTGGGAGAGCGTGCTGATAAAAATATGCCAAAATGAAAATTTTTCAAAGAATTTTTTTCTAAAACTTCAATTGATACATCAATTTTTGTGCAGACTGTCAAAAAAGACTGTTTAAAAACTATTTTGACAAATTCCAACAAATTATTCTCAATTAATTTCTCAAATAAACATTTTCCGTTTTCCAGGGTGGTGCTATCATTATGATGCGGTGTGCAGAGAGAATTTTGGTTACTGTAGCCCTAATACACTTGACTGGTACTTGATTTTGGAGACACATATGTTTTTTGGAACGTTGAAACTGATGGCATTAGCCGTTTTTCTCTAAAGTTTTTAGTTTTTCTGAAAACCTCAAAAAATGGAGTGGTGCTATCATTATGACGCGCACTCTACGTTAACAAAATTCAGATCCCTTTCCAACTTTTCTAGTTCACTTATTTTGAAACTCAATTTGAAACCTTTGATTTTTCGTTTTCTAAACTTCAAGTCCAAGAAAAGACCACAAAAATCAGTCTATTTTCGTATTTTGATTTCGTCATCAAAACCATGAAAGAGTAGCAAAGTTTCGGGGAAGCTAAATAAAATTTCACGAGGACTAACTCACTTATAACGACGATGACGTTTAGAATGAAGGCAGCAAAAACAAAGAATAGAGCAGAGTCGATCGGAGAAGACGCTTGCAGAAATGTTCCACTATTTGTTATGTCGGACATCTTTTTTATAGCTTCTGAAATTTAGGACTTTGGATAATAAGGACTCAAGTTTGTACTAGCATAAATTTTGAGTAAAGCGTTGTACTGGGCTGAAATTTGGAAAGGAAAAATTCCAACAACTCATCAGTAAACTTACCAAGTTTCAAATTATTTTATCAACTTTGAGCAGAGTTAACGTCTGTATAAATACTGTAAACACTCTAATGGAGTGCCACCCAAAGCTTTCAACTTTGAGTCTATATATCTTCTTCACTGCGAAAGATATCAACAAGTGGCCAATTGACAAAATATTTATCATAACATCAAAAACATTTTGTCTGTTGACAAATTATTGATACCTTTCACAAAAACCGAGATATATAGGTTTGAAGTTGACGTCTCATAAAAATCACAACGGACTGCAGGAACCCGTCCGTCGTTCATCTTTAAACAGTCATAAATATACCTAGACTTGAGGAATTGCTTTCAAAAATTTCAGTAGCTCTGAACCAAATGTAAAATTATACTTCTATCAATTTTCGGGTTTCCAAAATACTTATTTCCAAAAATATACTCGTTTTTTAATCTGGGTATTTCCGCACCATCCTATACAGCAAAAAATTAGCTCACGGAGTCTTCAAATTCTATGAAACAATATATTGGGGTAAAATGAGTCATGAATAATAGTAGGAAAGGAAAAGAAACATGTGGAGCGTAGCAAAAGAAGGGAATATACATTTTACGACGTCTCGTCTCCCGGAAACCCGTGCTTTTCTCTTTTTTTTTCAATAATAATAAGCATGGACTATAAAAATAGGATGGAATAAAAAATGAGATGGAAACAACAGCAACAGACAAATGAGTGGAGGAAAAAGTAACAAGTTTATAGGAGAGTATAGACACTTTAAAAAAAGAAGAAGCGTATCAAAAAAGAAGGATGGCGGAATTTGTTTTTGCAGTCGTTTTGGAAAAAGAGAGTTTTGTTGAAAAATCTAAACGGGGGGAAACGAAAAAAGGAGAGGGTCTGACCCCACTATTTCAAGCTCACTGGACCAGGCTCGGTGTGGAAGAAAAAAAACAAGCCAACCTTTTTGTATTCCCGTATTCATTCCTCTTTCTGGTTATTTGTCAAACAGCTCAATTATGAGAAAAAAGAAGGAGCAGCTGTTTTCAAAGTGATTGACTGATTGACAGGAGCTACACGGAGCAAAAGAAAAATTGAGTGGAAAATTGACAAAAGAAAGATATACTTTACAATATGTCTGAGAAACAGGACAGGACTTGATTTGTTATTTTTAGATAAAAGGGTAACATACCGTAAAACATTTAATAGGAAGGTCCCGAACTTTTAACTTTGAGCCAATTTATCTCAGTTCCTGTCAAAGATATGCAAAAGTTGTTAACTGATGAATTATTTATCATAATATCACAAACAGTTTATCAGTTGACACATTTTTGATATCTTTCATACGAGCCAAGATAAATTAGCTCAAACTGGACAATGTGGGGGTCCTCCAATTACAGGATTTACGATAGTCATGAGAATAAGAATTCCGTTTTTAAGCTTGTTATTTGGGGTTGCAAATCCGTACAATTTTATGTTCGATTCAAGACTTTTCCTATAATTTTTTTTTCAAAAAAATCAAAAAAATTGTCAAAAAGTGATTTTTGTGGGTCGAAATTGGAATTTTGACGATTGTAATATAGCATAGCATTTGCCCTATCCCCTATTTTCTCTTCTTCTACCTGTTACATTTTTCCTGTGTCATATATCTAAATTATCCCGTTTTCCCTCCCCTACTCAGATCGGCCTCGTGAGGGGCATTTTCTGAGTCTTTCATGTCTTGCCCTATAATGTTTTATTACACCTGATCAATAAACAAATTACAATTTCCAGGTCGAAACATGGCATTTCAGATGTCAAAAATGTGTATTTTTGGGCATTTTTGAATCTCAAACGACTTTTTCTTTTTCTGGAACTTCTGAGGCTACAATCGCAAAAGCTTTCGAGAGAAAAACATTGATTTCTTCTTAAATTTTTTGCAAAGTTTTTAGACCTTTTCAGGTTTTTCAGCTGTTTTTTCAGATTCTTTTTTGACTTTTCCAGATTGTTTAATTGAAATTCGACGGGAATGTGTTCGCAAAGATTACTGTAGATTACTGTAGAAAACGAATTTTCCTGTATACTGTAGTTTCTTTGCAACAAAAAAAAATCGATGAAAAAATGAGAATAAAAAAAATGAGAATAAGAATTTTATTGTTAAGCTTTGTATTCTGAATTGCTGGGATCCTAATCTCTTTTAATTTGCAAACTGTTAGATTCAAAAAATTTCCTATATTTTTTTACCAAATTACATATTAACGACCACCCAGAAAGAATATTTCTAAACGTACGACTCCATGGCAACTTTAAGGAACAGAGAGAATTATTCAAGGGGGAATTTGAGTCACAGTGGTTGAAAAAGTGGAAGAAAATAAGGGAATTCTTGTGAAATCTGAAATTTAGGAATTCAGAAACTGGTTCCAGAAAATCCAGATTAATTCTGTTTTTGTACTGAAAATGTGAAAAAACAGGTATCCTTCGGAAATCGGCAAATAACCGAAAAGCTAGGAATTCTCAAAAAACTCTGTGAATACAAAGTATTCAATCTCTGTCAGTTCTACATTCTCCAAAATTTTCACAGTGATCGGAAACTTGACAGCCGAGCTCCAGACTCCTGAATCAACTGATAATATTTTTGTATATCTTATTGACCGGTTACTTCATAAAACGATACCATCTCATCAGAATGCATACCCTAACCCCAAAAAACTCCGAATATAAATAAAATTTCAAAAAAATGAGGTAGTAGCTCATTTGGAATATATTCTAGACACACTTGGGAGAGAGCGGGACAAGTGTTTTCGATTTTTTCATGTCAAAAATGAGAAAAAATGAAGGAGACCTTCCTTCCTTTCTTAACGAAATCCCGCAACTTCCGTAAAAAAGTCTCAAAAACAACCGTTTTCCCACGGCTAGGAAATTGGGAAATCTCAATTGAAAATTGCTTACCTGGGCCTGGGTAAAAATGGAAAAAAAAACAACTTCCATGCGAAAGAAAAAGGATTAGCTTAACTTACAAAACAAGATTACTGATTACCTGTACAAATAATGATGTTATTTAGAATATAAAAGAACCTAAGTGAGTCATATAAGGCGCCAATCAATTTGAAATGCATTCAAATGCACACAACTTTTGAACCTCTCTCCTTTTTTTCAATTAAATTCCGAACGAATTCTTGTTATTTTTTTTCCACCACCACAGGACTCAATGAGCCCCATCGGTTTGAAAAAAGGGAATTCATTTGTGCAAAAAGGTTGAAAAAGTACACAAAGTGTCGTCTGAAAAACAACGTTGTTCCTGGTTCTAGAAAAAAAACCAGAGAAATGAAAAGGAAGAAGCAAAAGAGAGTTGTTAGAGTGTCTAGAGTGGAAGCTATTATTATTTTTTCGTTTTGTTTCCAGGTGAGCAACTTTTTCTTCTTTACAATGAATCAGATGAAAGGATGAAAAGCGTAGATAGATTTTTGATTTGTCAGGAAATCAACAGCGGGCTCTTTGAAGTTTTTTTTTGATGGGGCTTGGGAGAACACCTAGAGCGATAATTTAATTTTCTTTCATGTCATATGGAACGTTTAGAGATAGAAGAACCAAAAATGAAGACGTGGTGAGGGGGTTGGAGTTGTAAAATTGGCTCAATTTCAGTTCGACATTTCGAGAAAAGTGATGATAAAAGCTGAACATTAAACCCACAGGCGACCTTTCAAAATTCAAAAAAAAAAGATCTCTGTTTTGGTATAGAATGTCCAAAGAATTTTTTTATAAAAAAAAAAGTTTTTCCCAATATCGTTCTTTCTTAATAAGGATCTTTCCCAATAGAGATCTTTCTCAATAAGGATATTCCTAAATAAGGATATTTCTCAATAAAGATGTTTCATGATGAGGATTTTTTTTAATAATGATATTTTAATAAGGATGCTTCTTAATAACGATTTTTCTCAATAAGGATCTTTCTCAATAAGGATATTTCTTAATGAGAATCATTCTTTTTTGTCCCCAAACTTTTTTTGTTGTCTCACTTTCTTCAAGAATTGATAAAACTTGAAACCGTTACTAAAATACAGTTCGAAGGACAGGAATTTTATAACAGTGTTCGGGAAAAAAAACATGTTCCTCAAGATATTAAGAATTTTGAAAATCATAATTTTTTTGTTCTACTTTCTTCTAAAATTTTAATCAAAAAGTAAAAAGCAAACTTCAACTTCAAACTTTTCATTTTTTGTCAGCCTACTGACACAAAACCACTAAAAAGATCTCAACTTGTCAATCTCTTCAAATGGCCAACCCTGTCAAGGTTTGTGATTTGTTTTGAACATCAAACCACAGAATCAAAACTTTGTTGAGTCAGTTTTATTAATTGCATATTGTATCCTAAATGACTCAAAAACATTAATTGGGAGGAAAACAAGCTGAGGGAGCACAAGATTAATATTTATTTAGAAAAACGAAAATGAGCACATGATGAAAAATCGTTTTATTTAATTCTATATTTCTAATTAATATTTATTGAAAAAAAAGATAGAAAAAGGTCAAAAGAGATCCTCTATCTAGTTTTCAGCTCACAGAGCAAATTGAGTGCTCTGAACCATGTGATAAGATGGATGAGGAGGAGACAAGTGGGTGATAAAAAGAAGAGGAGGAAGTCATGATGAATGGAAAAACGGATACAGATGAGTGACAGAGACTCTGAAATGAAGAACACTTTCAGAGAAGATAGAAGTGTCTGAAAAACGTGTGAGAATAAGTTAAGCCATGTCTCTTCTTCCTCTTTTTCTTCTTCATCTTCCCACCGACTACTCAAATTACTTTGAAGTCGTCGTTTTTTCTAATTAGTTGATTTTCGTTTTCCACACACTCGTTTTTCTTCCTGCAAACAGAAAAATATTTCCAGAATCCGGTGATGAAGTTGTTCTGCATCTTAGAAACTTCGGGAATCGGAAGTCTTGAATTCATTCTAAAGGAGAAATCTAAAAGCAACAGACACGGATCACAGAGAGTCAAAAATGGCCAAGCAACGGACAACGGATAACGGACTGTCTGTGTTCTGCTCCCAACAACCCGACAAAATACGGAGAATCATAGCTGAAGGATGAAAAGCGCGCAAAAGAAGCTAAGAAGAAAGAAATCACAAAAAATTAAGTTCACAGATTTCTGACATCACGGCGGCGACTCGATACCTAGTCTCCAGTGACATTCGAATCCTGAAATCGAACATATTTATGACAATTTTTATCAAAACAATACAACACCAGTTCCAGACTACATCATTTATTTAATATACTTTTATGAAAATTTTCAAACCCCAGCCCTCATTTATTTTTTATTTGATAAGTTTTGAAATTTTTAGTTTTCAAATAGCTTTTCAATGCGTTTTTAAGTTTTCTGTCATTTGCAAAGTTTCACCAAGGATACCACAAAGAATACGTTTCCTAACCCATTGCTAACTGTCAAAGAACGACTTCGAGACAAGAGGAATCACCACAAAAATAGAAAAACTACCAGAAGGGCGACTACAACCACAAATATTACCAAAAAACTAAGACAACACCAAGGCAACAAAGACACCAACAGCTCTGAAGAGACAAATAGAAAAATCGAAGAAACCGAAAAATCGAAGAAACCGAAGAGCCAAAAAAACCGAAGAGCCGAGGAAAAGGAAAAGCGCGGGCAAGAAAAGCAAAAAAGAAAAAGATCAAAAAATAAAGTTCGGGAAGGGTCGACATCCTGCTGCTCCCGATGCATCCTGGTGACATCCTGATGATCCGTCCCTTGGCACTCGGAATCTGAATTCAAATAATTAATTCATTGCAATTTAAATTTTTTTACCTCATCGAATTCGCATGAAAGTTTCTAGAATCCTTGCTGCAAACGACGCGGAGGGTGTGACTGTGGGACATCCTGAAACTAACATTTTCAAATAAAGCCGTTTTAACTAAACCTCAAGGATGTTCTAACCCGACAAAACTTCGAAGCTTGTTTAAATTTTCGCTACCATTCCATTAATAGTACTTTTTCGTAATTGTAGTAATTTTTGGAAGTTTTCAGGAATCAAAACTAGTGGTTGAATTCTTTATTTCATTGTGAAAAGATGACACGTAAAAAGGTAAAAACTAATTATCCTAAATCGAGAAAGCTTTGGAACTAACGATTTTTTTTTTCATTTTTGAAAATTTTCATTTCCCCCACTAACTGTATAATTTTGAATGACAATCCCATTCCCTCACTTTTCATTTTGTTCCGCTACTTCTGTCATCTTAATGTGAATCCTGCCAATTCTGATAACGTTCTCGAAGTCCTGGATGGTGGTGCATTCCGGAAACCGAGCATTTTCTGCAACTTAAACATCTAAAGCTTAATAACGATTTTTCTTTATTTTTCCAAACGGGAAAATTACAAAACTCAAAAAATCGCATTTCCTCACCTTTCATTCTGTTTCGCTGCAGTCCTGATTCGAATCGTACCGATCCCAGCTTTGGAACCTGTCCCCGTAGTTGTTGAAGATAGTCCCGGAGTCCAAGCATCCTCTACAATTTGAAAGTTTTGAAACTTGACCAATTCCCATTTCCTCACCTTTAATTTTGTTCCGCTGCACCTGTGGTCTTGATTTGAATTGTCCCAATATCATCCCTGTAAACTGTTCTCGAAATCCTCGAAGTTGTTCTCAGAGTCAAATCATCCCCTGCAACTTGAAAGTTTTGAAACTTTATCAATTCCTATTTTCTCACCTTTCATTTCACTCAGCGTTTTCTGTCACCTTGAATCAAATCATGTCAATCCTGGAGTCTGCCTTGGAAGCCGTCCTCGAAGCCCTGGGAGTTATGGTGGGGGTGGGGGCATCCTGGAAGCCAAGAAGATCCTGCAAGATCCTGCAACTTGGACGTTGGAAGCTAATACTGATTTTCCTTCAATTTTCTGCATTATGGACATTATTCTGATTCCATTAGGGTTTCACGGGGGTCACACCGATTTGGCTGTTGGAAAAAGGAGTTCGCGAGAAAAATGGCACTCGGTTCACTGTGACAAGATTAATCGGGTTATTCAGGTAACCAGCAAAAAAAAACAAAAAAAAACATCGCCGAAACTAATGAACTAATCTATCCGAAACTTGGGGTGAAATTTAAAAAAAACTATAAGAAACATATTTTCAGAGTTTAGGGTCAAAGTATCCTGTTTGAAAATTTAGCTGCAAATGCTGAATAAGACCTAATGATAAATATTTGGAATGAGTAAATTTTTATAGTCAGTAAAAACGGTATCATTCAGACCCCAATTTTTTGAATATTCAAAACAACAAAAAAACTGTAGTTTTTTAAAAGCGGAACTATCAGTCTTTGGAGATCGATTCTCATGGAAGACCACCGTGAAACCTGTAATAGAAGGGCCCTCACATTGTCAAGTTTGACCTAATTTTTCTCGGCTCCTATGCAAGAAATCAAAAATGTGTCAACTGACAAAACACTTTTGATATTATAATACAAAATTTTTCAGTTGAGAATGTTTCATATATTTTACAAGAACCAAGAAAAATAGGCTCAAAGTTAAAAAAAATTAAGGGGCCCGTATATTACAGGTTTTACGGTACCTCACTCCAATAGAACCATCCTACTATAACTACAAACTCGAATATCTTTGAATACCAATCATGTGCACTGTTATGTTCCTGATAAGATACCCGTGCTTTCTTTCTTTCTCTCTGTGCACACTATTCATTGTCAACAGACATTACTGACCATCGATAACCCCCATTATTACTGAAACCAATCAGTTAGAGTCAATCGATATAACTATGCAAACGCTTTCAAACATTTTCGAAAATGAGGATAACGTTTTCCTGAAAATGCCTCACTTTTTCAAACCTCTTCAAGCAGTGAGTTTTCAGATCTTTCCATGTTTCTTTAACGAAAAGAATAAGTATAGTTTTTTAATTTTTTTTTTTTTTTTCAGCTCAATGCCATCATTCTAGCAATATGCATTGGATCGACAGCATCTGGTGATAACGGTATCCTTTGGTTCACTCTCATCGTCTCTATGATCGTAAACTTTTTTTTGCAAAGACATTTTTAATACAATTTTTGAGATTTTTAGATATCCGTAGCAGCTACAGTAATCTTCGCTCTCCGAATTCAAGATGAACTTATGGAGAGTATCTCGAATGGAAGTATCGCCTGGAATGTGGTCGAACTTGTTTACTCGTTTATTCTCGCTGTTCTTTGTGTCATTTCTGTATGGCTTTCTTTCTCCTTTGCTAACCGATCTCTTTACGGAACCTCTGCTGGGTATATTGCTTCTGGAGTGAGTATAGAGCATAGGTATCTTTGAAATAATAATATTTTCAGCTTTTCTTTATTGTTCAAACTATCTTCTATGCCGTTCCCTGCACAGTCATTTACAAGGAAGTACAAGCCACTTCGGAAGCCGAACGACAAAATATTGTCATTGAGCCAGCACATCCATTCCGCTCTAACGCGTACCAAGACTTGTAAATTCTAGATCTTCCTATGTTTCTTGATGAATGAAAATTTTATGACTTTTTTAATGATAAACATGTTTTCAAGTTTTGATATTATGGATTTCTTTCCAAACCAGACTACTGCAGGGAACAGTTTTTTATTTTGATTCAAAATGTCATGAGTGTTTTGCCTCTCGAAAGCACGGCTGTCGTAAATTCTCGTGCAAATTCTGCAAACACCACTACGCGCAACTGCAGTCAACAACGACCGGCCATTTATTTTTTATTTTTCAGAACGTTTTTTCCAGATTTGGACCTCTTATCCTCAATATTATTGCTTGAAGATATAAAAAATAATCCCGTATTTTTTATTATAATAGTTGAAAAAGTAGAATTGTAAAATGATCGGTTTAAAGCCTGTTGCATTTGGGTCTGAGGATTTTGTTTTTTCTGGTCAACAATTTGTAAAATCTGATTCTGAAGTTGAACTATTTCGAGAAAAATTGTTTTTCAAAGTTATCTATATTTTCTCTAGGATTCTTCCACTTTTTTCCGACCTTCCAGTCAATTTCATTAGTAAAAAGACATTTGTTTATGTTTCTTGTAATCCCAACCATTTTTCTTTGTTTATTTCATTTCCTTTAGAATTTTTTTTTCCAGACCGACAATGAGCGGTCGCAAAATTGCGGCAGCGACTGTTCAGAATCGTACTCAAACACCATTCTGGAACTGGCTCAAGCGTAAGTGTGTTCCACAAAAATTTTCTTTCAAATTTTGTTTTTTTGAAGAAAAGCTTCTCGCTTCCGATAGACAGCCGATCACACCTCCACCTGGAATCGCCGGACCAGACGGAAAAGCTGTGTACCAAAATCCTCTCCGATTCCCAAACACTCAGGCGGCTCGTCCCGGATCTGCTGAGCTACCAACTCTTCCAGGAGGTGTCCACCACAAACTTGCTGAAAATTACTACCTAACCAGAGATGGCCGTAGAACTGTCGAACCACCAAAGGTCCTCTACTCGGATGGAGCGATTAGTGGAGAGCCAGTTCAAGTGAACCAAGGAGTGTCCAGTAACTTTGGGCTGCCAGCCCCAACCCCTGGATTTGGAGCCGAATGGAATCGATCGAAAGAAAATGAGCTGTCTAGCCAGCAAAACAACACCGAGTACGAATACTTGCAGCGTTTCGATAAGTTCGCCAAAAGCAACTGAACTCGGAGGTTATAGTTTTTCGCAACTGTAATTTAAGTAAGCAAGTCAAATTTTAGACAAATGTGTAATGTTTTGAATGAATTTTTTTTCTATTTGAAATTGATTGTTCTTGTCTTTTGTATTCCTTTATGGTTGCTCAAACCTCATTTTATATATATTCTTCGTTCAAAATTCTTGTTGTATTCTTCTTCTTTGATCCCCGTAACTTAACAAGTTTTCACCAAAAACTAATTACAGTAAAAATGAGGCCAACCGCCGTTGCCATGGGAAAACACTTCGGAAATCTTGGAAAGATGTACGGAGAGCATCGTTTCGCTTTGGCTCCAAATGAGCAAAAGGCGTACAAGGGATTCCTCGATCAGGCCTTCGTTAAGACTTTCAAGACCTACGTTTGGGATCAGTGGTATTACTACATTCCACAGGTAAGGATTGTTTTGAATATCATCTTTATCAGCCCATTTTCAGACCATCGGAGCCTATTTGCTCTACGACTGGGCCAAGAAGACCAATCACGAAGCTAACCGAAAGAACCCAGCCGACTACGCCAATGATCAATAAATTTATTGAAGTATGAATCTCGATTCAGACCGTTTTCTCTCGAATTTGCGATTCAGTAGTTTCGTTCTTCTTTCGCTGATTGTCTTTTCTCTTTCTTTTAGATTTTCAATTATAAAGTGAAATTGTCTTTGAGCTTTTCTCATGCAATTGGTTTCACAGTGAGGTCTCCATCCTCCCGATACGTTTTTAGCCAAAGAAAATTGATCTTCATCTGGGTATTCAGGCAGAATGAATTCGTGGTTAAGGCTTTCTGCCGTCAAATTGCATTCGCGTAGCTATTCGTTGCTTCCACAAGGAGCACAAGCATACATCGGTGGGAAATGGACGAGTTCTCAAACAGGAAAATCGTTTGATGTTTTAAATCCATACAACAACGAAGTGGTGGATAGAGTGACCAACTGTAATGTCAAAGATGCAGAAAAAGTAACAATTTCACATCGAATCTAGTCTAGTTTTTTTTTCTTCAGGCAGTACAAAGTGCCGTAGAAGGGTTCGAACAATGGGCATATTCCTATACTGCTAAACAACGTGGCGCGATTCTTCACAAATGGTTCGAGATTCTGCTTCAACGCGAAACCGAACTGGCGACTCTTCTGACAAAAGAGCAAGGAAAACCATTGGGAGAGGCGAGAGGAGAGATTCAGTATTCTGCAGCATACTTCGATTGGTATGCAGGAGAAGCTCGCCGAGTTTACGGACAAGTCGTTCCATCGGCAGTTCATAATCGTCTTCATCTGCATACTCGTGAACCAATCGGAGTCGTTGCACTTATTTCCCCATGGAACTTCCCAACTGCTATGATTGCCAGAAAAGCTGCTGCAGCGTTGTCTGTCGGATGTTCAGCCGTTGTGAAGCCAGCGGAAGACACTCCATTATCTGCACTGGCGCTTGCTCAGACAGCCGAACAAGCTGGAATTCCCGCTGGAGTCTTCAATGTAATCACTGCGGATCGTGCCAACACTGCAGAAATCTCCAAATTCCTCTGCGAATCAACCGATGTCTCTGCTATCAGTTTCACAGGAAGCACTCCCGTTGGAAAGCTTCTTCTCGCGCAGTCAGCATCTACTGTAAAGCGTGTATGCCTTGAACTTGGAGGCAACGCTCCATTGATTGTTTTCGACGATGCCAATCTTGATATTGCCGTTGCTGTAAGAGAAAAATCTAGAGCAAGACTTATATAGTAATTGCAGGGTACTATGGCCACCAAATTCCGCTGCTCTGGTCAAACCTGTGTATCTGCAAACAGAATCTTTGTTCATGAGAAGATCCACGATCAGTATGTTTCTAAACTAGCAGCTGCTATGAAAGAGAAGCTGGTGCTTGGAGACGGAATGGATCCAAAGACTACTCAAGGTCCATTGGTGAATCAGAAAGCTGTTGATAAGGTTTTTAAAGATGTACTTGAAAACGTTAAACCACCTTTTTACAGTGCGAGCTCTTGCTCTCCGATGCTCTCGGAAAAGGAGCTGAACTCATCTGCGGAGGAAAACATGGAGAGCATGGAAGCTCTTATGAGCCAACTCTCATCACCAATGTTCAATCGAACACCAACATCGCCAACACGGAAATCTTCGGTCCAATCGCACCAATTCAAAAGTTCCGAGAGGACGATGAAGTTCTCCAAGCTGCCAACAACTGTCGTGTTGGATTGGCTGGATACATCTTTGGAAAGGATACTGCACGTCTTCACAAATTCTCCAGAAGATTGGAAGTTGGAATGGTTGGCGTGAACGAAGGTTTAATCAGTTGTGCCGAAGCTGCATTTGGAGGAGTCAAAGAATCTGGAATCGGACGCGAAGGAGGTGCTCAAGGAGTGGATGAGTTCACCAACTGGAAGTATATCTGCACTCAATATTAAATGTCCATATGATCATGTTTGTAATTAATCCCCTACAATTCAACTACTATGCAGTTTCATAAATCTAGTCTGAATATCTAGCTGCTTTTGTAATAAGACTTGCCAAATTTCTAAAATTCCAGTGCTCATTTTCCAATCCTTTCCATGCCATTTTACTTAAACATTCATTTAAAAAATATTTATTCACTTATTAGTAAACGTTTTGTTAGTATGTGTATTGCATGAAGAGAGAACTCGTAGGTAAAGTGGAGGGGGGCAGGGAATTCAGGGAAATTTACAAACAACAACTATGGGAACAAGGATGTTTAATGGTAATAGAACCGACGTCTTCTGGTTGGATTAGAGAGTTGCTCATGAATATAGCTCAAAGTTTGTAGCATCTTTGTCTCACAATCGTTTTGCTTCTTGACCAGCCGACGGATAGCTTCAGTTTCCAACTTTTTGACTGGGGAAGAGCTGATGTAGTTGTCGCATGTTTCAACGGAAGCACAGCAGTTTCTGACGATTCCGCAGGCTTCGCGGATCGGTTCCAGCTTGGCACGGCATGTCAAATGATTGGATTGGGATCGCACGTGTTCAGAAGAAATGAACTCGTCGATGGCAGCAGTAGTTGGAACTTCCGTGTTGCATAGCTCTTCTTCGGCGTCGGTGACTGCGATTTTGTTGCGTCCAAGTTCCAGACAAGCCTTACGAACTCCACGTTGGATGACAAGAAGTTGTTTGAGCTAAAATAGAAAAACTGTTTTAATGAAATGTTTTCCAACCAGTTGGTTTACGCCCCTCCGAGGCTGAACATCCTGCCCTCCGGTTACAGTACCCGTAATCTTACACATAAAGAGTTTTCTTCACTTTTATACCGAGTCTCAACTTGGGAATCGAGAAATTCGGTTTTTAAAAAATTTCAAACTTGAAGATATTCCGAGTTATGAGAATTTCAGCTCAGAAATAAGTGAATTCAAAAGTTTCGAAATTTGAAAATTCAGTTTTGAAATTCAGGAAAGTTTTCCAGAAGTTCAGAGACTGGAATTTTGAAAAGTTGTATATTTGAAAATTCAGAAATATTCGATTTGCAAAACTTTCAAGTTTTTTCTTTCATTTGGAACCTCAGATGAACATAAGAATTTCAGAGTATCTGAATTCCCGAACTGCTGAAATTTTTAATTTTGGTACTCAGAATTTTAGAGTTTCAGAATTTTCCAATTTTACGTTTCCGAGTTTTCTAACCCCATAGTTTTCGAAATTCTGAGTATTTGACTATTTTACTGAAATATTCCCCAAATACTTACAGTAGAGTGAACAGATCTGTCCAATGGGCGGAGACAAGCTTTGAGAACAATCTCGTGATGAGAAATAGAGCTGTTATGAAGGATGTTCAAGATCTCACTATCATCAATTCCATGGCTCAAAACTTCAGTGGAATATTTTCTGTCACATTGTTGCTCGTAATCCAAAACCGTCTGCCAGCAGGAAGCATATTGCTGACAATGAGTCTGTTCTGTTCTTGGGCGGATTCTCTTCACATTCTCGATGACTCCATCTGGAGAGACCTTGCTGGATTGGAGGAGGGATGGAGCGGTGGTGGTGACGTCTTCTTCTCCTTCTCCACTTCCCTCGACTTCGGTATCTGGCTTAGTTACAGTAAGAACATCATCAGTGTTGGCGACAAGTTCTGGTTTAGATTCTGGCTTAGCCTCTGGTTTATCTGTTTCGGCTACCACGGCTTCAGCGACGACGGTAGTAGACTCTGGAGCGGTGGTAGTTGTTGTGGCTTCTTCCTTCTTCGCCTCTCCAGATTCCTCCTTCTCCAGAGCTGGCAAGTCCTCTCCAACCACAGCTGACTCCTCGGATTTCAAAGTCTCCAAAATGTGTTTAGTCTCATCAGCGGTATTCTTGATCTCAGATTCCACGAGAAGAGCTCTCTCCTTATCATCCAGAACCTTGGTCAATTCTTGATTCTCGGATTTTGTGTCGATTGGTTTTTCCAACTTCTCGATTTTCAATGGAAGTTTTCCTGGCTTCTTCTCATCGGCGATCGCCTTGACGTCTTCTGTCTTCTCAAGCTTGGCGAGTTTCTCCGATTCCTTCTTTGATTCCACCTTTGGCTCCTCGGATTCCTTCTCTTCCTTATCAGCAGCAACGGCGTTCTCGGCTGATAATCAGAAAATTAGGAAACAGAAAAATGTGGAAATCTAAACTACCTTCAGCTACGTTTCTCGAAACAATAGTATGAGCCAACTTGGCCTCCGTCAAAGTTGTCTTCTGTTCCAACTCATCGGAAATTGTGAACACAGCAGCTGAATCCTTATCCTCCATGGCCACCAACTCCGGTTTCTCCGCCTTCTCCACCTTCTCAAAACTCTTTTCAATCTCTGAACTCTTATCCTTCTCCGACAACGCCTCGTTGATCAAATCCTTCAGTTTGGACATTTTAGCAGAAAGTTTCTCATCGAATTTGGTTGCCAAGTTGACCTTCTTCTTCTCAGCAAGTTCAAAAAGTTCCGAGAACTTTCCTTCGGAAATCAGAGAGACGTACTTGGAAAGATCTTTGTCTGAAGCGCTACGGATCAAGTTGCGAATGGTGTTGACATGCATCTCGGAAGATTCCTTGACGGCTTCTGGGGCTTCTGGAGCTTCTGTGACTTCTGCGGCAACGACAGTGGTCTCAGATTCCTTTGTTTCTTCTGGAGTAGTCGACATTTCTGCGGGAGTGGTAACCTCTTCTGGAGCAGTGGTAGTGGTGACGTCCTCTGGAGTCTCGACAAGTTTGGATGAAGTTTCAGTGACAAGATCCTCAACAGGCTGATTCAATTTGCTTTGTTGTTGTCCGAACAAATTCTGAGTGACGACTTGTCTGATTTGGGAGTATTTCTTCAAGAATCTCTCTCTTCTCTGGGACAAAGTAGACGTCGATGTCAATGCGAGTCTTCTAGTGATTCTGGCTTCAGTGTAAGCATCCGGGCGGAGGAATGGAACTCCAGCGTTACGGTACGGATCACGAAGAGATTGAAGACGTGCTCCCTCTCTCAAGAATCGTGGATCATTGACAACGATGCAGGAAATCATACTGTAGACGATTTGTTCAGCTTTGACTCTGGCGTTCTGATAGGAAAGAGACACTGCATTCATTCTCTCTCCACATCTGGTATGGTCTGGGCAGCACTCGAGAAGACTCTCACAGTATTCACGGTCTTGTTTGAATTCGATGAGGCATTGGAGGGCATCTCCCTTTGAGGAATTACGGCTGACTGGTTGGACGTAATCACAGGAATCAGTGAATTGTTCAACACGCTTCGAGCTCTCTGGAAGTTTCTCGAAACACTCTCTAGCATCTTCGTTGACAAGAATCTGAAGGGCTTCAAAGTCAACGATCTCCTTGAGAAGACGGTCTGCAAAATTTTGAATATCGAAAATTCAAATCTAGAATAGTTATATACCTTGGCATCCCACAAATTCAAGAGCCCTGTACTTGACAAGATCTCTGATATTGACATCCTTGGCTTCGAGAGTCAGAGAAATCGCCGTTCCTCCTGCACATTGCTTCAGATTGGCTTCCGTGGCTTCCAGACAAGACACATAGTGAAAGCATGATGTCTTGAAAATTATTCAATTTTGGAAATCTTTCAAAAAAAAGTTTTTTACCCTATTAGTCTTAAACCCAATGGCAACAGTAAGTAGTGAAGCAATGAGCAGAGATTGGGCTAGGATCCTCATGCTGTAAGAAGGAATGGAATAGTGAGGTTGAAGGATGTTCGGGGGAAGTTTATAAAGGAAAGGAAAGTAATCTTCGTGGTGAATCTTGAAAGAAAGGAATTGCTAACTGAGATGCTTGAATTGACTTAACGAGCCTATTTAATTTTGATCTATGGAGAGGAAGGAGGAGATTCGGAAAAGATATCGAGATAAAGAAAAAAGTTATGCAATTTTAGCTTTGTTTCAAAGATAAATTAACAAAAACCAAAGATTACTATTTACAGTAATGGGCCCCCTAACTTTCAACTTCGAGCTAATTTATCTCGGTTCCTGCAAACCATATGAGAAATTTATAAATTGATAAAATATTTGTCATAATCCCATAAACATTTTATCAGTTGAAACATTTTTGATATCTCTTATAGGAGCCGAGATAATTGAATTCAAAATTCACAGTGTGGGTACTTGAAAGCGGGCCCCTGGCGGGTCTCCTGATGCCGTTCCATAGCTTTCTTTAGAATCAATATTTTTGACCAACTAAATTAGAAATGATAAAACTTGACAAGTACTACAAAATGACACTGTTTGAAAAAACTGTATCTTGTCTATGAATGAAGTTATAAAAGTAAACAGTCAGGGCACGGCCCGTCCCGACTAACCTAGCTTGTGGCTTATAACTTTGCTTATAGACAAGATACAGTTTTCCAAATAGTATCAGTTTGAAGCACTTGTCAAGTCCTACCCTATCATATTTAGTTGGTTTAAAAATATTGATTTTAAAAGAAACTATAGCAGGGCCCGCCAAGAAACTAGATCAGTTTCAGATCAAGAAGAAAAATATGTGGATAAAAATAAGATCCGAGTCGAATCCGAATCTTCAAACAACGCTGATTGTCTTTATCTACGTCTCCAGTTGATCTTTTATATGGTGTACTGCCTATTCGGCTCGTTTTACGCTATTTTTTCTTTCATTTTTTCAGCCGACGCCACCAAAAATCTCGTTTCGTCTTTTCTCTTCTCTTCTCCCATTCTTCATACGGCGCAAATCCAGTGATAAGGAGGTCCTCTCTCGTTATAATCAAATGAACATGCCACTGGAACCGCAGAGAAATGATGACCAGGTAAAACGAACACTAAAAAAGTAGTCCCGGGACAAGAAGCAGAGGTCGGATGGATGGTTGCATATCTTCGGAGACGACAGGAAGGAGTAGACCGGTTTAATACCTAGATAACACACAATGAATGCTAATCGAGAAAAAGGAGAAGAGGATATTTGGGAAAGGGATGATGGCTATTTGAAGTTTCCTATTTGGATGGCAATACTACGGAATTACAAAATCTATGCTTTCATAATCTTTCTACTTGTCTTATTGCCACTGAACTAATAAACTTTTATTCTGGGTTTAGTTTAATTTTTTGAAGATGTCCACCGGTAAAGCGGTGGCTTTGCATTTACAGGATTTCTTGAAAAATCCTAGTTTTCAATTATTTGCCGATTTCTGAAGGACACCTGTTTTTTTCAAAATTTCAGTACAAAAACAGGAAAAAACGAGTGCCCTTCAGAAATCGGCAAATATCTGAGAAAGTAGACATTTTTAAAAAATTCTGTAATTGCAAAGTTTTCAATATAGGTCTGTTTTACAACCTCAAAAGCTTTCAAAGTGATGGGACACTTGACAGCCGAGCTCCACACTCCTGAAAATGGTCGAAATGGCCAAAAATCAACTGAAAAATACGTTTTTGTATGTCTTATTGGTCGGTTCTGTATACGCCATTGCGTATTTGAGAAAATGCGGAAAAATTCAAAAATTATGAAAAGCATGCATTAATAATTGAACCATTATGAAGAAACTATTTTTTGGTAAAAACATTTTACCATGTTTTTTGAAGCATGCACTTCTTAACAGAGCAGTTTTTAAAATTTTCTGAGATCGTTTTACCAAAAAATAGCTTTTTCGTAATGATTCGATTATTAATAACCAGCAAGCTGGTGCGCCTTCGGCGCGATTCAATCTAGTTTTTCACTTATTCGTTGCTCCCTACCTCACTTTTTCTTAAAGAATCACATAAAACTAAATTTATTTTTAAAGCTTTTCCAAAGTCCGCAGATCCTCAAGAGGACAGACAGACGCCTCTAGCGTTTATATATAAGAAAGATTGCCTTTCATAACTTCAACTTTGAGCCCATAACCCTCGGTTCCTGTAAAAGAAATGAAAAAATGTCAACTAATAAACTGTTTATCATAACATTAGAATTGTTTTGTCAGTTGACCATTTTTTGATATCTTTCACAGGAATCATGATAATTAAGCTCGAAGTTGACGCTTTGTGTAGTGCTAATACTTGAAAGTTCCGTTTTTTTATCACAGGAAATACGGTATATAAAATTAGCTAAAAACAGAAAGCTGAAAATTTTTATGAGGAATATTTGCAATCATAGAGGAACCAACACATTCAAGAATACAGAACATCGGAAATGCAAGTATTTTTTTCAAATTGAAACGGATTTGGATGTAGGTCGGAAATAAGATTTGGATCTTTCTTCATAATTCACATACCTTTTGACAGCGAATTAGTGCCATAGACTGTATACATTCAATTGTTTTTGGGATGTTTATGTTTGTTATATAACCAACCATTTAAACACATGCAGAAAACAGGCTGAACATCAATAATGGGTTTGAATAAATGAAAAAAAACCTCACATTCAGAATCAAAATCTTAAAGTTATATGAACGGAAAGTCTGCCATGCTAATACTTGGAATTTTCGTTTTCCTTCATGTCCATCAAAAAGTATACTTTCCCCCTAATTGATCCAAAAAGTAACTGGCTAATTTAGAAGGAAGTGGCCAGTGGAGAAAGTGACAGATACAACTAGAAACATGGATTTGAAAATTGGCAGTCTTGCTATGATGACGTCTGAAAGGTTTTGTAGTTTTACTATCCGGGTGCTGAAAATTCGGAGAACTAAATTGTCACTTGAACATTTGCAATTTGTTGTTTATTTATTCAGAGGCTTTTAAAAATGTATACTTACAGTATTTCGGACGACAACATTTAAAAAAAATTCTAGTTTTAACTTTCTTGAACATGTGAGATTGGCCATTTTGCAACTTCTCCAAGTCATTTATTTGAATAAAATTTTTGAATAAAGTTTTCAGAAAGCTGCCAACTGTAACAGATGGCTTTGTTTACAATTAGTCACATTTTTTAGAAGGTTTGAGAATAAAAAAAATACCGTAAAACCTCTAATAGAACGACACGGGGATCGTCCACTTTGAGCCTATATATCTCATTTTCTGTAAAAGATATCAAAAAGTGGCTAACTAGTAAAATGTTGCTGATATCCTGATAAACATTTTACTAGTTAACCACTTTTTGATATCTTTCGAAAGAATTGATATATATAGGCTCAAAGTGGACGATCCGGGTGTCGTTCTATTAGAGGTTTTACGGTATGCCAAATGTACTTTTTGTAGTTTGTCCGATATTTGTCCAATACTGTAATCACCGTAGATCTGTTTTCGAACTAATCATTTCATAAAGCTGTGATATACAGTACCGGTCCATAAAATATACAAAAACACATGTTTCTATTGGTTTTTGGCCAGTTTGACCATTTTTAGGAGTCTAGAGCTCAGTTGTCAAGTGTCGGATCCCTTTGATAATTTTGGAGGGCGTAAAACAGACTCTTGAAAATGGCTGAAAATCGAAAAATTAGTTTTTATCGGCCGGCACTGTATGTTATTCTGAAAATCCAAAAGTTTTGGAATATTTTTTCAATGCTTGGAATCAGTTCTCGAACCCCATTCTATGAAATTGAGTTTCACTCCCCCGCAGTATAAAATTATTTAAGATCATTACTCTCTTTTTTTGTTTATTTGCCGTTCGACTTTAAAAGATAACACTCAATTGATTCCACCTCCTATTTTGTGCCCAACTGACTCAAAACGTCAGGCAGTCTGAAAATGGCGCAAACGGAAAATACAGTTGCGAAACCCGATTATAGAATGTTCTCGTACAAAGTGTATCAAAAGAAACATTGTACCTTCGAAAGGTCAGAAGATGTCTGTTTACAATAATTAACCATTTTTCTGTGTTTTTTGTATTTTACGAAATTTAGGGGGAACAGTCAACAACGAACTGTTGTTCTAGAATTATTTTTCTGTGTAGGAGGCAAAGTACGACTCCTTTTTTTGACAATGATCAGGTCAGGTCCATCGGAAATAATAAATTGCATTTTGAAAAAATGTATTTTATCAAAACCAGATAACCTTGGTGGGCTGGAAAATGGATGATTGTGTCAGGGAACGAGTTTGGGGATTTTGTAGACGTAGTATGATATCAATCTTATAGTTTTTGTAAAATTGATAACTTTTGATAAAGGACTTTGGACCCTCCAATTTTTGTTTTCAATTGAATTTTCAGGTTCAAATTTTTGTTGTGGACTCTATAACACATTTTTTACTGAACCCATTTAAAAGTGATATAAAACAGAATCTATTTTTGATTCTTTTCGAATGGTGGACACTTTTTACACCGAAAAAAAGAGCCAGTTGGTCCTAGGAACAGTTGCCTCTTTTTTTCTCGGGATTTCTTTTTCCAATTCGTTTTGTCGATCACCCATTTTTCTCGAAAACAAAGCCACCGGGGTGGATTTTCGACAAGTTCTGGGTACTTGTGAGTACATGTCCGTGGGTTGGAATGTGTAGAAAAAAGAACAAAAAATAATCTATTTGAACTCGTAGGTGTACTGTAGACTTTGCTCGACTACTGTAGCTACATTACTTACAATACTACTGTAGATACAGTAGTACGATATACAAAAACGTATTTTCAGCTGATTTTTGACATTTTCAGGAACCTGGAGTTTGGCTGTCAAGCTTCCGATTGCCCAGTATTCGAAAAATGGTACATCTAGTTCTTAGGGTACATGAGATTTTGTGGTATATGTGGAAGGACAGAAAAGCCAAATATTTTTACAGACTATTTCCATGTTTGATCAAAATTAGTTAACGGC